TTGCAATATCTAATTGAATAGGTAGTTTGCTGAAAACAATTATTCTGAACTAATCACGTGTATAATGAGTTCGGAGAAGATGTAAGAGTTGAAAATTTCTTTTAGGTCCAATGAAAAATGAGAAGACTTAGCATGGAAGAAGATTTATGCTAGAAATCGTCTCCCCATTATGCGTAACTATCAATTTTTCATTGACAATAAGACAGAAAAATATTTGTAGATTTGGTGAGGAAGTTAAGAGCTGGTTTTACAAAGGTGTTATTGTCAGACACTTTTAAATGCAAGCCGTGAAATTCATCTTCATTTCAGAATTTTGTATGCCTCTTAGATAAACCATTAGGCACTGTTTGAACCCAAAGAAGAATTGTTTGTCTTAACAGACAATTCCTTATTCTTCCATTCATTTATTATCCATTCATTAATCCATTCATTTGGCAATTGTTTTAGTTTTAGAGTGATATTAGCATAGGCTTGTTCAAGCGTATCTGTATATAGAATAGACAATTGCGTGTGGTGAGTGGGGCACCAAATCATGTTCATTTCGAAAATTGGAATTGGTTTTGGTGTAATACCATTAGCCTTCATTTTCACACAGTTTTAAAAATCCCAGCGAAAAATTGGCTGTGCTTTTTATTTCTAACAAAATTTTCGAATTTTTTTTACAGTTGGATGTTCTGGGAGTAAAATCAAAAGGTTTGATTTGTTGTAAACCAATGTCAAAAATTTGATTAAATGAATAAAGTTGCCCAAAATTCTGTCATCCAGAGAAAGGCATTAATCTGTCTGCCATAGTTTGCAAAGTTCCTCCATTTACATGTTCTAGATCCATTCTATTTATCAAACAGCAGTCAGATCTCTGCAGAATGTTCTTAAACATTACATAACTTTATACCAGTGTGTTACATTCCAGCTTTATCAAATCTTCTTATGACATTTGAGTATCTAAACCCAATTTTCCCATAATCACGAAGTGCGACAAGCAGACTTTCTTGTTCCATTTTTCATTCTTCCTACTTCTGATGGGTCCTATAGATTCTAAATTGAAGCAAAATGAAAAAACTCTCTTCTGGACGATTTTGTCAAAAAAAATCCAACAATTCTAAGTGTATGCTAATGAAAAAATATTAACCATTCCCTCCTGCTAAAAGGGTGAAATGCAGTGACAAAATCCACCAGGAAATACTGAATTGAAACGAATTGCTCAAAGTTAAACTTTGTGTGAAGTAACTCTATGTTACAGCTGGGCGAAATATGAAAAGAAAGGAAACCTGTATGGCATTGCACCAGCTTGAAAGAATTTAATATAAAAGCTAAGTCGCAGTAGACACCTAAACTTGAAATGCTAGAACGAGATTTTTTTTGGCCCTGGTTACGTAAGCAGTCAATAACAAAAGTCAATTGGAATTGACATTTCAACGGAACGATTTTCTTTAATTTCGTAGATCGCCTTTATTAATCGAAATGACAAAAAGTTATTTAAGTATCCTCAACCACATAAAATGTTATGCAGATCTGAATAACATTTGCAAAGTAAATTATTTCTATGTTAGTGATTCTTGAAATATGATAATAGGATGATATTCATATTTCCTTAGCATAAAAATTCCCTATTTGACTTATAGATGGTCAAAGTTGTCACTTGAAAAGGGAGAACTGTTATTGCTTGAAGTTTTAATTAAGAAATTGAAGGATTGGTTAATGTTAGAAAAAAAGGAATCCAAACACAGCAGTAACTGTACCCATTAACATCAGAGCAAAAGCAAACTATCATGGCTGATGATTAGCGCGATGACCAAATGTTATCATTCCATTCTCGCCCGTCAGTGTCCCGTCAGTGTCCCGTCAGGCTTTTTAGGAAAATTTATTTTGTTAGAATCTTGCAACACGCAGTAAGCTTTTCCCAAAGTTCTTTGGAAAATTTCAGCAAGTAAAAGCTGTTTGACGCTTCCTTTTAAAGGTTTGAAAGTGGGGGTTTAGGGGGAATCAAGGGAGGTGGGGGTTGGTACAATGAAAATATTATGTCACGTCCTCAGTATCATGTAACATCCTTCTACCAACAGCGAGGCCAAGACTAACCTTTGGCTATTTGCATTTGTATTTGTTATTAACTAGCATCCGAAGATAGTTTTTAAGAAACTGAAAAGCCTAATGCTTATTGAGCATTGTTCTGGTCCTTTCTCTCGATGCGACCACACCTCGTGATTCCTGCGCCTGGAATTACAGAGAGCTGGCGACTCTCCTCACTTTGGGTGAAAGTTTGGTCATGCCTGGGACTCGAAAAAAGGACCCTTAGGATTCGAATCACGGACCAACGAACAACTGAGCCATCCTTGCACAAGGCTACCCTAAGGCAAATTCAAAATCATAAGATGACATCAAGAAATAAACTTTGCAAAAATATTACCCTTAACCCAAAATTTCTTCACATCGAATTGAACTGGGATCTGGGCAGAAAAGATTGTATGTGCTTCTATCTTAATTATCATCTGTATTTTTCTGTATCCTCGAAATTGGAGAAGCATGACAAATTTGTTGTATGCCGTATATCTGTTGAATATTTCTAGATGAATCATGTCAAGTGAACTGGTTAACTATTTCTATTGCACCTTTCTCTACAGCATTGCAAATCTTTTATACCAACAATATCGCCTAAAAAAGGTTAGCTTAATGATTCTTTATACCTCCAGGCTACAGTTTTATGAAAAATGAGTGGATGCATCCGTGAATCTGATTTTGTTAAGAGACTCTAACCCTGAACCCCTTTCAATAAGTGCCTTTCTCCAAAACGCTTCTCCTGTAGAAAGCATCTACTTTGATTTTGCAGTTATGATTAAGGGCCTAGAGTGGTAATAAATTATAATTTCGGATTTTAGTTCAGTGTAGTAATATTCTACTTAGTTGAACATACTAGGGAGATAAAAAGCGGCGCGGAAAGGAACTGGCCACCCTACCAAACAATGCTGTGGCCAAGGACAATGCGCCCCCAATACCGCATTCCCCAACGTTGATAAATCGAACACGGGACAACCTTCTACCTTTTTAGTAAGAGACAGTGAAAAAATGTTTTGATCGAAACTGCTATTTTTCTTGTTGTTAAAACTGGAACGAAAGAGGTATTAATGTCTAAATAAAAAGCTGAACGAAAACAAGGACATAAATAAAAAACATAAAATATATAAACCCAGTTATGTTTATCTGATTGGCCTATTTCGATCCATAACTGGGTATATATTTTCCATCGTGTTCTTTCGAACCCTTATTCTGACATTTTATACTCTGAGGAGTGTCAGACGAAAAAGCTTTTAGTAGCAAGTTGTGAAATTTTTGCTTTTTTCAAAGCCATTACCCATTTTGTTCTATCATGCTCACGATATGGGCTCGATTCAAATTATTTCTCTATAAAAGAAGCTTTGTTTCGAATTAAGGTTACAAAAAGCTCTATTTTATATGAAGTTATTAACTGCCACTTTGGTTCCATAAAATTTTCTTGAACTTTAAACAAGCTAAATTTAAAAAATCAAGGAAATAAAAACCGGTAACACAATTCGATAGCCTTACTGCACTCATTAAAACTGAACTCTTTGTATGTGGTCCTCTTGATGGTGAAGGCAATTCTTCAATTTCGTTCTTGGAGCCTCTGGGTATTTACTTGGGACAGAAACGGGAAATTGTCCTTGATTCTACTGCCTGAGCAAATCATCCAGTTAGGGTGGATTCATAAAACAAAAGCGAGACTAGTCAGCAATTTAGCACGAAGATAATCCCAATCATAATCAGAAATGGAAATCGGATTTGCTCGAAGGAAATCTCTCCCATTCTTTTGTTTTTTTTGGAACCCTGAACTTGCTTTTCAGCCCTTTCATTCTATATTGTCAATAAAATATGACGTCATATTTGGGGAGTCCAAATTAAGTGTCTCTGTCTCTTTCTCTTTATTATCCTCCATATTAAGGAGTCCATTTCAATAGGCGAAACTGGCACAACACAAAGCAAAATTAGGGGTACGATCCTACCGTATTTTCAAAACATTTTCCTGGGCATCAGTGACCATCACACCCAATTGGGAAAAGACTTTTAAAGAAATTTTAAATTGAAAGGCACACTTAAGCAGTTTCAAAATGATCTTTATATCCCGCCTAGATTTTTACTAAAAACGAATATTTACATCTGCGCACGAATAGTCACATGTTATCGGTTCAACAACCAGTAGTTCATTTATATTCCATGAAAAACCATACGGGTGCGGAAATAAATGCGACTGCTGGAAACTCACATCCGAATTCAGACATAATAGCATGAAAAATAGAAATGAACAGAACATGACGCTCAAACAAGATACTCATGAAGATTCACAGCAATTGCTCGACCATCCAAAAACTCAATGTCCCCCATTGAATTCACCCAATACGAGGAGAGGAACATCTTCGCACAAAAATCTGTAGGTATGTGCTTTAGGTATGATAATTTCCAGATATGTCAATTATACAAGTTAGCAAAATCGAGCTTTGTGAAAATCTCTTTCTAAAACGATGTTACCATCTTTAGAATTAGTCTTTTCCAAAGATTTCAGTGCATGGAAACCAATGATGACGTCATCGTAACATTGAAAGAACTCAACGAAAAGACAGTAAACCACTCAACAGGTTCTACTCAGTCAAAAATCCTTCCCCAACGAACTTAAAAAAAACTAATGCGTCGATTAAGACGGTCGGTGTAATAGAAATGGGGGCTGGGAGGGCTGCAGTCCCATCATCAGGCAAAATTTATGCCATTTCAGGCTCCATCCGGGCAGTTTACTCAAAGAAGCAATAAAATTCGGGCATGATCCACACTAAGCCCACCCCCCCCCCCTAAGCGCTTAGAATCCACTACGCCCATGATTAAGACCTTTTTAAGCTTCACAACACAACACATCAACATTCTGACAAGCGAGCTTTTTCAATTACAGCTTTGCGACATCAATTCGATTGTGTAGATTATAGAAAAAAGACACTTTGTAGTCAAAATGGACAACAAATATATCCAAAGACACTAGCTTATTACGGATCTCAATAAGAAAATGCAACGTAAAATGCATCTTGATTGTTGAATAACAGAAAATAAAACTCAAAATTAAAGTATACAAAGGTACAGTACATAAGTCTAAAATAAACTAATATTTACATAAAAATATAAGTAATTGAACATGAATTTAGAAGAAATAATTTGATGCCAACAAGCTAAAGGCATAAATGCAAAAATTTATACTAAACTCCTTTTCTTATTGAGATTATCAACCTACATATACTTGAAACTATACACAAATGGCTCACTTTAAATATTGTATACCTGATAACCATAAAATTACACAATATGTACGAAACCAAACAACGTCAAATGAAATGAAGGCTAAATCATAAAAAACATAAAACAATTTCCATCCTCAAAATATCAAGTAAAAAGTTTGGTAAAACAGAAAATCTACCGTAGTTGGGTAATTTGGAAAAGAATTGTAATGTGATATTTTACTGCACACTAATCAAATTTCAACAGCCGTTACAAAATACTTTAAAAGTGCTATGCATGGAATGCGAGATTGGAATTTGGCCTACAACAAATTTTTGCAACTGCAGCATAAAAATCAGTTCGAGCAATAGTGTTTTGGCCGAGCATCACGAAAACCCATGAGATTTTGTAGAACTGATTGAAATCAGGTGCCCAAGATTTGCAATTCTTACAATCGAAAAACGAATATAGTCACACAGAGTCTCTTGAGCAGATGTGACTATCAGCAGAGTGTGACGGTATATGAAGCTAAATTAACACATGCCTGGAAAATAGCGTCTGTAGTGACTGTAGCTAAAAAAAGTAGACTTTTTTAAAAATCTATAAACTATATTGGTACCTCGAGGTAAGTCAGATTTCTAGCGTCCCAAGTCTGTCTTGCTCGACAATCCATTCGTGATACAGGTTTAGTTTGTGATCATTTGGTCTGACGTCTCTCCATTCCCCAAGGCAAAAAATCCTGTATGAATCATTTCCGTATTTTCCAATCCCATAGAGTTCTATTGGATATGTCCAATTCTTTGTTAAGAAGTCAGAAGATAATTTCACAAGAGAGCGCGACCTTCTTTCATGCAAGCCAAGAGGTTTCAGCAAAACTACAAGATAAAGGACAACGTGAGTATTAAAATTGACTAAAAGATGTTAATTCTTAACGAACACGTAAATCGGGTCATTTATGCTTTCAGTTGCGAAATTGTTCTTACTAACGAGTGTTTTAACCATATCTATTTTGAGTATATGCTTACTGCCGACTGAAAGGTTGCGTTTGCCAGATTGATCTTGGGAGGAAAGACTGAAAGATCTTGGGAGGATGTTAAACAACCACATAACTAAAACTGACGTCATCATTCATAACAACGTTTATACTGCCTCTGATATGCGTAATTCCAATCACTACAAGAGCTCTATTGGAAGATTGGCTGCAAGTTTACAAACTAAAATTAAACCTGTTACAATGATATTTGTAATTTTGTGCTTATAATGGCCAACCTAGTGAGGGTAACAGAGGCATTGCAGACAAGCTTTAAAAACCTGTGGTTACTATCCTTATCCGCCATCATATAGTTTTCTACTTTTTTGCAAGAGTTATCATTATAAATGGGACTCAGTGCCGTCGAAAAACACCCATGACCTGTCTATACACTGCGTACAAAAATGCTAGGGAAAGAACCTTTACGGCATTGTAGCTTCAAGATAGCGTGCCCATTCATGATATCTAAATTTGCAATATGAGATGAACAGTTCTCAAAAAGAGATATATAGATGTCTTGGACAAGAAAATCTACGACTTGTACTTAAATCCATGATCACAAAATTGTCTACCGCTTTCAAGACTGCGCTTAAAAGTTGTCATCATTTCTGACCGGACTAACTGCCGTCAGAAAATTCCCTTGGCCTGTGTATTTGTGGCGAGAAAAAAACTATAGGGAAATGACTCCATGTACACTTGCAATATGGGTACGCTATTTTGAAGCTGCAATAAACGGTATTGCTCTTTAGATCTTAAAGTGCATGTAGAAAGCTAGAACGAAAAACTGGGGTGCAAAATATTATCAAGCTATTGTGGGAGCTGCTGCACGGTTCTTACAAAATATATGACTCTTTCAGACATTTCCCAACTTTCCTATACTCAGACAAATCAAAACAAAATTAACTGCCTTCTTCGGTATCCATGGCGTATTCCACAAATCAGCATTTCCAGGTTAGACTCTGTACAAGTTCTGCATTAGCAAGACAACAAGAGAAACTATTGGTAAAAGCTTGCCAGACTTCACCATCTAGTGGCAAAGCAAGTTTTTATAAAAAAGCACAAATACCTGCGATTTCCTTCCAGTCCGCATACATTGTCGTCTCTGGATCTGGCCACAGCTCAAAGAACTTCCACATTACTGGTATTGCCAATTTACCACTTGTTTTGTTCAAGAATATCGTTGCCACCAAAAGTTTCCATGGGTTTTCATACAGCACCTCTTGTATCAAGTTGTAAGGCGATTTTGGAGGCTTATAGATGCCCTCCATATGTTTGCCACGTCGATTCGATTTTTCCTTAGCTCCACTGGACTTAGAGCATTGACAAGTATCCTTAGTTGTATTTTTGCTTTCTCCTTCTTTGCAGGAAGGTACTTTTGCATTTCTGTTCTTCGCTGCAAACTTTTTACTACTGCTTGGTCTATCTGACTTAGCATCTCGTAAATTACCGTTACTCGAAGACTTCTTTTCCTGCAAATTACGCGATAAACAAAGCTCACCTTTCTTGACTACATTATCATTTTTCATATTGCGAACAGCAGGTTTCTCCAAACGCTTCACCTTTAAATACTTTCGCAAAAGATGATTAGATTTTGACTTTGCGTCATCACGAAAAACGGTCTTGTTTCCAACTTTGAGCCTCACCTTTTTACAAGACTTCATTCCTCCCTGCTTGGCTATACGGACGGAGCGGCGATTCCGTATACAAGTTTCAAAATATTTGCTCTTCAGACGCTTGTTGTTTATATGAACGTCACTTGGGTCACGCTTAACTCCCATTCTGCGATAGTGGATGTTCGGTATTCGACCTTTATGACAGGTCCATCTACGAGATTCTTCTTTCTCTCTAGCATCTGGGTTACATACTATAACAGACATCGAATCTTGCTTTTCCTCGGGTAAAATGTCATTATTGCCGGATAGGGGAAGAGTGCTTTCTAGTATTGATTTCCTGTCATCCAGAGCAGGAGCATCACCTCCAGATGTATGATGTGTATAGTCTCCTTGATACAACCCTACTATAGACAGGAACAATTGCTTTCTTGTTCGAAGTTCATAGTTTACTGAAACAAGTTCTTCTTTTTCTTTGTTGTCATTTCTGCTATTCGAGTTAAAAAATGAAGGCTGGGTGCAATCCTGAAAGTTTGTGGTCGACTGATACTTCCTACGGATACATTGTTTACAAAAGTCTCGTCTGTCTGGCACACGGGAGGTGCTTCTTAAAACATATTGGGTACCACATTTGGCACATGGCTTTAAACTTAGATCACTAGCTGAAGCTATTCTATGAGGCAACCTCTCGTTGTTTTGATTGCCGCCTTTGCAATAATGCAAAGCATGATACTTGCCTTTCCACGTGAGAGCATATGAGTCATAATCAACACTTGGCCCTGACATATATCTGGATTCAGCGTATTCATCCTCTCTGTTACTATGACCACCAACAAGGAAGTAGCTATGATCTAAACGGCATGCTTCTGCAGTGATATCGTTTGAGTTAGTATTTCCCTTTGGTTTTGATTTGGAATCATTCGAATTTTCACGAGCAAATATGTTCTTCTTGCATTTAGGATTGTATCGCTGTCCTCGGTATCTCTGTCTAAAATACGGACTTGTTATTCCAGCATAATGCTTAAGGTCGTCACTAGACCATCTCCTAGAAAGTTTTAACGATTCTCCTTTATCTAACCTTGGACAGCTTCCATCGTTTAGACAGCGAAAGCTACATTTGTGGTCTTTTTCATCACTTTTGGACTCCGTTTTAATTTCATCACTTTTAGCATTATCTCTATCTTCCATGCTTCTAAACCCATTTTTGATAAGAAGCCTGGCTGACTTTCGAACATTGTCATTTTCAAGGACATTTGCTTTCATGGCAATATTTTGAACAATACCAGGTGCTTCTTTTGACAATTTTGAAGGACCAGCATTTGCTTTTTGTGATGTCCTTTTATCAATCTCACCTCCCAAAATGGATTCGTTGATGTCTGAGCTTCGTTTTACTTCATGTGAGCTACTTCTAGATGCACTGTGTTCAGTTGGTGATGAGGCGACTAACCTTTCTTTTTTATAAAATTTTCGTTTTTTTGCATTCTCTTCAGCAGTACTTGAACTTTCAACATCACGTGCTGTCAACTCCAAAACTTTAGGTGTTGTTAGTAAGCCTAACCTCATTTCGTTATACTCTTCTGTTGTTTGGTCTCTATTCTTTGCTGATGAACACCTTTCATTCTCAATTTTAACTTTATCGACGCTTTCCACATTCAAGGGTCTTTCAGAACTTAATCTTACTGGTTTCGTTACTTCTCGACTCTTATTATTGCTAAAACTTTCAACTGAATTGTTATTTGTATTTTCTAATCGCAGTATCTTAGTTTTATTTTGACAGTCAAACCCTTTCTGATCCTCTGACTCAAGTACCTTGCCTTTTCTCGATTGAATAAATTTCTCCACCTCCCCCTTTTCACCAATACCACTGCCACTATCTCGGCGTCTTTTTCTTCTATTAAAAAAATCCAAAACCTTTTCATTCACTTTTATTTTTCTCTTTGTCCGAACCAATCTCGTATTATCTCGACCGGGAGAATCATCGTTGTTGATATCATCATTGCCCTGCACCACGTGACTTCCTTCGCTGCAAGCTTTCACTTTATTTTCCCTATCTAGGCAATGCTTTGACGACTCTGTAGGTTCATTGCCAATCCCTGATACAGTTTCAGACGATGCAAACATTCCCAAGACATCGGATCTTTGTCTCGTGTGTGAATCGACATGTTCATTTACCGTGATTGGTTTCTCTGACGTAACAGTGCTTAAACAGGCGGCTGAAGAGCTGGATATAGTATCGCTACTCTGGTTATTGACATCTTTTTTGTGTTTAGGCTCAAATAAAGCAACACATGTATGTACTATATCACAAGGTTCTGTCTGCACTGCCTTGCTTTCTACAAGCTTAGAGTGAGCTCCATCAGATTCTGTACATTCACTCTCTTCAATGTTATTTTGCAAACAATCGCCTTTTGTCCCATTACTGGGATTCTGATCCTTTTCTTCTGCATTTTCATTCACTTTTTCTACACGTCCACAGTTTGAAATGTTTTCCGACAAAGAATTCAATTCAGATCCTCCAAGACTAAGGAGACTCTCAATGACCTTGCCGATTTCACTCCTAACTCGCTTACAAGGCGAGGAATCACTGTTTTCTAGAATTTGACTAATCGCTGTCAACCTTTGCTGTAAATCAGTATGACAGTCTTTGCTCGAATTTGATTCTAGACACTTTTGTGACCCAACAGTGGAAACAGAATTTGTTTCATTAGTTTTTTCTGAAGAATCATTCCCAGAGATGTCAGTTTTCACTGGCATACTTTCATCAATACGTGTATTTTCAAAAGGTTCCTTGTTTAGGTTATCATCGTCGTTTCTTAATGGCATATTAACACTTTTGATCCTTGAGGCATTTTCAAGCTCCAGGCTTCCCTTACCTTTCAACTTGCAGCCTCTATCGCTTTCGTTTTTTTCTTGCCAGTCTCTAACAGCCGTTCTCGGATCATATCCTAGCATATCTGCAATACTTGCAGCTCCTTCAGAAGTCCCAAGAGCTAAACTATTCAATTGACTGTACCCTGAAACATCAATATTATTAACACTTCTTGATTCTTTTTCCTTATCAACAACAACCCCATCGTTAATCTCTTTGAGAACACATTTAGAGTCCGTAGCGACTATGGAACAAGGAGTGGAATTTTTCTCAGAATTATTCAAAACGTCAACTGAGTTCCCAGTTAAACTTTCATCAACCAATCCGGTGACTAAAGGCGACTCTTCTTCTACCTCAGGCATGCAATTTATTTTTACAGACTTTTCCTCAAGTATTGGTGCAGAGGAATTTGGCAAGTTCTTGCTGACTTCGCGAGGAAAGGAAATGTTAGCATCAGGTACATTAGAAGAACATGCCTGACTAATCAAAACAGGCGAAGAATTTACATCATTTGTGATTTCAAAAGAACAATCAGCCTTGCTAACGTTTAAACTGTCACCAGTCTTCAGGCAGCTGCCTATATCGTGTTCAACTGCTATTCTCTCTATGCATGCACCTTGTGATACTGTTAAAGTCTGTTCTGACTCAACTCTATTGACTGATTCCTCGGTTTGTCTACAATCATCTTTGGAACTGACAGGGGCATTGCTGTCTTCAACATCTTTAGAGCAAACAACATCTTTAGTCTCGATGATTTGAAGTGGTTTGGAAAAAGAGCTTGAAGCATTCAATTGGCACCTATGGTCAGAGCAAATATCCCTAAGCTTATCATTTTCGTGCACAATATCGCCAGCATCTTCACTTTTCTTGTAGATGCTTTTGCATTTCCGAAATCTTGATACATTCACTTCGTACCCGTCGTCAGGACCAATATACCCAGTTTTGTCCTTTTCTTTCACAACAACACTGGAGTTTACACTTCTCTTGTAGATGCTTGGGCATTTCCTGTATCTCATTACAACACTTTTCCTTTGTTCTGGATTGGTCTTTGCAGGTGTTAATTTTCTGTCTCTCCTTCTCAAACCAGCAACAACATCAGAGCATTCAGGTGGACCATTTTGTGTCATACAACTGATCTGAGGCTGAACTGAAGAATCTAAAGCCTGTTGAAGTCTTTTGCTATGATCAGCAATTGAAATGTGCTCTGGATTTTTCGAAAGCTGGTGTTGCGACAACTGTTTTGGGATCAAACTATCATCGTTATTTTCACTTGTTTTACTAATGACCGGTGGTAACATCTCTTTTAAATCTTTGCTGCCACGACTTTTTCCAATCTCCTCCTCTGATACCGAAGCAGACCCGAAATGTAAAGCTTTGTTTCTTGGGCAGGCCCGGTTCTTAACAGCAGCTCTACTGCAAGGAAACTCATCTTTCTTCTCACACAATGAACTAGCACCTCTCTGAAATTCATGTTTATCATCTGTTGAACTTGTGGGAATTATCGGGGAACAGTCACTGTTAACTCCAGCTTCAACCTGATTCATCTTTTTAGCGTCTGCATCCGTTATGGCAGTACACGAGTCAATAGTTTGAGCACAATCATCTTCCAGCTTAACGGAGAACATGCTGTCTTTACCATTTTTAGGGCAACCAACTTCTTCAAATATTTTGGTTTTCGATTGCTCATTGAAAGTGCTAGGATAATCCAAAGTGTGGTGATTTTCGATGATGGATCTATCACTGTCTAAAATTTCCTCAGCTTCCCTTTTAGTGGCAGAATCTGCAATCGCATGGTTTATGCTTGTGCACTCTTGACCTCTGGATGCTTTTATTGTTTCTTGATCGAAATTTGAAAATAAGGGGGCTACTTTTCTTGATTTTCTTCTAAAATTAGATTCCGCACAACCTTTGGGTTCAGTTGACTTTATTCTGCGGTTTTTCACGATTTTTTGTGTCACGTGAGGGATTGGAGCATTCACAGATGAAGCTGAAGTTTCTGACAATTTGTCGTCTTCACCTTCAAAATATTTGTCAGGTTTTGAAACCATTTTAGGTACAATTTTTGAGGTTTGTTCAGCCTTATTATCACCCACTAAACTCAGTCTATGAGCATGACGTCGGGTGTTAATACCTTCAGTTTTTCTCTCAACAAAGGCACCCAGTTTAGATCTATCTTCAGCACTAAGAGTTATATTTCTTTTTATACCGTGATAACATTTACCTCGTTTCTTTTTAGTCGCATTAGTATCGTCTTCATCTATCGGCCTATCTTGGCAGTCGTCAAACGTGTTCTTTGTACTACGCCTCGTCATACCTTCTTTCACTTCCGAGCATTTACGTTCAATAGAATTCAGTAGCATATTGTTCTCAGATATTAAATGCCAGCCTCGTTCCCACTGACCGATATTCTTGCTTCTAAGTCAGTATTGGTATCAGCACGTCTGAAATCATTCCTTAGCCTTGACTGAGCATATTCAATAGGACTAGATACAAAAGTGCAATCTTTTTTGTCAGCTTCTTCAAATCTCAGGGCCTTTGTATCGAAGCAAAACATGTCTAACTTCAGCTGTTTGGAGCGACGAGACAAATGTACTTTTCTGCATCAGGCCTGGAGCGCAACTTGCAGTTGTCTGGAGAAACATACATGGCATCCCATGTTCCTGAACTTTCTCCCTGCTGGCGTTGTGTGACAATACGCACCCAACCAGCCAGCTTTCCACAGCATCTGGTAACATACGACAGAGATAATTTTTTAGACTTTCTTCTTTGCACAAAAGACACCAGCTTTGTGTCCTTTCTTTTATTAAAATCCTCCCAATGATAGTGGGACGACAGTTTCGTTTCTTGCTTTTTCTTTGAAATGCATTGCGATTTCTTCGATTTTTTTCCGACTGGCGCAATTCCCACGCTTTTGCTATCCTTTGAAACTTGGATATTGGCACCTGCTTTGGAAGAAACGCTCTTCAATTTTGGCTGGTTAACGTTGCCTCGAGAACTTTTTCTCTGAAGTTCTAAATCTTTTGTTGCCTTAAATTCTCTTTTCCGTAGAGGAACATCTTTGCCAGCAGTCGACTTTATATTGTGTCTTTGAACTGAATGACCATGCCTGTCTTCTCTTTTATCAACCAAACTAGAACAATTTTCATTTTCTGCATTCCTTGCTGTTTCTGCTAAAAAGCATTTTCTTGTTCCTCTTTTAGAAGAATTTTCTACTTTTTTTCCTGTTGTGTGAGACTTTTTCCCATTTACTTTGAAGCCATTTCTTTTACGGAGCCTTCCTGGAAGTGATTCAGAATCACCTTTTTCGTCATCCAGATGATTAAACGGAGTAATAGACAAACAGCTGATATCTTTTGTTTGACTTGGTAGTGAGTTTCCATTGGTTTTTCCACTCGTGCAATCCCTGTAATTCAAACGTTTTGCGAGAGAAGGATTATTTCGCCGCATCCTTCTAGAAACTGGTGAGAAAGTCCCATCACCTGTCATAACTTGAGACTTGCATGACTGGGTGTCTTTGCCTTCAGCTGAAGATAGTGATTCATTGTCTTGCAGTGTACTTGGCTTAGCTTGTGTACACGATGCAGTTTGCTTACCCTTCGTAGTTTTTTCAGTATCAGCTGACTCGGTGTAAAAAGCTGGTATGCAATGCTTTTTTAACCTCTTGGCAGCAGTACCTTTTAAAAGACCATTCTGGCTTAAAGCCGCAAAGTCACCCGTATTATCATTGGTAGAGCAATTCTGATAGGTCTTTGCCAATTCACTGCTTTCTATCGACCGTGAATTTATATGTTCAGAGGGCTCCTTATGAACTGCCAGGTTTAAGCCTTTGAGAGGGCCCTTGCTGTTATTCCTCAGTCTTAAGGACATAAATCTCTCATCATAAACGAAGGTCGTAGCTTGTTCCTCACTGCCTTGAAACCTCTTTGGCATCGATGCTTTTTCAGATGCAAAAGAGCATGTAGTACTGTTGCTGTCAGACAGAGTACAATTCAACTTTATCTGTGGTTCATTTGATGAAACTTTACTAAAATCAACATTCGTTTCGCAAATTCGTTCTCGATTGTCTTCGTTAAGTTTCCCTTTGTATGCCAGCCGTTTCTTGTAAAACTTCTTTGATTCAGTATCTAGATAATTAGCTTGCAAATTTTGCTTGATCTTTTTTCTACGGGAGATTTGTCGCCTTTTGAGGGTTTCGGTTAACTTGTTTATGTACAAACGCTTTTTTCCATGCCTTGAAAACTTTTCTTTCGTTGGTTTTATGAGGGCTCTATCAAGTACAATACCATTTTTCTTTGCATGGCTTGAGCCTATTTCGAGAATGAAGTCATTTTTATCGATATCTGCAGCGTCACTGGATTTCACTTTGTCTAATGCGCTTTGACTTTTCAGACAAACCTCTGCAGACTTAACAGATCTCAAATTATCTTTATGTTTCTCTGTATTATCCCTAGTGGCGATAAGTCGTGCACCTTCTTCGTTGATACAAGACGTACAGGGGCCTGCTTCTGCAACATTAACTCTAGAGCGTCTTAAAGTTGCACCATTCCTTTTCTCTGAAGAGACAGGCAAAGCTTCAAAAAGATCTTTAGCTTCACCGTTCTTGTTTAATTTATCACCAGTATCAATCAAAAGCTTCACATTCCTATTAAAAACGGGCGCTGGTTTGGTACCAGATGATATATATTGCTGCTCCATCATGCCTTGCCGATTCCCTTTGGCTATCTGATTAAAATTGTCTGCCAATGTCGATCTAGGTTCCTCTTTATCAGTGACTTGATCTGGCTTTACAGTTGCTCTTCTTTCGTCGTCAGCTTTGAATTTTCTTTTTATTTTGTGTACTTTATTGTTCTTACCCATGGATGAGTCCTTATCCGAAAATGATTCGCCCTCTAAATCAAGGGCAGATGCACAAGTAGTGAAGCTATCGTTATTGTTGACGTCAGGACCAATTTCAGTGCTTTGGGGTTTCTGACCAAGATAACTTGAAACCAATTCAGACACTGCTTTTTGGTTTTTTAGGAAGTAATCAGTTCCGGGCTGTCCACAAGGCTCGTAAAAATACCGATTGTGTTTTTTCGATAACGTTTTAATGAAGCAATCTCCTTTACCTACATCATTGGGCCTAAGAGGTTGCACCCGAGCAAAACTAAAACACGATCGAGGCACAGGTTTTAAATCTTTGTGGCTTTCAAAGTATTTTTCCAGCTCCGGATATGACCTCAGCTTTGTACCATCTGGAGCATAAAAGTATACGTCATAATGTTTAGAAGTCTTGCCTTGTTTTCTACTTATTTCCAGCCTTCGCCATCCAGGGGGTAGTGACCCCCCAGAGGATAACATATTCCATGAGTCTAATCCATGAATCTTGGTTAAATCTGCACGAACGTCCCCACCTGCGAAATCAAAGTTGAAATGCAAATACCTTTGTAATTTTTGGCAAAGAATTCAAAGAATTTAACTAGAAAGGATAAAATCAGTATCTATCTAAAGGATATGTGTGCTTAATCAGTAACATGCTCTCCAGATTAATATTCACGTGTCTTAATATATCATCATGTTTCATTCTCAAAGTGGCAGCTATGAAAAACTGACAGGGTGCTTTGTCCTTCGACTTTGTTGAACAGCACAGGTTCAAGGCTTCGGTAATATCAAGATCCGAACAATGCCTGCCAAATGTCTTGGAAAACAAACGTCAGATTTCAAGAGCAAATTCAACCACCCCTCGCCCTGATAACAATGTTGTTTTTCTATCACATAGCGTACGAGATTAGGAGGCACTTTTGGTGTTACTTGTTTGATATTATCGTAACAAGCAGGATTGTTCTGAAAGCGGCGGTAGAAGTAATACTTGGAAAAAGTAATAGTAACGAGTCATGCTAAGAACAATACCGCCTTAACATTCATAGCAAATCTTAGCTCTATTCCAAAATCAACTGCTTGAAGCTTTTCTAAATCAAATTCGACAAAGAAAGAAGCCCTTTTCTTACTCACGATGCAAAGGAATCTACTCAAATAGCATGCCTAGCAAATGGAGTACATGGGAATCAAAGGTTTGTCAGAAGTTATTGCTTCCTAACTAGATGGTACAAGCACATTCAAGGCTAAGTAGACGTGGTGTATTTGGTAAAAATCAAATTTAAAATTCATTGATTCAGTAATTGTCAGAATTGGGTTTTTAGCTTATCACAAGTCAAAGAAAGGAACAAGGGCTTGTGAGTTTATCTCAAATGCCTAGAAGTTCTGCTCGTCCTTTAATACGAACTCTCATTTAGTCCTCTTGGATGGCAATGATGAAAGGGAAAAAAGAAGCTAAAATATTTATACTGACCATTCAGTATCAGACCAAGAGGATAAAGTTCACGTATACTCTTTGAGATTTTTGAAATGCTTTTTCCTGTCGAAAACCTGTTGAAAAGCAAACAACATAAGTTTAATCATCCTTTATGACAGATACGAAGAAAAACTGCAATCAGATGAATAGCTTCCATAGCATAACAAAACATACATAAATGTATGCTTTCCCCTCGACCCACCACGTAGTATACTCATTCTTCGTACACAAAAAAAGACGTGAGCACGTGACAGGTGAGGTTAACAAGTCAGTTTCGTAAGCCCATGAAAAATATTGCCACTGGAGTCCAAGGGTACAGTCCGCTATTTTCAGTATCATGTACATCGGCTCTAAAACTGCTACATCGAACGATAAATGGACACTGATAATTTTCCAAAACAAATCACCATTAAAGTTGTTGGCACAATCTGGGTTATCCAATAAAGGATGCCCAAATTACGATAATTCGTTCAAATATCGCAGTGAACTTTCAGATTACATCTACACAAAAATATTGCGCTACTTTCGTGATAAAAAGCCGCACTTAAAAATTATGTTCTGGAGCGCTGTGCCAGCCAGTTATTGCAAACTTTCCAAAACATTGTCTGCATTATCGAGTAAGATCTAGGGTAGAAAGAAGCAAGATGACATTGAAGAAAAAACATTTTCGTGCAACCAGCAACGAAATTCATTCTTCCTCTCATATGTATTGATAGTTCAATACACAAAAAATGCATTATTTGAAGCTCTCCATCATATAAATATTTGATTCAAAAATGTCATATTTGCCGAGTTTTGATATCAAGAAGGTATTTCTACCATTTCAACTTTCATAGCTAAGCTTATCATGGCAGACACACTTTGTTAAATGACATCAAAATGAACAAAATTTTTATTATCATTGTAGATTATCATTGTGGGCATTCTTTAATTCTTCCATTCTGAAAGCATTAATTGATTCAAACTTTCGTTGCCTACCAGTATTGTAACGAATGCCTTGGCGGTTGAATTTTTCTCAATATGTTGGATGTTGGAACCTAACAGATGTCATCGCGCCTGATCCAAGCAAAAGATCCGAAAGGCAAATGTAGATGTATAAATTTTACAGAAACATCTTCATTTCCATCATCAACGTCAACTGTATCCTCGATTCAGCAATGCGAATCACATCTACACACCAGATTATCACCGGTTTCAATATCACAAAAAAGTTCCACACAAAAACAAATTCTAAACTAAACTCAGGTGTTTCGGATCCTCTTTTGCTCCAATTGATGACTGAGATACAAATTGACGGAATCCCCTAGATTCAGGGTTTGTTCTTACAGCTATTAATCGTTGATCGAGACTTTCTACTGTGGAAAATGTCGTCCTCCTTTAAAATGCAATAAAAATGAATTCCAGCTCATGGTTGAGATTTTGCCGTTTTGACGACCAAGCCCCTCCATTCTGACCGTTTTTCAAAGCTGTTGGCCGTCGAAAATTGATTGGGCTGAAAAAGCAAAAGTTGGACGAATTTTGGCCGCATGTTGAAAGCCCCAAAAATACAAATAAAAAACGATAATTTTTGAACAGAAAATATTCAAAATTTTGTTAAAATAATCTCAAAATTGCAAATAACGAAGCAAAAAACAAAGTAAAAGATAACAGAAAATTGAAAGCAAGTGGGAGCTTCTGTAACAAACAAAGCTAATTTTGATTAAACTATTACTCCAAATAATTAGCTTTTTTGTATGTTTTGTTCGGCTGGCCGAATCTGGCCCTCAAGCGTAAAACATTTGGCGGCCAACCATTCCCAGCATCTGGCAACCCTGCAGCTACGGGAGAAATAATCTTATTGGTCAATGGTCGTTGTAGGCTGGCTTGAGCTTCTGAACGCTTAACAGTTTTCCAGTTCCACGATAGGGGATTTACCATAGCTGGTGGCAGAGGAATTCTACTCACAACCCATTCCAAAATCTTCCTGACTGTGACAACATTGAAAAATCCTTTCAGTTTCTTATACTGACCTGCAAAACCAGCAGGTCAGTAATGGACAGTCCCAATGTTAGTTGATATCTTTTCCTTGATCAGGCGTACATTGTCTTTGAAAACATTAAACACAATATTTACATCATGCTCCAGATAATCAGAAAGCATAATACTGCTGGTTCAATGACTTCTCCATTGTTGAATTTTTGTAAATGACTACTGGATGTAATATACATTGCTTCTGGTTCCAGTGATAACCTTGGTCCACATCTTGGACAACAAATTCAATGCTTTCAGCAAAGTCTAACAAGACAATGATGTCCTTCGGATTTAATTCATCTTTCAAACTATCCAAGAAGAAAGCTTTTGACCAGATAATACGAATGGCTTGTAATTTGGCCCAACTGGTAACATAACTTATCAATATAATCAATAACTGCCAGTGTTTGTGAATTGAATTTAGCTCCGTTTCCCTTGCCTTTTTTATCATGCATACAAGCACTTGCAAGGCCTTTGAAACCTTGTCTACAATTTTCTTTCATCAGACTGGTCAAATAACCTACATCATTGGCTTTCGGTGTCAAATCCTCCATCTGTCCTTTCCTTTACTGTTGACTCCTGACTAAATAACCACATCGTTAATGCTTTACTGCTGGTTCCACATCTTTAATGTGGCATATCCATAAATGCACTTTCAGAGAATGCACTTTCATAGGTCAAACATCAAGGTAGTTAGTGTTTTCTCTTTCTCTTTCTTTTTAAAATGATGCGCTTAGCTCCAACTGTTCAATTGACCTTTCTAAAAATTGTCTCAACTCATATCAAGAAATGTTTTTCTTGCAACTCCTAATGATTTGCTTTTCTGCTTAGTTTGTAACCTATTTATCGACGATTTTAATTGAGCTAGGCTAACAAAGATTTGCCCGAAACCATATAAAAGTAAAAAATAAAAAAAAGCTTGATGCGGCTATATTTAGTGTACGACTTTCACAACTGTTGGTCAGATCCAGCTGGTGAAACAATTATACAATGCCAGAGAGTTCACGACACTAACTTCAAAAGAAAAATTTACGTTGTTACTTTTCATCCAAATTAAAGTTAATGTTAACACCGTTGCCAGTTTTTGCTTTTTTGTGATGCGAGTTTGAAACCTGTTTTCAGTGGTGGCGCCAGCTATTACAGAGTGGGAGGGTAATGGTTAAAACCTTTTGCCTCGTTCCAGTGATTCGTCCCTTCCCTTGGGAAATTTGATCTACCCCTACCCAGCGCTTTTTAATCCATTTTTAGAAGAAATTTATCGACTATATTTTCAGAAAAGTGGGGAGGTAATTACCGCCCCATACCACCCCTTGGCGCTGCCACTGCCTGTTTTCTAGATAGCACAGCTCTGTCTGCAAAACACGGAGCAAAGTTGTAGATCAACTGATAAATCTTAAGTGAAATTATCAAATAAAATGGTACAATGCTGCATCTCGCTCCTCCTTCATACCAACCATCATATGATAAAAATATGACCACTTCCTTGAAAATACATGCTTTTTTCTTTGACAGTTAAACAAAAGAATGATAACAAAGTTCAGGCATCAAATGAAGAAATGATAGGATTATGTCAGGATATACGAAGCATAGAAAAACCAAGAAAAGCAAAATAGATAGAAAATAACACTTGAAATACCTTAAAAAAAATAATAGTTCAAGCTATGGGCCTTTTTCTTCCTGGCCAATTAGTAATTATGTAGCATTGACCAAAGCTGTTTTACATACTAAGCTAAATGTTAACTGATCAGCACTAAAAATGCCAAAATGAAAAGGCATGGCAAATGACCTGCCAGGATTTTCAAGGTATTTTCTAAATTTGATGAAAAATACAGAGTTATGAGAAAGATCTCCTTCATCTTGCAACGTTATGTTGACTGCAAACAATCAATTGTTACTTCAAAGGTCATTGTCACTTAAACAAGTTTTCAAAGAAAGCTCCCTACATCTGTCTTTTACAAACACCAACTTTATGATACAGTAGACTCTGATTACATGAAGTTACACCTAATGTTGCTTGAAAACTTGTGAGTGCAAACGAAGTGTGGCTGTAAGCAGAGGTAAAATATAATAGTTTTATATATTTCTATATTTTACATATTGGGTCTAAAAGTTATGTGAATGTAACCAGTAGTGTGACTTTAAGCAGAGTAATTATAAGCAGAGTCAGCCGTAATAAAAAAAACATCCAAAAGCACAATCATATACTTTTTGTATAAAATAGCAGCATGTGTTTCATGCCTTTTTTAATGAAAATGCAGTGGATCAAAAAAGGTTGATGAAAACTGTCTAAATCAATAATTGTACTAAGTCTCTGTGTTGATGATTGACAATATGACAAATTTTCCCATCATCATTGGTGTAGAAGAAGCAACAAGACAAGAAAGCTGCCGGTCCATCGTGTTTCCGAAACTGCTGCCAGGGTATAGCTATGTTCTAGCCAAACTTGCATCTTATTTGCAAGTTTTTCTTTACTTCACTTTAAAAAAGAAATGTATCAACACCCAAAGCTTAACTAAACCATTGAAAATAAAATCATTTTCAATATTCTATTGCTTGCATCAAGATGTCAAAAAGTGTGACTTTTTTGATGAACTTTGCAAAAATGTTTCATTCCAATTAATATCTAAACCAAAATTGGCATGATGAAACTTTGAAAACCCATCAAAAAGCATAAACAAACCTTGTATCTTGACACTGGGTACAAAGGTGTGATGACTTGCACAATTAGCTTTGTTCTGTAACAAAGATAAATTGATTTAAACATGAAAAGAACATGTGAAATTCAAATGGAAATGAAGATTTTAAAAATATTCTGTCTTCACCCATGTCAAAAATGAAGCTTCAAGTTTTTCAGAATGCATAGAAATGTCTTTAAACAAACACCAGTGAATCTGGCACTGTGACAATACTTTAGAAGTAGTAAAGAACAAAAACATATAGTTTGGCCATGGCAGCTAAGTGGTCATCCTCATAGCTTGGTGCTTGAAGTGGTGTATCAAGATCCGTACAATAAATTTAATCCATCCGGAAGCCTTGCAACAGCTACACAGAAAGTTACAAAAGTTTTTTCAGAGATGCAGTACTAGATGATAACTGACTGTAGAACAGGATTTGTGAAAATATTACATTGAGGGAAAATTCAAGTAAGTGACACAGCTGTGGTTTGGATTTGAAATAATGTCCAGGTAGCTCAGCTGGTACAGCAAAGACATATGTCAAATTTCCAATGTCCAAGGCAGGGCACAAATACCATTGGACCTGCTTTGATTTTCTCACTTGCTCAGACTTCTTCTCAATATATAAGGTAATACTGTATTTGTGTGAACAAAATAGAAAGTGCTGGCCTAACAAAGATAACAGTGAAGAAGTAAATGACAAAGAGTCAAATGTTGTAAATGATTACTGTAGTTTCTATGAGGACAACAAAAGAAACATGAAGTTGTAACAGAACCATGCCATTCCATACACCAAAGTTTGTCAATAACTGGCATATGTAGTCTAATAGCAAAATCTGAAGGTCTTTAAATTTTCCCTAAGAACTCCTGATAATTAAGGAAAATCTAAAATCAGTTGGTTAAATTTTTGTCATCAAAAGCCCATAATGGTAATGTAGCCAAGCCTGAATCTGGAATTTTGTTTCACTAATTCTCATACTAAACATTTAACAATTGGAGGCAAATGCTTCTACTTCTTTAAATCATCAAGGGAATGAATTTTTATCTAACAGTTATCATAAGAAATGGGAGGGTTCCTAAAAACTGAAAATAATGCTAAAAGTTTGGAGGCATTCAGCAAACTAGGCTATGGTATGTCATCATAAAATTCTGGGTGTGAAAATTCAGTTTTTATTTTCACATTTAAATTCTGTTACAACAGAAAGAAGAAGCAAATTGTTGAGCATTAATTTTTGAAGTGATTTCACCTGGTTTTTTTGTGATTTTTTGAAGTCATGTTGCCTGGTGATCAATCACAGATGCCCGATGATTGCATTAAGCATGAATCTCGGAGTAGCAACTTTGAACTGCCCTGTTATATACAACAAAGTCCTGTTCAGTACCTGTATAGCACTTCATATACGGCACTGAACACTTTATGAGAGAACGGTGAATAGTAGTTTTTAGACCATACTATCATATGGAATATATGCAAACTTTCAATAAATAGAGTTTACATAACAACAAATGCAGTAAAAAGTTTTGGTCAGAGAACTCAAAATAGACAGACCAAGGAAATAAGATACCATCCTTAATGTCAAACACGATTTCCTTTCGATTGATTGGAAAGACAATATTCAATTTTTTTAAGTTTAGTCAACAGCAGTCATACAGCTTTGCAAACAAACTTAAATTCTATTTCTAAAAGAAAATATTGCATAACAATTTTCATTTTATTCCAAAGGTTTGCCCCCATGTACCAGGACAGACTGCAAATCAAACTAGAGATCACTTTCTTAAGCCAACAAGGGGTCATCACATATTGACTGTCTCATCAATGAATGTTTAAAGTTAGAACCTTTGCTCTGTGCAAAGCTAAGCTGAAAGATATCTAGAAAATTTGTCAATAAATTGACAACAGGGCTTTTGGTTTGTTAAATGTTGGTTAATAGCTTATAGCACAAAATGTGCATGGTCTTGTTACCAAATGCTAGCAATATCAGATACATCAGATAATCAGATACTATCTTCTTCAATTTATTTGGACATGTGTTGGACCTGCACACAAATCTTTTTCAATTCTTAATACTGAATCTATCTAGCACATTACAATGACTGAAACCAAATTAAATTACATTACCTTTTTGCTTCTCTAAATTCTACACATTGAGCCTCAACGATAAAAATCAATTAACACACCATCTAAAATTTAAAAAAGGTTTATATGCTAAAAAAGCTAAGGAAATACTGCTAAGTGTCCGGGATCTTGCTGAGGTTCAGAATAAAGCTGGCCAAAAACCCAACAGAATCATTCTCTAAATGCAAAAGCAAAATAATAACTAGAAGCCATATGCAACATAGATCAGCATTGACATGCATGTAGTTTAAGTCTTGTCTGAAAATACTGATCTACAAGGAACAAGTCATGTGGGTTGTCTCAAGAATGGATTGAGCATAAAACTCAGAGCAGCCAAGTAAAATCCAACAGGTTTTAGCACCAAACCAGATATAGATAGCCCATTGTCTACACAGAATTCAATACTTGACAGCATATCAAGCGAAACTGAAAAAATGTTCTTTTAACAAAACGACAAGATATTTTTGGCGAAGAATTATCTCGGTTCCAAACGTAAAAAAGAATATTATTTTGCATTTGCTTCCTGATGTTGGATCATTTTGTACGAGTAGGCATTTCTATGTGTTGCAGTTCTTTGATTTCAAACTTTATACTACAAAGAATGAATATTTGTTAACCTTTTAATCAATGACAACTATGAAAATGACCTATAATAATAAATAGAGCAACAAATTTTGATATTGCAATCTCATTATTACCTTCACTACAATGCAAACAACTATATCTCCTTCTTCAGACGTATGAAGACCTATTAAAATGGGCACATACAATACAACCTCTTTCCTAGAACTGTTGTCGATTCGATAAGACTCTCAGATATATCTTATTTTAACATTTTAAAGTGCATTTTAACATTGTTGTTTATGGCTGTCATAGTTGAAACCTTATGAAATTATGTTTTTTACAGCTATGACAACTATAAAATACTTAAGTGTAGATTAAGTTGTTTCTAGGTGTTAAAATAAAGATATTATATCTATTTTTGGAGAAGACTTTTTGGATGGTTGAGAACCAAGACTGCAAGTAATCTTTATATGTTTTGAAGAGCCTATAGACTTTCTTGTTTGTATTTCATGAAAAGTAAAATATATATTTAGAAAGATTTTTTGCTCTTTTGCAAAATATGACAAACATGCTTGCTATATCAAGTTTGTTTCAATTCTTAAGCAGGTAGTATGCTTCTGCTACTCTTGACTAGCTTGTTGGATTTTATGATCTAATTGCTTCCATCTTCACATTTTGCTGTGGTAATTTTAGTTAAATATTACTTACTTATTCATTTGTTAATCTAATTGAAGAGAATGCGTTAGCAATGCTCAGCATTTAAGCTTTTAAGCGTTAGCTTTTAAGCGTTAGCATTTAAGCTAAAACCAAGAAAAGATGTCCCCAGTGAATTAGAGGGATTTGATGGATAGAAACTGAATCAACTGTTATATAGTGTTATAAAAGTGTTGGGCTTTCTGGATGTTATGTAATTTACTAAAGTATTTTTGGTTACCAGAACTTTTTTTAAAAAACTTTTGGTTAACAGAACAATTTTTGCTATTCTTCATTCTCTAGTAGATGTTTAAAATAGAAGAACAAACTGCCAAAAATGAGCAAATAATACCTTAAATAAAATGGCAATACTTCATAAAACATATTTTGGAATTTTACTTTTTTCAAATTGTTCTGCTTCCCATAAGTTTTTTGTTACTTTCAGCATTGCGTTGTTATGGTGATGAGTATTTGGAGAGTGTCAGTTAAAATTCTGAATCAACATTTCTGACCAGACGTCAACTCAAAGAAAGATTCCTCTTTTCTCAATAGCTGCATTATAACTGTTTTATGGTAAAACGATTTGTAACAATGGGTTTCATGCGAACTTTCAACTGTTGAGGTCATGTTTCATGTTTCATGTTTCAACTGTTAAGGTCATTCCCAGAGATGTGGGCTATAGCCCACGCCCGTGCAAACCCCACGCAAAATGAATTTGCTAGGGCTTTTCCGCCCTCACAGTTTAGCTTCCCAATATTTGCACTACTTACCGCTAAATATCAGGGTGTTAGTAAATAAAGAGAAAGAGGTCTTTTTACACATCTACATATTTATCACATGTTAACAAACTATCAAAATATTGCCTGAAAGGAATAAAATAGTGTGATTAATGCTACAAATAATTAAAGTGAGAAATGATATACCATGCTGTCAAATGCAAAACAATTTCTTTACAAGTCATGACATATAAACTAGGCATTCCCAAAAAAGCCACATTTGATCAGCAAAACCAAACAAAACTTTGCTATATTCCACAAAAAATTATGTTCCTCATTGGTCTAGTTTTAAGGAGTGGTAATATAATTAGTATTTTTGCCTTTGTAAACAGTCAAATATAAAAAATTGCTAAATAACTCACGCAGTCAAACTGGCAAGGGCTTTTTATAGTCCGCATTGTTTTTTCCCGAAAAGGCCTGAAATGTTTCCTAATAAATCTTTGAATGTTATTCATACGGGAGTTTAAAAACTCATTTTAATTTTAGCTTGGTTACACAGAAGGTCGACACCTTTTTGCTGTCAAACCAATATTAATGGGTGATTGTAAACAGAATTTCACTGTAAGCGGAATGTCAGCTGGATAATGCTGATTATATGAAAAACATCAGAATTTTGTGGATTAGTGGAGTATCAAATGATTGAGTGTCAAACTTGATAACCTAAAGCAAAAACTGTAAGAGACAATAAAAAACAGAAAAAGACATTTAAAACATATTGTGCAGAGTGAGGGTATAGAGAATCTACTGCCAACTCAGGAAGTAAAATGTAAAAGAGAAAGAGGAAGACAAATAATGATGTATTGGAGCAACATCAAAGAATGGATTAATAAGACAAATGGAAATAAACTTGTTCAAATATGTCTAGAGAGAGAATCTTTCAAGACCATGATTGTCAATGCATTTGCACATGCCATGTAATGATACAGAAGATAAAAGTCTGGGTCTATATTTGGATGGTACATGAGTGAGGAAGCTACAGTGACTGTTGGACTAAAATTGGATTACTCGGAAGAATGGAAGGTCTGTTTGTCAGACTAGAAAACCTGAATACAACACAGTAAGGTTGTCACATTTCTGTGTGCATTTGATAAATAAGAAAAATCTTTAATTCAAACAACCAGAAAACAAAAGTAAATGATAAAAAACTTGTTATCATCTTCAAATTTGCCCAATCTATATTTGCATCAAAAGTTGACCTTCTGTGTGTGTTTACAGCATACTTTCTATTTTGGTTCTTCCGGGGTTCATACTAAGGCCTGTCTTGGATCATGCTCTATTTCTAAGTTACACTTTTACCTGAACCAAGAAATCCAATTCTGGGTAAATATTTTGACTACTTCTAATGCGACCTATTGCTAAATATAAAAATCAAATTATTAACAATAACTCTAAAATGGCATTTTTACCCAAAGTGGAACAAATTTGGAGACAGTTAGGATACCTCCAGAGACCCGTCATTTGGTTCAGCCAGATACATGTTAACAAAAGGTTGAAAATATTGAAGAATTTAGTATTTGCGTACAGTGGTGTTGGCCAGAGTTTAAGGTCTTATCCAGTGTCTACCATTTTTGTTGTTGGACATGCCTTGGTTTCCAGTTTGGATTCAACATACATTACTATTCATGTATGTGGTATATTTCAAAAGATGTGCTTACATTAATTTATTTTGCTTTTTACGATGCAACAGCAAACATACTATAGATTTTATTATTTTGTGGCATATCTAACAAAAATCTAATTTAACATCAGTTTGCTAAATATATTTGTTTTATTTTGCCACAACATACCCTATGATGAAAAGCACATTCAATCATGCCAAAACAAAAACTAGACAGCAAAACAGTTAATTTATTAGAAGCTGTCAAAACAATTTCTCCAAGCGATTTAAAAGAGTAACACTGTTACATTAACAATTACAAAAAAGTAACTAGGTACCTATCTCTTCAAAAACTGATTCATCAGTTTATGTATAGCTTTCTGCAAAATCGACATGTATGCGGTGTATTTGTTTTACTAACTTAATTTTGAAGGAAAATACGAAATTCGTAGTATTAATTTTTGGAAATCTAGATTGTGCTCAGTGGACCACCACCAAAAAGAGTACTGCGCAGTTTCGCATGAAAGCCTGATTTGCAAGCATGCTAAATTTATCACGCCATTGACTTAATGTCAACCCTCGTTTAGTTGTTTATTTCAAGTGCTCAAACCTTTATTAGCAATCTTTGTAGCCAATCAAAAGAATAGAAACAAGGGAAAAAAACAATTTTCCGCATCTCACCTGCGACCTGCCTTTTCATGAGTTCCTGGGAAATAAACTTATTCTAATTCTCTAGTTCCCAGTCTCTGTTCCTTAATTGAGCCAATCAAAACAGACTACAGAACGAGCCCGTTCATCCACCTCAAAACATTAATGGCGGCAAAGGTCACATGTTGTAGTGGTATTGGACCAAGATGCAGCGGAAAGCACAAAACTCTGCGAAAGTTCTAGATGATAATTTCATTAAAGAGAGAATAAAGGATTCAGAAAGGTGATTAATTTATACCTTGCCAAAGATCAAAATTTTTAGCCATTCCAAAGAACTTTTCTACACGAGTTTACACAAGAATTTCTGTTCGCGCGAGTTTAGGCCATATCAAACTGGTTTGTTCTTATTCATAAAAACCTTTCTTAGGACCAACATACGTTTTCATTAGATTTAAACAGGTTTGGGGATGTTCTCACAAGCAATGTTTCCATGTGCTAAGATAATTTTTCCTACTTTATTTAAAATTGAAACCAGACCTGTCAACCTTAAATTGTCAAAACCTGGAGATTTCTGATTTTTCGTTGAGAAAAACAAGGAGATTTGGCCAAAAACAGGGAGGTCCCTGGAATTTTTGGACTTAATAAACAACATACCTGTCAAAAATGTCATGTTGGACAAACAGTTAATGACAACAATTATCCTGAGCAGGGTCTTCCTATGGCTTTTAACATTTTCGTTAATTTGTAAACATGAACAAAATACTTTATCACGGGGAAAGTCATTTCAGTCATTTTTGTTATAAGAAAACCTCTGCTGAAAGACAAAGAAAAACACAGAGAAAATCATAAAAAACGGGGAGACCGGGAGAAAGCAAACAACACCTGGAGTCTCCTGGCATAGCCCGGAGAGTTGACAGGTCTGTGAAACATGTCAAGCTTAATCATAAACAAATACAAAAAGCTAATTAATAGCAACTAGCATACCAGCAACGCAATATATGTAATAATAAGTCCTTATTTAACAACTATCAAATTACCAACAAGCATTATAGCAATGTCTAGAAATATGTATATATATATATATATATATATATATATCTGTATTAAGTATGGTATCAATGAGATACATAATCTATCTATGCAATATGTCCCACCTTGGCTATATAGACCAGGCGTATATTGGGGCGAGGGTCAAATCTCTCCAAACGTTTGCCACCATCATATTTAGCTACCCTTACCCTCTGGTAATGGGAAAATTTTGGTAAACGACGAATACCTGCTGCGTTTATCAAATATATGAGCATTCTCCCATCCTGGGGTTACAGACAATTTTGAATCATGTGCACTGCAGCCTTTACTGTACCTGTTCTTACTCTACATTGAAGTAAAGGCCTGGCCAAACGATCCAACATTTCACCCAACATTTTGCCCAGCAGGGGCTGTGATTTGTTTAATTAGTCTTTTGAAGACTTCTAGACTGATAACAGCTCTAACTTTGGCCAGCAAGTTATTCAAAATCTGAAGACACTGTTTCAATTCCGTAGAAAACTGTGTTGGGTTTCTTATACACCAGGCCTGTTTGGAACAAATAGTGTGGAGGCTATACGCATGGCATATTTTTTGGAAATTACCTTATGCTTCATAGAATAATGAGAATTGTTTGGCCTTTCTGCATGGCATCACAGACCTGACCTGTTCTATGCACCAAAGGCTGTGACCGCAAATTAAATTCAGCTTTTTCACTTTTAAATTGTTTAAAGATAAATTTGAAATAATATATTTTCCTGTCAGGCAAAGCTTGAAACCTTTAGAGGGATATCAATATGTTGCAGTCAGGATATCTTGCCTCTGCACATAAGCTACCATGTCAACCATGTCATAAATTGAATACTAAGTCATGTATATATGAGCTAGAGCAAAGTTCCTTACAGCTCAAATTTTTTTACTTGCTAACCGCAGCTGAAAAAGAGCTTTTGATGGCAACTACACATAGCCAAGACCACACATGTTCTCCAGCCTTGGTGTTGAGGGTGCACCTGGTTTTTCTGCTTCTGCAGACACTGGGAAGGTCACAAAACTAAAAAAATGAATATCAAAGTACACATTTCATGGTTTTGCACCAGTATGGATTCAGTGATTTTTGCTTGCCACAGATGGTAGCAAATATTTGTCCAGCCTAAATGAGCAATAATTGTCCAACTGAGCAGGGGGTAGGCCCTGAAATGAGCAAAAGTTAGGTGCTTGGTTATTCAAGCTCTACCATTCAGTTAGGCACTTGACTGAGCTCCTATATTATTTTTGTCTTTTTATCATATTTTCTTAAATGTATGCAATCAACACAGAAAAGAGGCAGGTGGAAAATGGCATTGTGATCTGAATGTTAGTTTGGACTTGTAAAGCCCATGAAAACTTTGCAATTTCAACAAAGAGTATGAATATATTTATTATTGTTTTACAGAGATACACGGGAAGACATTGTCTAAATATTTATGAAGTAATTTTGCAAATTCACAAATCAACAAGAGGAGTTATGTAATGATCAGCTAGGTGCTCGGACAATCAAGCCCATAAATTTTCTGAGGCATATGTGGAGCCGCCTGGGCTCTATCGAGCACCTCTCATCCCAGGGCCTATGCTTTTGCCAAAAAAATGCAAAAAATCAATCAATCAATGAATCACCAGTCAAACCTCTTTCTATTCAGTTTTAGCCCCCCTCTACTTATTTTAGAACCCACACTTTTCCCAATGCTTGGTGATGTTTTAAAGGGCTTGCAAACGCAATTGGTGCTCAAGTTTTTGAATGAAAAGTTGCCAACTAGGCCTACTAAAATTAACTGGTGTTAATGTTAACATACTGCTCTAACAACTTAATTTTTTCAACTGCTTAACAACAGATAACTGTATGAACATACGATTTTGCTAAGGATGCCTCTCTTGTGGTGCTGCCTTGTGCTGCCTATTATCAAGGTATCAGAGATGAAGATAAGATAACCTAATGGTAGCAACCTTTTAGATAAAACTGATGAAAATTGTAACTTTCTCGTGCCTGGAAATTTAGCAGAAGTGGTTTTTTTTGTGAAATAAATGATGATAAATACTTTTTCAGTATTCATTTTGCTCACATCATGTAGAATGTTTTCACAGATGTTTATAATATCATACAAATGGGACTTGAAGTAAAAAACTAAATTTTCATGTAGTTAAGTATTATACCCTAGAAATTTCATTATTTGAATAAAAGGTCAATCATTTCAGAAATGTTATTATTTTTGTTGTTTAATACTTAAATTTGAGTTTTTATTTTTCAGATTTGAAAATAACAAAGTTTGTATTGTTGGAATCATTGGAAGTTGTCACTTGGAAACTAAGGATTCTCTCTGTAACAATCTAATAGGCAAACAAGTTTTCACAAATGTATGCTATTTTTAATTAAATCTTCTTTTTATGGGTCTTTTCTCTATCTGTCTGATAAAAGGTGCAATTGCTTGCAAAAGGTATTTCATGCAAAGTGTTAGTTGCTACCTGAATTTGATTTTTATATTGCACCCAATGCCATGTGGGTAGAGCTGTACTAAATTTAGTGTGTGGAAAAAGATCATGGGCAAAGCCAATGCAAAACGTTTAGGTAGGCTTTCTATAGATCCTGTCAATATATTATTGCCACATGGGGATTTAATTGCACAGTGGAACCTGAAATGTTAGCCTTCCTAGCCCCTATGTCTATGAATAACTAATAACTATGAATAGGATTGTTTTAAGTTGCAACAGCAATTTTCATGATTAATGCAATGATCAGGCAATGAACTATTATCTATGTTCTTTGAAATAGAACAAAATGGATTGATAAATTTTCCTCAATAGACAATAATTAACAGACACAACTTCTCCTATTGCTTGTTATGTGTACTCACATTTATGTCAATATTTCAAGTTTACATATTGGCATGTTGCATGCTTTGCTCCAATCATTGCTAGCCTTGCACCACTGTACAACGCAACATTTACAATTTTGTACCTTATTCACCCTGGGTAAGTAGGAATTTTAATTGTTGTGTTTTCTGTATTCCAGAAAGGAAGTCCTGAAAATTGTGCAGAGGTTTGTATGCCTATCACAGTTTTGTTTTCTAAATGCATGAAATGTGTTGTCAAACCCAGTTACAATATACCAAACATAACGTTAAAACCAGTTAAACCATTTTTTCTATTTTCACACACTTAAATATGCCTGGCTAAGGCTAAATTAATGAAACTTTGAATCTTATAAACTTTGAAACTTTGAAAATTTAAACATTTTGTCAAACTTGGGGTATATGTTGCATCAATTTTTTTCCAGCAACATAGAGGCTCCAACGCAAGTTTAAAAGTGGGGGGCCAAGACCCATAACAAAAGATTTTGCAAAAGAGCTCATCCTTTTTAAAAGAAATGCCCTCCCCCTTTATTTTTCTTTACTTACCTAATCAAGCATTCTTGGTTTTGCAGGTTTCAATCAAGCTATACCATGATGTTCCCCAAAGAATAATATATTTACAATTATCATCAATAGAAGACCCTTCAGTTCTAGTTGCAGCATGCAAGCACATCCAGGGAGATATTTCTCTGACCGTATGTTTTGCATTTTTTGCTTTTTTCTTCCTTTGTTGTTTAAAAAAATTTTGACATCAACCAGGTTGTCTAAATCAGAAATAATTGATGTAAAAGAAATTCACAATAAAGAAATTTGCATTTTTTTATTTTCCAGGATCACTAATGTATAAATGCCTTGAAAGAAGAAAACATTTTAAAACATGCTCAAGCCTGAATGATTTAATGTAGTTTTAGAAGTGGTAGTGCATTCTTTATTGTTTAAGAATCTTTCAAAAGTATTTAAAAGGCCAGCCTTCATGAGGGAAGCGGGTAGGGCAGATAGTCTTGTGAACATGTGACCCCTATTTCTTTGCTGTCTTTTGAATAAGTGTTTGCTACGACTTGCAAGATATTAAGATCTTCTCTGACAGAATTTCCAACTTTGGGTAATAACTTTTTCTAGGGATAATATCTAGGAATTCACTTTAACCACCCTTCCATCGCTATTTTGCATTATGTTTCATATCTGTTACGAAAATTATTTGTTTTTGTTCCGCAGGCCCCTCTTGACTGCCTCTGGTATCAAGTATTTGTGGTTTTATTTGATATTTGTTTTTGTAGGGTCAACATCAGTATTGGCAGACAAAAGAGCACCAATATTTTGCTGCACTTTTATTCATATTTTCAGTTTGCCACATTGTTTTGGTAAGTTGTGCTTCCATCATTTTCTATATTGCCTTGAATGTCTCTGTTTTATGAATTATTTTTTCACTGTGATAATAGTTTATATATCAAACACAAAAATAATGGTTGATAATTTTTCCTTAATTAATGCAAAAAAGCAAAACTCTAGGAATCTAAGCCATTGATTGTAAATAAGCCACAGTTAATAGCTAAAAATATTGTGATTATGATTTTTTTTAATGGAGCACAATGTAAATTGGAAAGACATACTCCATAGGAAGAATATAGAAGGGGCTTGATGAACTTATGGTGCACAATCAGAAGACCATTTTACTGTATTTATTCATTAGTTTTGATGCTTTTACCTCATTGCTTTTGCCTGTTAATTGTGACAAAGTTTACAGATTGTTGGTAGGTCTTTTGTTTGCTATTGCTACAATTGATATTTATTTTGCTCATCTTTATAACATTTCAATTCACTTCCAGGTCTGTTTTCCTACACCAAGATTTGACTTGAGCTATCTTAGACTGTTCAAATTACTAGCATCTGTGAGGTGAGTTGGTGTGTTATCTAGAATCAAACGAGTCTTCATTGAACACCTGACGTTTTTGCTCTGGGTGATTCCATCTTTAGAGTTCAACTACGGATCTTTTCTTAGAGATTCTAGGTCTAATTTTTCTAAAAGCTAGATTATGACTCAAAGGTGCAATTTTCTCTCGAGCACTCATCAAAGTTGCTCATAAAGGTTATCAGTAAGGGTAATCGAAAGAATTAATAATGTTAATGACTCAAAGAAATATTTTTACCCATGCTTAAACTTTGTTGAAATTACTCTTAGGCACAGCATGCTACCACATATATGTGGATTGCTATCTAGCATTGAAGGCATTCCTGAAATATGGAAAACAACTGGTAGACCATGTATTCCACGAATCATAGTCTCTTTCCAGGTATCCTTTTAGTCTATTTGAATTAGAATCGAAACCTTTGCAAAATAAACGCATTCTTTTTCGCATTTATTGGTGTTGTTTGTCAGATCTGTGTCATTTTATAATTATGAAATTAAATAGCCTTTATATAGTTTATTATAAGATTCTTTTTTGTGACAGTTTGTCAAAACAGAAGTTTCGTTTATATTATAGGAAATAGGGTCATTTGATTTGCATCAGTTTTGATAAAGTGAAAGACTTTTCACTGAAGAAAGGACCCAATGAGAAAAAGGTATAGGAATGTCATAAAGGAATGGCATTGAAATCAAGATAGTGAGAAAAATTACCCATAATAACTTTCTTAAGTCAAATATTAATTAACGGGATCTTTTTTTTAAACAGGTGCCATGGATGAAAGAAGAATCCAAATCGAATGAGGTTAGTATTTTTGGTTTTTTTGTCGCTGATTAAAATTTCTTTCAATAAGCAACATTTTTACCCTTGATAGTCGAATTGATTTTCAAAATTCTGGTATAGAAACACGTGATAAAAGAGGAAAAAATTGTATTTCAAGTAATCCTGGCTTGCTTTCTCTATATTTTAGTCATTTTGGCTGATGATACTTTTAAAACAGGTATTTTGACACTTTTTGTTGGTGGTTTTATCAAACATTCCTTTTTCTAGGCATCGCTGTCCAGAATACAGCATTCTTTGCAAGAGCAAATTCATTACATTCTGAAAAAGAACAGGCTTCTTGGCAGTTTGAGGTGAGATACCAACGGTGTCTATGTTCCAGTTTAATGCAGAATAGAGGCTCTTTTAGTAAAAAGAGAACTTTAAGAGTGCAGTATAAGGGGAGAACAAAGGAGATATTCAAAGAACTAAAAGGACCTTGTATAGGATTTGTTATGCAGGTTAATATATTTTGGTGATACAGGGTTAAAGAGGATTTGTTTTGAGCAGTATATTCATTCCTGCTCGACGACAAAAGATGGGATTAGCTCAAATATGTATGAATGTGATCAGTACAAAGTTTCATACATAGTATCATTATAATCAATCTTGTTAAAGTGATTGTTTGAGTTCGTTAAATCAAGAACCTGTGAAAAATTAGTTTCAAGGAGTTGATCTTTGATATATTTTCAGTCAACTAGAAAATTTCTGGTACAGCAGTATAGGCCAGCTTGTTTCAGCGGTCATGCTATGATTCCTTTTCTCGCACATTTTTCAGTAAACGGTAGTGGGTGATTATCTAAGCTAAATCTTTCATGGAGGCAACTGGGTTATTACTTTGCCTTATAAGATAATTTTTTGATATTCTTTTACTCTTGCTTTACATTTTGAAAACTTTATATTTCAGCTCAAGCTCCTTGTTTACCGTCAGTTCTCCAAATCCAACATTTGTACACGTCCAAGCGGGGTGCAAGCTTTTCTCTGACCCAGCACATTGGTGCATTAATCGCCTTCTCAAGAATTCAGTCAATGTTGAAAGTGGTATGTAGACAAAAAGTTTCGTTACTCTTCGAAAAAAGTTGGCTGCCTTTACGAATAGGCCAACCTTTTCTCTATGGCCATTTTAAGGTTACGGTAAACGTTTTTGACACGATATTTGGTTTTTTCTCCCTAAAAGCCAAAATATTAACCGAATCAGATGAAACTATACATCATTCGATGCACAAGATTGTGGTTATTCCAACCATTTCAAAATAATTGATAAATATTGTAAAATGATACTTTCCAGGCAAATTTGTTGCTTAAATGAGTGTACCACCTTCAAATTTTGTACCCTTGCGTTTGAGATAACAAAATCTGACTTATATCAGCAGAAGGTGCAGATCCTAAGCTACCAAAGTTTGTCTCAAATTTTATAAATTCCTCCTCCCCTTGAAACTATACCCTGTCAAGAATTGGCAAACAATTTTTCTTCCTTCTCATAGCTTTATTTGGCTATAAAAGACGGACCAGAGCAACTACAAAAATTTTGAGACACGCTTGGCCTACCCGACATCTGTCCTGGCCGTGTGCAAATTTTTGAGCCATTCGATTGGTTTCTTGGGTACAAAATAGCTTTTTCGTACCTGTATGTAGAGGAATTGTAAGTCCGGAGAAAACGGGATTTTACTGATTACACTTGCAAGGTACACTCGTAAACCACAGTGTAATCCGGGTCAAATCACTCGTAGCTTTAAGATCAATAAGCCTGTTAAATAAACACAGCCTTACATGAGATACATTTATGTGCCATGCGATATTGTAAGTGAGACATGCGACCACAACCGCAAAGCAACCATAATCGGCTTAACAGGTCAACAGATTTTCAGACCTCAACTAAAAGTTTTAATAAAGAAATTATGGAAACCTTCGTTTACTTGGGAATTTTTCCATTTTCAAAATATCTGTTTGTTTCAAATTTGTTTATGTTATTAAACATCTGATATAAATACAAATATCTGTTAGTTATTAAACTGTTTTATAATTTGCTCTATAAAAGAAAGAAGGCTTATTTAAGTAAAGTGTTTTTCAATATTCTGCAGTGGTGTTCCAAAGTTTCGCAATTTGACAAAATCATCCTTAAGGTACTAATGCTTTTTCAGCACGTGTTATTGCATGATCATTGTCAGTCAAATTTATAGCCATAGCTGAACTGATTCTTTCAAATCATTCTAGGTACATTCGAACATCTTTCCTATATAATGCATTTGCAGTTTCGAGTCCTTTTCTTTTAACATCCTAATGTACCTATCACTTCTCATCTGAGGGCAATGCCACCCCGTTCTTGTTCTGGTCTTGCCCGATCAAACCTTAGTCTTGCAATGGTAGAGCGACTTACAATTTTTTAAAAAAAAGCAAGCTTATGATGATATTTCTTGCGATTTTGATGAACTGGAATTTCTTATTCCTCGCATCTTTACGGAATTTGGTTTTTTATTCCCTTTTAGTCATTCGGTCACTTTGTGGGAAAGGCAATCAGTCGAGTTTCTTATCGCAACCCCCCAACTCCCCTGCTGGCGATCATTCCTTGTTTTCACACTCGCAAGAGATTTCTTTCCAAGATTTCGTCAACAAGCAGATCGACTATATGATGACCGTTGAAAGTAGAGATATTCCCGTTGAAGGACGTAGGGGAACTCACGTGGAGGTATGGTGCACGTTTTATGATATTATTCTTATGTTTTGACATTATTATCATACTAGCCCTACTTTTTGTCGTATTTTCAGTCTGCGCGTTTGAATGAAAAGTTTTTGCCATGTCAGAGTTTGCTGGTTTTGGTAAATTACCCCAATTAATAAAGATTTCGATGATTGAGCGTTGGCCGACACTTTGCATCAGTTAATTTTGTAACTTTTTTAGGAAGCTAAATTCAGTCTTTAATTGGAAGTTTTGTTTTGCTTTTTATAGAACTTGGGATAGAAGCGACATTGTTATAAAATGCATTTTGCTATTTTGCTATTTGGATATTTTGATCTTTACCGAATTGAAAACTTATTAGTCAGTCTTGATCCATTTCATCAATTTTTGATGACAAAGTACCAGATAGCCAGATCAATTTTTTAATGTCCTTTAAATTCAGTCGCTTTTATGGAACTCTATCTAGAGTTCAAAAGTGTTTTGAACCCTGTTTCGGTATATGAGCTCATGGTCAGGAGTTTTCCGTATATGTTTTATTCTATTCATTTTAATATCTCAACTATATTTTGACTTTTCAAGATTAATATAGACTTTTGACTATATTATGAAGTTAAAAATTAAGGTGCAATTAAGTTCTCATTAATTGAAATTATTCCCAAGAAAATGTTTTTGTTTGCCATTAATGAATTAATTGTTTTTTCGAAATGGCTTGATATGTCGTCTTCAATTTGTGTGGACAATTTTCTATATTATGTAAAGGGTGTTCTTGTACCCCACGAAATAAGCTAAAAAAACCAGATTATAAACGCCTATGGTCTAGGTTATGTATCGTTTTTTTATGAATTCATTATAGTAACCATTCCATTGCCGTTTTTTCAGTATCTTAGAAAACTCATTTGTTTTTGTTCCTCAGGCCCCTCTTGACAGCCTCTGGTATAAAGTATGTGCGGTTTTATTTGATTTTTTTCTTGGAAATGAAAATGATGTCAACAACCTTGTGACAAACATGGCTCCTTCGCTTGATTATGACTGGAAGTTTTCAGAAAAGTATGTGAAATTTTTGCCGGCAATGTTCACCTTTTCTGGCGTGCCTTGTTGATTAAATAATGTTGCTTCAATGCTATTTTGGTTAAACCTATATTTTGTGTTTTGGACGGGTCTTTCAATGCCCTAAGTTATTCAAGGCCTTAAGAAATATATTACTCTTTTTGCTTTAAACAATGTCTTGCACGGTTTTTTCTATCATACTTTAAATTTGTCTTGGTCACCACTAGGTACACCAAGTCTGTTTGAGTGCCTCACTAACACTTATAAAAAATAATCACAATATGGTCAATAAATAGTTGTTTGTTTATGTATTGTGATTGTATTTTCGGCAAGGGATGGCCTTTCGTTTTGGACTTAGTCACTTGAAACAATCTGAATGATCTGCTACTTCAATGTAGTTTGAAGTATAGGGTCATAAAGATATAAGCCGTTAGAACGAAAGACTTGTTTCCCCGGGTTGTTTCAACTGGAATAGATTCGGGAAGACTTTATTGGCTAAATTAATAATTTCTTGGTATCTTCCTCTAGACTCAACACTTGCTCCCTAACTTAGGAATCTTTTTATAGCCGATGCCGAAAAGTCATACCACTAGCCACAAATGCTTATCTTGACAACCTACCGTCGCATTATACTCACTCCGTTCATCTTCAACAGGTATGGTTCTTACAGATTACGTCATTCTTATTCAAGGCAGTTATTTTGATAATGACCTTAAAACCGTAGATGGCTTCCATTGGTGATCCTACGCGCGTTCACTACTAGAAGGCTTTCAGTGAACTATTACAATAGAAAATTTTTATATTGTTGATAAATAGTAAATGAATGTAGACGAGACATCGTGCTCTTTTTCTTATACATAAAGAGAATGGGTCGATATGGGTTGAGGACGAAAGATCAAGTTCTTTTGAAATAAATTTGACGTTAGTTTAGTGTTTTTCATTTTCGCAAGCCTAATGTTTCAATGTAGGTGGAATTGAAACGAAAAGGAAGAAGGATGTCAATTTTGTCTCAATTTTTACTTGTGTCCTGGTCAAAAAAAACAAAGCGCCATTTGACCAAGTGCGATATGTCAACAAAGAGCCAATCAAACGCGCTGTTCTCTCTCACGTTACTTTCGATCCGTATCTGGATGTTAATTTTTGCTTATCTTCTGACATTCATAATCTGAGGAATGTCGAGCGAAATATACTTTTGTAGGATATGTTTCCGCTTTTCCGTGCTACTTTCACGCTTCCCCCCTGTTGAAGCTCCATAAAGAGAAGCATAATATGTCTGTGTAGTATTTTAATTTCTCTTTTCTACTGTAATTGTATAGTTAAACAAGGTTAATCAGGTGAATTTCTTTTAGCTAAGTCAAGCGCTACACGTTTACACATTGAATGCGAGAGGACCGGCTTTCGAACATTATATAGCACAGCTTCAAGAAGACTGCAACCAGGTTTGTTTTTTCCAAATAAACCCAAGATTTGAGCAGAGAACAAGCAATTTGCTTGTAAAGAAAGCTTTTAAATAAAGCTTAGATTGAACTTAATTAGTTTTCTTTTTTTTTGTGTATTTAAGTGGCATGGTGACAAAGATTAGATATCGTCACATGCACCTGAAAATTCTAACTTTTGCAGTGCAAGTGCATCTGAAATAAAAGGTATGATATATGAAAACAAATGAAATTAAGGACAGTAGTCTCCTCTGCACCTGCCCGTTATTGAGTTACCTTGTTGACACCTCTCTCGCCGTTAATATTACTTGTATATGTAAAAGAAGCGAAACTTGAAAGCTGTATAGAAACATGCAACCCCAATAAAATTTCAAGTAATACAGGCTGTGTTTCTTTTGCAGTTAACGGTTTGTGGATTTGAAGTGTAAATCAAACGTTTATGAGTTTAAGTTTTACCAATTTAATGTTATCCAACAATCAACTTTGAATATAAACCTGCTGTCGTAATTTGAAAAGCAGGTTTACTGTTGAAGCAAGAAGATATATATAATGAAAGATCTACCATTTTTGTATTATTTAAGTCCACATTCAAATTTTAGTAACTGTAGGTCCTTGGTTGAGGTCTACTTATTGTCATTACTTTTATTATTTTTAAAATCTTAAAAAATATTTTTGGTGATACCATATTTAAAATGGCTTTGAGTTTCAATAGATATTTAAATTCAAGTTTTATTACGTTATTCTAGATTTGGTGGAATGGTCGACAGTTGTGTGAAATACGGAGTTTGACGGGGCAACCGTGTGTGTATCCGGTAAGTTCGTCATTTAATTTATCTGTCTCCCAAACCTGCAAATTTCTTGGCTTAAAATCAACAAGGCTTGAAAACAAGGTCTGAAATCAACACAATATATATGGGGGCAAAATTATGGAACAATCTACCTGTAGAGATAAGAACTACCTCTTCTAAATTCTTATTCAAAAGTATTTGAAAAAGTATCTTCTAGAAGCTATTTGACAGTCAGTGAGCTTTGCAAAATTTCTTGTTTAGTCCGAAAAGTAATTTAATTTAATTCAACGAGAAAAAATTATAGATGAACATATAGATCGCTGAAACAAAAGGGGGGCCTTCATCTCGTTAGTTAACCTACTTTGAAGGCTCCTCCTTAAAAATTCTGCTGCGATTGATCTTTTAATTAATGTATTGTTGTTGTTGCGTTCTTTAGTTGATTTGTTTATAATTTATATAACTAACTAGCTTCTTTAGAAATATAGTGGAATTTGAATTAAATAAAAAATCAAATCAAAATCAAAATCGGGAATCAAATAATGCTTTTTTGGGGTTGTTTTATGTCTGTATAGACATTTCCATACCCCAATTATACATTTGATCTCCTGTCATGGCCTACACGCTCATTATATTGTAGTCACCATATTTGATTTGGGCTTGCTTAATTTTTTTCGAAGCAAAACCATTGTTATATAAACTTTACTTATTGTTCAACTGTGTTTTTTATAAATCTGTTTCTTAATAGATATTTCTATTTTACCTCTAGCAATTTTTGCGACATGCAAGAAAAACTTCCACAAATTTTCGATCCACAGAGATCAAATTTCTCCCTCTCCTATCTTTGCAACTATAGCTCCAAAAAGAAAGACTCCTCAGTGGCACATCTCAGTGCATGGGATGGTTGAATCTTATTTCTCATACAAAGCTCTATCTAATGCTTTTATAACTACTTGCGTTGTTGATGAAACTTTTTGCATAATCAACAGGAATTGAGGCAATTATCGTAACTCTAAAAAACTGCAATAGTCGGTATAGAGCACAGAGTAAATTAAATTGTTGCAGCTTCTAAGCCCCTTTAAAGATCGAAACTTTGCTTCAAACAGCGTGTTCTCGAAGAAGTAGTGCATTTTAACGCACTTTCGTATTAATAATTTATATCTGAGTTGGTGGCTTTAACACAATTGCTATTTTTAGTATCATGTGAACTTGAAATTTGCCTCAAACTCGATTTTCGTTTTTCAACCTAACCTTTATTTGCATGTAGTGGCTTCCTTTCTTTTGGCAAATTAAAGGCCTCAAAAGAGCTTAAAAGTAAATTTATCATGCTTGTAGATGTCCCTTTGATTAGCGCCTCTGATTCGTCTACTTTTGCCCCGTGTCATTTAATTTTAACTACTTTTTCTTTCTGTGCAACTGGCCAAGGCAAGTACCATTTTTCAAAGTGTATTTGCAAAACATCCTGTATTACGACCTTAAAATCACTTCAGTTCCACAGAATTCCTGATGGCAAAGATATGTCACAGCATGATGATTCAGCTGGCATCCCTTGCAAGCCTCACTCGAGTCGAGTGACCAGCGTAGCAGCATGTAATTGTGGTCGGATACAAGGAACAAGGGAAGATCCCTTTGATCTCAAGGTATTGTGCTGGTCTTTAGTAGATGTATAGCTGAAATATTGTCTGAGTTGTGTCCTCTTCCTTCTTATTTCTTGATTTTATTTTGAAAGGAAACCTTTTGCTGGCAGCTCTCACTGAAGATTGCTAGAGCTTTTGCCAATTTTTTTGCCGTCTCTTTAAGTGCTGCCGATCGCTAAATGGGGTTATTCCCTGGTCTCTTACAATTCATGTTTCCTCACTCCATTCCTTACAAAACAATGCATCTCGCATCAACAGACTTACGACAAGAGAGTTGATTGATTGACAGAACAACTAGGTTCGCTCTCCTAAGGGACTGTTTCAAAAGGTTTAGGAATATTTTAACAAAATGTTTCAGGTATTCTTCAAAAAGTTTTTGAAATTCTCAAGAGCAGACGCACCAAAGAGTGGCTTACTCTGAAGAACAGAGAATCGTTGTTCTTGTTGATGTAAAGCAGATAAATTTAGTTTTAGAGCTCTAGAATAGCAAAAAACTTTAATGCTCCTTGTGTTCTTCAAAGTCCAGGTTTCGCCTTCTCGTAGCTGGTTTCTGTTTGTATGAAATTGTGCACCGTATGGCAGACTTGGAAGCAACAGTTTTCCTTATATTTAAACAGACATTTTAATCAATGAGATAGTGAAATTGAATTTGAAGTGCATGTCTTTTCTATAAATAATTATCAATTTCTTTTTAAGTTCGTGCTATTTTTACTAAACCTTTCTCCTTACTAAACCAGCTGATTCAGAGATCGGACCAACCTTTTTTATTGCAAATACCGATAACAACCAAAAATAGAAGAAAATTGCAAAACTTCGTGGTGCATCTGTCCAAATCTGTTATTGCGACACCAAAAATGGTGTTTCGCAATATCTCCTTTCAAGTTTTAACGAGAAAGTACTGCAAAAGTTATTTTAATACTTCAGTTTGTATTTCACGTGAATTATTCATGTGGCTTGAAATGAATCTGTGTAGCTGAAAGGATTCAATTCAGAATGCCTAAAACAGATTTTGTCTGAAGTCTTTTTTTATTCCTTATAATTTGCTCGGATTAAGTGTAATACGGCCTTTTGTTTGATCAAGTCTCGACAATAAACTTCTAAAAATGTGGATTTTCTCCAAATAATTAAGATAACTTGACAAGGATTGGCAAGAATATGCTTTAAAAGTATCCTGTTGTAAGACTGTGTTATCGAAACAGGTACTGGCTACTTAAAAAAAAGATACTGGCCACTTGCACTGTCAAATACATCATGATTCTTTAATGTACAGTTGCAAAATATGAAAATGTAGTGGGAAGGGCTTGAAAGTGGAGGAGGGGGATGAATCTCAAACCTATCATTAATTTAAAAAAATTTTAAAGTGGGTGGCTGTCCTTCCAACGCGTATGTTTTTGGTCAAGTGATTTTTATACAGCAAATTGTATGTTAGTCAAGCCTCTTTTAAATATAGTACCTCAACTCCAGTACTTTATTTTATAAATTTTGTTTATGTTCTATTTCATCTTACTGCAAGATATTGTCAAGTCGCCTTATTATAGCAGAAACAATAACTTACAGAACAGATTATTTTGTTCAACTATTTATTCATTCTTGCAGCACCTAACTATACCCTGAATTAAATCAAGATGAGATAGTATCCATCCCTGTCTTCCTTTCTTGTACAATTCCTTACCCTATGCCGTATTGCTGTACTGAGTGACTCTCTTTACTTCTTCCTTTTGATCACGAATCAGAAAGGAGGCTGTCTTCTTAATATGTTGCCCCCCTTGTTGCCTAGGTGGCATTGGCAACCACATCGAAATTGCTTCATGCAAGAATCCGTATCAATACAAAACAACTGTCCTCCAGGTTAAGAGCAGGGCAGGGACTAACAATCTTACCTCTTGCTACTGATAGTGCAGTTGAGGATGGCAAACTCTAAGCTAAACACAATTAATTGTTATATGTTGTTACCTAAGGGCCTGCCGAGAAAAGGAACATAGAAGAAAGCTACTTTAATCCTCCTTATTAAAAGGTAGTTTTTTACTTTAAGGTCGCAAACTACGAATTCTACCAAGAACTCGAGAGGAAGTGCTGCTCATATCTTGTTCATTTGAGACTACCTACACACGAAATGGACGAAGCCGCAATTGCAAAAGGTAGCTACATTTATCTCTTCGACAGTTATAGCTTTTCTGATTTTCACAAAAAGGAGAGTCAAATAGATTTTTTTCTCTAATTGGAGAAAAGTTTTAGATTGGATAGAGGGAAAGATGACCGAAATGGCCATAGAAATGACTGGTGTTTTTCTTTTGCCATGGTCAAGATTTAAAAATCTTCTGCCAAGAAAGATGTAAATATCCTCATCTCCTCATTCTTGCTATTTAACTCTTCCTTACAAAATATAATTTATCGGAATATCATACCTGGATTGAAATCTGAAAATTGCTCATGATTCTCTGGCTGGCCTATGGCTAGTTGCAAACATTTAGACATGTGTTCCTTCCTGAGAGGTACAAACATGGCTGAACATTGGAGGAGGGGGGAGGGGGGGGTTTAGTCATTCTGGTTTAACTTGACAAAACTACTATGTTTTTGTAACTCAAATTGGTGTGTGTAATTAAGCGTTAATTGAATGTTCTATTCAAGACCCAGAAAGTAAAATTAATGTTGAACGTATTCCGTCTATCCTGGGGACGCGAATCTGTTGAATTTAATCAGAATGTTTTTCAAAGAAATATTGTATAAAACAAGAACACATGTTGTATCCCAACGATGATTGTGAAAAAGTTTTATATGAGTCTTTTCTCAACGGAATGCTGTCTCTTACTTTGAATACATATACGTTTTAATGTTAAAAAGTAGCAAATTCTCAGTATTTATTCATTGTGGAGAGAGCCCCAGCTGCTGGTCGTTATAATAAGATACTTGGATTCGTCAACCATTTACGTAAAGTTATAGAAAAGCACAGGCGTTTCAGACAGATAGCTTAGAGAACTGGTGAAAATAAGTAACATTTCTTAAGTAGATCAATATTGAGTTTAAATCCACACTTGGTTTTTGTCGCTGCGATAAACCTTTGCTGGATGTCATGATTCAGGTTCTTGAAGCGTGGTTTTCAGACATCCCAGCTGCATAATACATTAGTATGTTGAAGGTAACATTTGTTATTAATTGAATATTCAAAAAGATTTAAAGAAGACTAAGAAGATTAAAGTAACATTGAAAGAAGGTTAAAGTAACCAATTTTTCGATCCAGTTCCTGAATAAAAGCGGAAGGCTGCTTTGAAAAGAGCAAATTGCCATGTTGCCTCGCCTCCTCTGTTTCCTTTTTGCTACCTTTACGTTGAGTTGAATTAAAATTCATTCAATATTGCACTAATGGGAACCGAACAATGAATTTTTGGTTCAACTCAACGGAAAGGTAGGAAAAAGGAAACATTGGGGCCGAATTGGAAACAGTAGAGTTCGCACGCAGGCTAGTTACCATGCAGCTTTGTCAATTTGTTTTCTTCGATATTCGTCGATACATCAGGAGTATTCATCGATATAATCAATCATTGTTTTTTTAAAATTTCTCCAGAGAAACAGGGAGGGTACGGAGAATTGGCAGGGCATGAAAGCTCACAAACCTCTGACTTACTGAAGCAAGAGACCGGTGCTCAAGAAGGCGGACAGATGTCACAGAATATTGCAACTTCAGTAGCATTTACTTTATCAAACAAGGACACAATACCATACAGTGAGCCTAGCATAAACGACCCTACACAGACTGGCCTAAGTATTGGCTTTCAGTTCACTGCTGAGCTAACGGATATGGAAATCAAGGATGATATAGTTAGTGTATACTCCGCACAGCATAACGAAGGGCGTTCTGTACCCAAGGCAGATAATCGTCAATCTACTGAACTGTCAACTGTCAATACAACAGGTAGCCTAGGCCGAAGGATATCCTTCACTGAGTATACAGAAACGATGATTTCAGAGGACAGCCCTCCAGGTCTATTGCCGTTGTTTTCTTCGTGGAATTTGCTTTGTCTTGGCTCTGCATCGCTCTATAACCCACAAAAAGGCATTGAGCAGCATGGATTTTTCTCGGGTAATAATTTCTTGTTGCCATGGGAGATAAAGATCAGTGACAGTGCTACAGCAATGATGCAGAAGGAGGCTGGAAGCGTTATCAAAGATGGCGGTGAAGAGCAATGGCCTGCGCCAGGTGAAGTGAGCAAAAGTCGTGGTACAAGTACAAGTGGACCCGGGGTACATCTTCCTATATTCCAGACTGTAAAGAAGTTAAGATCGCTTGCAAAGGAAATTGAAAAGAAAGATACTAACGAGCCGCTTGCAAAGGTATCGACGCCAACAAAACCACAAAAAGGTGGAAAGGAGGATAAAAACAGACAGAATATCATCAAAGCGTATATTGGAATAGAGTATGAATGTCCGAGAGGCCACAGGTATGTTGCTTAATTGTTATTGTTGACGATATATTTGAATTATAGTACTGATCCCGCTAAAAATCGAGGAAGCTTTCATTTACAGAAGTGCGCCTTTCACACTCTCTGCGGAGCAGCGTGATGATGCTTTAGTGTACACTATCGTTATGGCCCATTTTATTTATTTTGTTTTATTTATGTATGACTGAAGACCCTAAACTTGAAGAATTTTGCTCCTTATTTACAATGATTATATTACTTTTTCTTGCGATCCAAGTTTAAGCAATGTACGGGATCTGATTGAGCTAATGCAGTCACTGATAAGTTTCATGTATTGTTTCCCGTCTCTACCTTTTTTTGAAAGGTAGAACATGTCTCCCCTCTTTGAAGCACTGCTTACACTAACTCACGTTGTCCTTTGCTAGCTTCCATTAACTGTTTTTTTTGTGGTCATTTTTCGAACTAATCAAAATAATGTTGTGTTTTGCAAACAAAATTGGGTTTAATGATAATGTAGAAACAATACTCCCGGGGCAACCAAGAGGTCCAGGTTTAAAAGTCATGACGATGTGACAGATGTGTCAAAAAGATGTGACAAAAAGATGTGACAAAGAAATATGAAGATGTGCTGCTGAGTTGTTAGCATCGAGTGTGCTTAATTGATGTGCAAGAATTTTCATGTGTTCCCTTGTTCGTAATTTTGATCGCTAGCAGGCAGTGTCGTTTGCCTTGATGGGAAATATATTTAAACCTGTTGTTATAGGTTTTTCTGCTCAAGCCCAGAAAGGATTGCCAAAGCGTCAACAACAGGTCACCTAAGAGATACGGCCTCGAAGCTTTTACAGTACGATATGCCCATGTACTTTCCATGCCCGTGTCGGGCTGCAAAACCGTTGCACCTTGCCCAGCTGTCACGTTCGTACATCGTTACGCCAGATTCATGTGTTGGTATCCGAATCAATCCCAGAGTGCAACCTGGTGAAGACAGCTCGGCTCCAGTCTTCTCTCTTGGCTCAAAGAACGGTGTATGTTTACCGAGGAATAGCTTTTGTGTGCTTAAGTTCCCGTATGTTTACATGGATGAAAGTGGACCTTACTTACCACCTCATGATGCCCAGAGTTTACCAGCTTTCAGACTGTTAAAAGATATGTATAACTACTGCCTATAAAATGCATCTTCAAGATATTTAACAGTTAGAAATGCCTGTGATTTGTATCACTTTTTTCGCAAAGCGTTTAACATCAAATTTATTTACAGCAAATTGGTATTTTATTGTTAGTACTCGCTATTTTAAGAAAGTAAGCCAGTGAAGAGAAATTCCTTTTTTGTCATGTAAATAACCAGACAGAGGACAATCACACTTCCCTAGGATTCTTCTTTACCTGTGTGCATGTTAGGCCACATATAGATTGAAAAGTCATCTATGTCAAGCATTCAGATAATAGGATTGTGAACATTTGTGATCGTTTAAACAAAGAGTCCTTATTCCCATCTACATAAAGAAACTTTTAACGTATGACATAATCCCGAAAATGCTTGCTTTATGCTAAAACTTTTGTTAAGTGAAGTCGTTCGTCTGTCTCAACCCTTCCCAACCCTGGTTGTATTATATTCATATTTTCTTGATTCGGGAAAGCAGTCCTTCCTTGAACGTCAAGGAACTTTGAAGGGCCTTAGAATTTTTGCATTGCAATTAAACTCGCACGAAGATAATGCTGAATCAAATTGGCTATGCTTGTCGATTCTTTGATTTGTTGACCTTAAAGACGAAAAGACAGCTTTTGGTACTCGTCAATCGCTGCTAACTACCAGTTATAGATGTTTTGATTGACGGGTTTTTGAATCACGGGGATGGGTGAGAGCGGACATGTCTCATATTGATAAGGTATCTTGTTTTCGTTTTTGGTACTCCGGCGAAGGGATGTTCCTATTTTCTTGATCACTTTGCAAGAGCGACCTTTTTTATCTCCTTTCTTAGTAGGTTCGATCTTAAAGAAAACTGTTTTTCCTCGCTTACAAGTTGCGTCTACCTCGTTACTATGTTTGTTTTATTCTTTCCTCTGTATTGTTTTGTGGTGCTAAACAGATGTGGTGTACAGCAATACCGTTATACGGAGATTTCCTACGGAATTGTCAGGGAATTGTCAGGGAATTGTCAGGGAATTGTCAGGAAATTGTCAGGGAATTGTCAGGGAGACTAGTGTACCTGTCCCCTTGTTTAACTATATTCTATGTAATAAGTTCCAATTTGAACTTCTTTATGTATGAAGAGTTTTGCATGTAAAATTTGACCAATTTTTTATTAAATATTTCTTCATTTCAATAATTTAGGACTATCAATAACAAAAGTAAGGTCGAAGTTTTCAATTTATATGCTACTTCAACTAAATTCAAAATTTTTGAAAAACTTTTTTCAAAAATAAGTCCTTTTTATAAATATTCACAATAATACACTTTCAACGATATATTACTTAAGTTACAAATTTCAAAATTTTATAGAATATATGGCAATATTAATTACATTTGTTCATAAAAAGCTTTTTTTCAACTAAACGCATTAATAAATTTAACATAAAAACTAATTTTTTCTCTTGTCCAATCTTTCTCTTGTCCAGTCTAATCTTTAATGAATTATACATAGGTACCTAAAAATCTTTGATAAAAGTTGTTTAAACATAAAGGTATGAGGAAGAAGCAAAATAAACGCAGCGCACAAGTATGTAGGTTGAAACCTGATGCAAAGCGATTCTCGACTAGTGCTCTAGAATCTATTGGAAATTAAAGCAATCTATGTATGCTTAAGTTGCTTTAACCGTCTGCCAATCAAAATTAGCCAATCGATAGGCCTATGAGAAGTATCTCTCTCTTTGATTGGCCAATTGCTTACCGACAGTTGCGTTGAGCTGCTTTAGTATCTGTCGTTTGCCTTTACGGTTCTTCGACCATAATTACAGGGCAGTATTCCTATCCGATCGAATCAATGAGCTTTTTCTGCAAAGAATCAGCTGCTTATCTATTTTGCGAGAAATTTGGTCTTGCCACACCATCGTTACTATTGGCAAATCCTGACACCCAAGTTGTAGGGTAGTTGATGTAAGGAGAGAGACCAGGGTTAGGGGAATAGGCTTGATTCTAAAAATAGAACACTGAATGACAGCACAGTAAGAAGTTTTGAGGAAGTCGTCTGTTCATGTACTAAAAAGCCTACCGAACTGGCAACTCAGTAACGGCCTTCAATTGCTGTCGCAAATATTGTCTCTAGGATCAAATATTTAAGAGTTTGATTTTGTGAATGAACATGAAAATGACATCCGATTTAAAGTGTATCCCAGAGAGTTTTGCTAGGGAATATAAAATAAAGTAAAACGCTGTTGATTGATTCATGGGTAGGTTGAGAGTAAACAAAAACAGCGCTGTTGTGTTTGTGGTCTGAGCCTCGTGGGATTTATCTCAATGGAAAAGATTGGCCAACAGATTGAAATCTAGTTCATGGATACTGGAGCCTAGGATTATCGTATATATTTCAAAATATCCTGCGCAATTTGTGCGACAACATTAGATGATATTTTGCTTTCAAGCTTGAATATAGCATTCTAAGAGCACCATAATGGTTGATCTGTAAAATTATTTCCTTTAAATTTGCTCTTTTCGCTATCTCTTCACTCGCTTCCAATTATTTTCTTTGGCTACTAAAACCAAGTATTGTATGAGCTTTTTCGCATTATCTGGAAAGTATGAATATTGAGTTTCAGACAGCTCAATTCTTAACTCTCTGCTTATCTTCTTGATTCCGTGAGAATTTTCGCCATGATTTAACAGACGGTGCTGGGAATCTCGTACAATCCAGCGACACAGTTTGGCGGGAAATATTTAATCAAAAGTGAAAAATGCATTTTTAAGGCTAAGCCAAAAATGGTTACATTACTCGCATCATGCATGTACTGTGAGGCGTCCGTCGCTATCACATAAGAATTTATGTCAGGGTGAATTTTCGTGAGAATATCAGAAGGGTATAGATGGAGACATATTAAACAGAATTATTAAGTACGCTGCTTAGTCCTGACGCTACTTCTTGCCTGGACAGAATGATTTGCTTGGCCTTGTGATTATCATTTTGCAAGATTATTCTTCAATGGAAAATTTTGCCGATCACAGCGCCGCGTGGAAATGCGACTCACAGGAGCCAAAGAGTACCCTCCAGCCTTTTGTTAATAATGAATGGAGAGAGATGCTAATTGAGGTAAAGCGATGGAGTCAAAGTCTATTATAGCTGTGATGGGTAAACCATTAATTGCGGATAAAAGGGAAAATGTCAGGCGGTTTAGGTCTAGCTGGAGAGAGTGGGATAAAACTGTCGAGGAATGGAAGCCTTGTATATGTTTAACAGTGGTATAATATCTTACTTTATATATATTTACTCATATATTCCTCAATTTTGACATATGTATTAATATTACAATATATATGTATATCATATATATGTATTATTATTAGTCAGCCTACCCAACGGAGATAAATTCATAGCATTTGACACGCATGATATCGTTAAGAAAATGTTGGTGTAGAATCATGTCATTTTACATTGTATATATCATGATTTTTTATCAAAGGGTTTTTCCTTCAGGTTTATAAAACTCAGATTTCTCAACAATTTTTCTCCTGTTTATTCGTCTCTCTTCTAAACAAATTATGTCCCATTTCAGCAATTTTTTTCTTTTTCTGGTTGTTTCTCGTTCAGTCAAGGATCTCAGGGTTAAACTCAACTCAAATAGACAACGATTTCTGCCCTCGTCTATGTTGCTTTCGTTTAATACTTCCTTGTTGAACGAGATCAACAAGCTTTGAAGAAATCAAGTTCCCTCCTTCATACTTTGGCGCTGCGCTGCACCCATTTGGCATAACTAACTGACAATTTTTAAATTTTTTTGGCCTACGATCAGTAACGTAACTGAGAGAATGGGGCTTTGAAAAGCAGGTTCATATACAATTTCGCATGCATTGACATGTACTGTTTAAAAATGAAAGTGTATCAAAATTTGATAAATTACAATCGAGCACATGCTTAGAATAAAGGGGCGCGTGTAACAGGTGCGTTATCACACGATGCTCAAATCAGTTTCTCGAACCCTTTTCCAATCATATTTATATCATATCATTTTAGTCCCCCTTAGGGAAACCTGGTTTCTCTGTGACCTTTGTCAGTTGCTCTAGCCACATATACCCTCTGTTACGTTACTTTACCCAAGCTTTAGTTAGGGTCAAATGAAACTACGATCTCGTTCTGCATTCAAACTGATCAAGTGTTTTTCGCTCGGGAAGAAAGTTCAGCCTACCTTCGAATTTATTGTCGTCATCCCTGAGCCTCCTTTCCATCTTTAGCTCTGGTGATCGAATTCCACTATAACTGGCCTCGCTTTGACTTTCAAATGTTTCTGAATAGCTCCAGAAACGGTTTCTAGACATGTTCAGAACTTTTTCTCTTTGTTTTTCATCCAGTGATCTAAATTCAGGATCTTGGTCAATATTTCGTATCTTGCTTGCTTTAATGGCCGCCGATTCTTCAAGACTGGGCAGCTGGTATTTATGAGCAATTTTTAGCAATAAAACTGGTGAATGATTTCGATACGACATAAGGTATTCTTCGCAACGGATAACTAGTTCTTCGATCATTAGCTCATCTGCCAAGTTCAGAAGTGTAAGGACATTGCTGTCTGAAAATTTGAAAGATCGCCGTTACAATTAGGGTAAAAAATGCATGAAATTAAGCGAGAAGTTGATGCTGTTCTTATGATCGACCAGAATGTTTTCGATTAGGTTTGTTTTTGAAACAGGACATAATGCTTTCAGCAATCAAGCTTCAGCAATATTGATTGAAAAGCCTTTTGGAAAGCTCACGCATAGGCCCGTAGAAACAGTGAGGATAGAAGGCTTTCAATGTTTAGCAAAGATAAATATATAATCCCACTTTTAAATTAATGTAAAGCGATTCCAAATCTGGCATATGCCACAAGCCCCCCTCCCCCCTACCTCCTACTTTCTTGCATTCTATACACTATACAAAAGGCAGTTTGTCACTTTCTTTATATTTTCTGCAATACTCAAATTCTTGATTCAACTTGAATCAGTTCATAAAACCCATTGGTGAATATTTTCTCTTTCGCAATAATAACTGTAGAAGCAAGATTCACTTCTATTAAAAAAATTTATATTAACAGAAACAGTAACTGAACTTTATACAAAAATTCAACAACTCTTACCGTTTATTTCTGCTTCAGGCAAGTATACAAACGTCAAAAGCATCTTGATTTCATCTGATTTGTAACCATTCAGAGTCACTACTGTTGTTTTGTTCTTATTTGCTGGTACACTGTCGATAATCGTTCGAAGAATCTCTGATTCTATCGATAATAAAAACCTGTGCACTGGGAATATCGATCTCTCTACCCGCAGAATCATATCACTGTCCCCACTGTCCCAAGGACATTGTTCAAGTATAAAAGAATCCTTAGTGTCCGCTAATTCAAGATCTTTATTGCAAATCTTTTTCGTTGCTAATTTTTTCATCGTCTCAATCGTAAATATTTTGCCTTTTCCACTACCTCCTAGTTCTGGATCCACCTCCCAGCTGTTCATTATACGCGTTTTTCGATGTTTGTCGTCAATTTTGTGGGATTTCTTGTACTCAGGATCAAAACAAGGGCAAAAATCCAAGAAAAGGGATGAGAGCTTCTTTTTAGCTGCTATCAAACAGTAACTAAACATATTGATGTGAAGAATTTGTACTTTCTCTTCGGATAAACTCCTGATATTTTGTGCCAGACGCCGGCGTAGTTCACAGCCTTATATTTCAACTTCTGTTTTATTTTTAAAGCAGCTTTTGATACATTGCTCCTTCTATCTTAACCACATGCCAACCTGTTTGATTTGAATAATGATTCGGATTCCTTTGTTTCGGCTCAGTGTTTCGATTTCACTTTTGTTGATTAACAATCCTTCTGCCACGTCGATCACTTGAAACCTCTTTTGATCAATCACTGGTCACATTCTTTCTTCCCTCCGGTTTTGATTCGATGACCTTTCTTGATCGAACACTGACGAGATTATCCCTTTCTTCTAGTGATTTATTCGATGATCTTTCTCGATTATCAATAATCAGATTATCTCTTTTTTCTGGTGATGATGACGTCTCTTGATCGATCACTGGTCAGTTGATCTCTTTCTTCTGGTTATTGACTCGATGATCTTTCTTGATTGATCACTGATTCGTTGCCGGTGTTCTTTTCGCCAGTTGCTGATTCTATGGCTTACGTAGATCGTGATTGCTCTATCAAAGGCATTCACTTTACGTTCCGGACGAGTTTTCTATAGCCGAGCACCTGCTGTCAACTTGCCCTTATACCATGAAGCATAAGATGCCTCTTGTTAGCTGTTTGCTCAGTTTTTATAGCCAGTTTTCTTTGAATTGATATTTATTGCTTCCTTCTTATCATTGGCTGCTGTTTCTGATCTGCAAAAAAACGGTTTATAATCATAACGCTTTATCCCCTAGTTATTAGCAGCCACTCCTAAACCAATTAATTTCCAATATCAATTTAATGTTATTATTTACTGCCTGTCCACAAAAATGGCTGATGAACTTATTTTCTCATGCCAGAGAGTATCTATAGGATTATACAAGAGAATCTATTGCTACCAGTCATATTAATTCACTAAGACATGAAATCTTATTTTGTGAGGACAGGAGTCGTATTTTTTAATCTATTTTCTCTCTAAAGCTCCACTATAATGTCAAGTCTATGTATAATACCTTACAACTTCTCCGTGGTTGCAGTTGATCATGGAGGATGTTAAATGCAATGTAATCATACTTTTTGCTAGCTACGAGGAGCAACACCCAGTACTCACAGCTTTTTAGCACTTTCAAAGTGAAACGCAGTCTTGCACTGTGGTTTTTCGCCTTACCTATGCTGTGTATCCTTCGTACCACGCGGCAACAACGGTGCTTTATTGTTTCTTGTTCACTGCTATAAACTGGAGACAAAGCCTGAAACTCGATCTTTTTTACTGTTCGCGCTTCTGTTTTCGTAAGCCATTCGAATCAAGTGTTGCGCTGTTTTCACAGGTGGCAATACAGCGTGTTCATCTGGTGACCAGGCAGCCGTTGCAGATGTGCCTGTTGTTAAATTTGCGAGATTAATGAAACATTTGAGATTGTGGATACACTCTTTTTTTATAAAAACCAGTAAATTTAAGTTCAGGCTGAATGTTCTTAATTTTTTCGAAAATCTGAGGCTGGATTGTTCTTAATTTGTTCTTAAATTAAGAGGGTGTAAACAGTGCTATTGCTAGCTTTTTCACTCTAAGGAGGTGTTCAGGCCTCATTTGCCAACAAAGTGAGTGAGACAGCCTTAATTTGCTGACAAATTTGAATATTATTCACCGAAAAAGCACCCACACATCGATAAAAATCCTCGATTTTGAGAAAAAACGTTCAAAATTGCATTTTGCAGAAGCTCAGCCTCAGCTTGCTATTAATGTATTCTTAACTTTTGATCTGTTTTGAGGCTCGTGTTCTTATAAAATTGTTCTTATAAAAAAAAGAGTGTAAGTCTTAGGCAGATTCCTCTGCAACCTTGCTTTCATTGTATTAGAGCACAACAAACGAGCCTTTTACAAGAAGCACTCGAGTGTAGACAACTAGGAGGAACGCACTGTTCTAGAGTAAAGGCTTGCAATGATCATAGGCATGTTAACAGTGTGTGAATTGGAACGTAGCATCTTTTATTGCGCTTGCAGTACCTGAAACCTACCAGCGGTGACCGCCAGATGTCAAGCAATGATCATCTTATTACTAACAATTATTCCTTGGCGTTTCTACAGGGTTGACTGCCCTTTCAAGAGTGTTTATGTACGTGCCTCTTCTAAATAAAGTAGTCTCTGTGAACTGAACGTTATTCTACTTTGTGCTAAGATTTTCATAAAACATAGATGCAGGTCCTTTGTTTAAAGGGGCTTGTTCATATTTCATTAAGTAGCCAAGTTTTTTTAAACAGCATGTTATTTTGTTTTCAGCTACGATTTCCACAAATTGACACTTGTTAATGATAATAACGATGATTTTGAAGTTAGAAAGCAGTTCTAGATGCGTCATTTTAATTCGAAAATTCGAATTTTAAGCAAATCGAGTGTTTAATAATCTAAGCGATTTTTATTGCAATAAGATGCATCATCGGATTATAATATTGTTTCTTTAAGAAGAATCTGTGCAGCATAGTCAACTTCGCTATCTTTGTTGTCTTCTTCAATATTAATCGTCTTTGCATCTTGTTTTCTCTGTTTGTCTTCTTCAGATATCATATATCGTACAATTATAAGAGCGAAAGTTGCTAAGAGAGGAGGCACGCCTGCTACATAGAAAAATACTTTGTAATCTTGAGTGATGTCAGCGAGAAATCCTGCAAAAAATTATGCAAAATCATCATCTAAATTCTAAACTGACTTAGACCGTCTACATTGCTCCGGATTCCAATGAAAACGGATAAAAAAGTACCCGTTTTCACCTCGTGTTCACACTGCTCCGCTGCGAAAACGGAGACTTTTGAAAACGCACTTTGAAAACGGAGACTTTTGAAAACGGAGTCTTTTGAAAACGCAAAACGCAGTGTGAACACCGAAAACGGATACTTTTGAAAACGATAACAACAACAACAACACAGCAAGATGCTTTGACCGCATCAATTTGAACATCTTTTCTTAACATGGTTTATTCACTCGAAGTAAGTGCACTACTTGGCAGAATATTAGTGGCAGTCAATTGTTTGATAAGTTTATTAGCAGTTGCAAGGTCTGTAAACTAGTTCGTTGCGTTTTCCTTTTTATCCAGAGCCGAGCAATGTGAACGCTTCATCGTTTTCACGCCGTTATCAAATGTATCCGGTGTAGTGTGAAGAAGTAAAACGGATCGATATGAAAACGGATAAAAACGAATACAGAGCAATGTGAACATAGCTTAAAAATGTTTAAAATAATTATAGAAAATTTTAAAATAATTACGCCACATCTAAATTTGTTAAGCTGTCAACTTAATCCCTTGGCTTTCATTTTCATTGCTCAAGGGTTGGTCCCACAGTTATGACGGATAATATCTATTGGTTTATGGAACATGATGCCAAAATGCCGACGTTTGCTTCATACATTATTAAGTAATTTCTCTCAACCCGAAGGGAAGGCGGGATTTCACAAGAGCCTTGTGGCATTCGACTTACGAGCACATTTGAAAAATTCTTCAAACTTTTGTACAAAATTTTTGACCTCAGATTCAGATTGATGACACAAAGATAAAAACTTTATAAGGGATTTGACCGTGATTGGCGACTTGGGGGTAAAGTTTCCCCCTGAACGATTTTTGCGGTCAAATCCCTTACAAGTTTTCAAACTTCATTTCTCGGTAAAATCTAAAATACAAGCTCAAACAATATGAAAAATGGTATCCCGCCTAAAATTGTGACGATAAAACCATATCTGAGCGTAAAAAAGTCGTATAATTAAGTTTAGAGAAATTTCCAAAACGAGGTCGTAAGTCGAATTGGTGTATCATTCATGCACCTTCATCAAATTGCGTTGACTTGAGTTAACGAGTGTGGAAAACAGCCTTAAGGTTGATTGCTACAAGTCTTTGCGCTGAATTTGTTCAAGGGCTGCATTTCCTAACGTCTCCTGTAGAAGAGCAGTAGTTTTCTCTTCGGGCTCCTTTTCTTTGCTGTTCCTTCACAGTAAACGTTGGAAAATCCAGCCTTAGAACGAATCCAAAAGCGAAGACTTGATTCGTCTGACCATGCCTTGTAGAATGCGTTGTGGGAAATTGCCATCTCCCTTAACGAATTCTAAGAAAACCTCAGCCAGGTAAAATGAGTAATGTTGCACAAATGCATGCATACCTATTAATGGTGGTCCGAGCACGACTGGAACAGCTATAACTGCAAGAAGCAGAGAGATTCCTTCGCTAAGGTAAGTTAGGCCTACGAGATCTCTTGTGATGGGCGTCACAGTCACGTTGACTTGACCTTCGATAAAGGCATACACCCAGACGTAGACTAGCACATGGGTCTTTGTATATGAGAATGCAGCAATGATTGATATTGTGCCAATCAAGAATAGTATGCACTGAAAATAGCTGACTATATTGACAATCTTTGAATCTGCAACAACGCCAGCGGTCAGCCGGCCTATACAGCCTGAGACTGCGGTGAAAACGGGAAACTGCCTCGCTAGACTTTCTGATGCACCGTATTCTATCGCCAGTTGCACCTAAAAACCAAGCGTTTCAAATTTATAAATATAGGTGTATCCCCTGTAGAGCCACAAAATTCGTATCTGATCATCGGGCATTTTCTGTTTACTGCCCCCTGTTAAGAGATAATGTTCTGGGAGCTAAAAGATCGTAGCATGGTTGAGGAGATACCCATGATTCTCTTCACATTCTGAATACAGTAGCGGCACCAGCTACTGCAGAGTGGGAGGGTTATGGGCGTGACCAGTGAGAGCAAGCCCTTCTGCCTCGTTTCAGTGCCTTGTACCAATTTTCCTTGGGCGAAAATTCAGGGGCGAAAGTACAGGGGCGAAAATATGACCCACCCCTACCCAATTTCTTTTAATCAATTTTATTAAAAATATGTTGACCATGTTTTCATAAAAGTAGGGAAAGGGGGATAATAACCCAAAACCCCCCTTGGGGCCGCCACTGTATAAATAATGGGAATCTTCTTATTGCTTCTGGAAAGATAAAATCTAAAACCTTTAAATAGAAAATGTAAATAAATTCTTGTATTCTCAACTGTTAACGTATTAGACATTGCAAGGAACAGGACGAAGAGGCTCTCTAGCAAAGTTTTGTCCCAAGTTTTCAGTCCCTGACATTGTTCTGTCTAAAAGTGAAAATTCTAATAGATCTGGGCTGGCAATTTCACTGCTTTACTTAAAACCATGGCAAAATCATGCAAGTCAAATACATTGCTACGGCCAACTGATTCGATTTCGTCAAAAGTCATTTTAATGAAAAAATTGCTTCTCCATATCTGAAAGCGTAGCTACAGATGTAGAAAACTAAAGGCAATTACTGTTTACCTGATGAACGCTTGAAACGCTATACGTAAATGACAAAATTGCCATGGCGAATAGGAAAAAGCCAAACGGCTTATTCTTCAATAATTTGAAGTACACTTGATATCCCTTGCTTTTCCAAGATGGCTGCTCTTCATTTTGGTAGTTGGTAGAGAAGAAAAGCCGAGACGAAGTTAGGCCGATGAAGAGAAATACAACAGCAAGGATCTGAAGTGTCCTTTCAAGCTCAACTTTGGTTAGCAGGAAAGATATCAAGTATGAAAGGCCGATTTCAGCGATAGAGCAGCCTCCCGTCTGAATTGCTAAAATGGAAAAGAGGATTCCTTTCAGACATGATAGTAATCGATTTGTGGGAATTGTCCAAAATCTATCCAGGGTTTGAACTTGCTACAAGTTACACGCTCTTCTTACTACCGATAGTCCAGAAAAAGCAGAATCTAGAAAAGAGGTCAATTGAAGGAGAGGGTAGTTTTTAAGAAATCTGCTTTAACCAAATGGATGACCTTGTTTAGGTAGAACGACCTCGTTTCGAAAAGCATACTTGGGATCTTGAGATTCCGCAATATCTTTTGAAACGTTACCTCTCTCGGTTTGGGTTGGCTTCGATTAGCTGTCAACGAACAGGGGAATCTACGTTTCTACGTGTAGCCTACACGCAGATGTTGAGCTAACAACAATCTTAATGTTTCCACGCTGGTGCTGATATATGATCCTTACTTTAAAGGATCTGTCAAAGAAAGCATTGAAGCTTGGGTCACAGTTAAGATGCGAATAGAATCATCGATTCTCGTGAAGGAAAAGTGAATCGTCGCATACTAGCAAATTAATAATAAATTCTTCACTTCTTACGCCCCCTAAGTCTCAAAATTCTATTCTCAAAAACAACGACATCAACTGTGTTCAGCATAGAAGCGGACATGGTTTATTGTTCGGATTATGATCTAACAACTTTTTAAGTCTCTTGGTTACTTCGTAGATTAAACGCCATGTGATATTAAACATGTACTACAGTGATCTTGAACTTAGTTTTTTCAACTTTATAACTGAGAATTGAAGCTCGTTATCCATTTCAAAACTGTGCTTTGAACAGCTGTTAAAATATTTTCGAAAACAAGATTTTCACTTTCAGCAAAGCAGAAGTTGAGTGGCTTTTATCTTTAGCAAAAGCAAACAATTTCATGCGACCTTAAATCATCAATAATCCGGCAAAGAGAAGGGAAAAGAAACGGCACATTATTAAATCCAAAATTTTTCCGACAAATTTGTTCCTTTAGGGATGCTATAGCCCCCTGTGTCCTCCCGAGTCACTGTGCCCATGTTAAACACACCAAACTGGTTCCCCCTTACCAGTAGCAGTTGATAAACGTTTATCAAAGTATCTGTACGCGGCTTTATGCGTGCCCATTATCATCACACATGAGGCCAGTCCAAAAGGGACGCTATACGTCACGAATGTTTGGTCAATATTTCTCGAAAACGAGGTCATCAACAGCGATGCTGACAAGGGTATCACGGATAGTGTTGTGCAGCGTCGTAGTCCATATCTCTCGTGGAGCCACATTGCCAGAGGTGATAGTATGAATACCAATGAAACAGGAATGGACCCAACCCATGCTAAAATGGAAAAGAAAAATTAAGCTATCGTTAAACAAAAGTTGTTGCGAGTATAAGACAAGTATTTGGGAAAAGGTCTTGGATAAATTTATTCGAATACAGCAATTTATATAAGAATGTAATTAAAGGCATTTGACACAGATAAAATCGCTTACAGCCACTAGACCACAAGCGGTTGACCAATCAAATTGTGCACAGAGAAGAACACGCGAACGGTTTTGCCTTTCTGCAGGGATGGCGCCAGAAAAGAAATGCTGGGGGGGAGGGGGCTGTAGTGTCAGAGTGCCGACAGTGAGTGAACCACCAACAAAGATCTAATACAACACCATTTCCGCTGTGGTAAAAAAAATCACGAAGTGGAAGTTATGAAAGTGCCGACATTGCTTAAAATTTTTCAAAAATTGAAGTGCCGACGGAGGGGCTCAATGAATTTTTGGGGGGCTCCTGCCTTTCTGCTAATCGGCGAAATCCTAGAGCAGCGCGCAGTGGTTTCACGTGAGCAGTTTCCAATTTGTTTTTTTTCGCCTAATTATTATTGGATTCGCAGCACTTATGCATGTCAAAGGCCTTTAAGAACTTGTTTTAAATAAAGAATAGTTCGTTTTATATTGCTTATATCAACGGAAAATGGGGATCTAATTTTTAAACAACCATTTACAAGTTTTTAGGGGGATAATTTAAAACCGATGCATAGAACTTTGCCTGGACAGGAATTTGTCTAAGAGGTGTCAATTTTTAGAGAACTGATTACTCAAGGAGAAAGTCATATGAAATGTTTCAAAGGACAAGACTGCAAAAATGCATTACGGCAGTAACGTACCTCAAGCGCACGTTTCCATGAAAACCACATTACAGTAAATCTTCGAAAAAGCCCCTTGGGGCTTATATATGCAAATATGAATGTTTAGTTCAGGTCTTATTCAAGAGGCGGGGGCCTATTTCTAATTAAGGTTAACAAAAAAGGAACATGATTCTTTTATTGAAATCTGACAAAGCTTATGATATGACAAAACCCGCATTCCCTATAGCTGAGTATGAATTAGAATAAGCTTTGTGGGGGGAATCTAGTCAGCTGCCAATGGAGAAAGGAACGTATTTGCAAAAATGAATCTTTTTGCAGGGAGCTTATTCGAGGTGAGCTAATTCGGAGACTGTGAGCTCTGCTGTCTCTAGGTAAAGAAATGCAGTGAAATGCACTTACAATTACAGAATTCCGTGTTTTTTATAATTCTCAGAGAGACTACCGTTTGTCCAAACATTTGTTCGTATCTCATTCCTTACTAGATAATGACTGACAATTAAGTGAATATTCTTTTTTGCTTGGGGCCGACACTGGCGTTTTCTTGGTCTTTGAGTTCTTCTCGCTTCTGATAGAGGATTTTTCTCGCATAGTCGAATATAGTCAATATAAATATTTTTTAAAAATTCTTTCCTAAGTTTTTTCAATTTTAATGGAAAAAGCATGCGCATTGCATTTAATTTGGTATATTTCCCCTTGAATTCAATTAATTCTGTATACTTTTATAGAGCCACCGCTGATCTTTGTCCCTTATACGGAAGCACTCTTTAAGGCCCAGCCAAACGAATAAAACATCCGTAAAATATTGTCGAACATTTTTGTACCAACATTGTTGGACAAAGTTTTATGACCTGGCCAGACGAATCAAACAAATGTTAAAACATCTGTGATGGTCAAGCGCTGCCGCACAGCTTCCTACAGTTACTGCGTGGTATTTGCCGAATTTTAATCTACTGCGTTTGCGTAAGTAAAACAAATGTTTTAAGGGGTGGCCAAACAAACGCAACATTGTTGATCAAACATGAGAACAAAAGAGATGTTTTACGAAATGTTTGATAGAAATCAAATTTTACAAAACATGTAAAACATTGCAGAACACCGTAAAACATGGTGGCCAAACGAATAAAACATGTTTTGTGCAACGATGATGGATGATGTTTTATGCCGATGTTTTATTGGTTTGGCCAGGGCTTTAGAGCATAAGCGTCAAATCTTGATTGGCTAGGAAAGGAATCACCGCCACGGGAATCGTCTTTGAACTGAACCAATAAGGTTGCGAGAAAGTCTTCGAGAAGCACATTTTTTGGCCTTAGTCTTTGCCCGCAGGTGCCGCATAATTAGAGGGGGGGGGGGGTCGGTTGCGTAATGTTGAAATTTTAAGAAATGTTGAAAATATTCGATTAGTGGGGGGGGGTTGGAATAAAAGGAGTTTTAGAGAAATAAAACTCTCCAAGGGATAAAAAAGCAGTATTCGTTTTGTGCCGTTGCATCAGTGTGATATGAGAAATTGTACAACTTCATACCTGTTTTCTCTTTTGAAGATTTGAACTCTTTTAAGAAAACACTGTAGAATATACCAAACATTCGCATAAAACCAAATGATGAAAACATCAGAAGTACGGAAGCCGTCAGTGCAATCCAGGATAGCTTTGAGTCTCGAGAATCAATAGTCACTTTCAACTTTGCACATTTCATCTTGCTGACCCAGACTTCGTCAAAGAGCAGCAGCTGTTGTCGAACAATTTTTTTTTAATAACAGTTCTTTCAATTGCCTGTTCGTAGCGCCCTTTTCACTCGCCTTATGTTGCACCGGTCCCTACTGGAATTTGATTTATTTTTGTTTTCACAAAAATAGCTGCAACCTCTTATGGTTTTCAGTAACACTACACTAATCCTGATACAAATGGAATGGTCTAGTTTCCATACTGCTCGACCTGATAGTCATAAATAAGCATGATTAATAGTCATTAATTAGTATGATAAATTATTTCAAGTAAAGTGTTAGGGTTAGGGTAAACTAATTACGTCATCAGGTCGAGCAGTATGGAAACTAGACAGCTCCGATACAAACGTCGCTGGTTTTGCTGTTGTTGTTGTACAGGCTGAGGTTCTCAGAGTTTGACCATTCTCAGTAAGTGCTGAAAACAATTTACGAGGGCAGGGGGCGCACCCTAGAGGGTGTAACATGAACAGTAAGCTATATTAGTTATCAACATAAGAAATGAGATTCCACGGCTCTTTTTGGCTTTCCATGGTGTGGTCCCTTAAGGTAAATGATACAAAGGATTTGTATGAGGACTTGTACAAATCCTTTGCATCATTTACCTTCAGGGAACACATCATGGAAAGCCAAAAGGAGCTGTGGACTCTCATTGAGGAGTCTTCGGAACCAAAAACACCCCTTAACGCATTTTAGTCAAGACCTTGGTAACAGACAGCCAGCATGAGCTCACCACAAATACCTGCTTATCGAAATTTATAAACGCGGATAAATTTTAATGTTATAAAGCCGAGTTTTTAATGTCTTAACAGTACTGTTTCAAGCTGGGGGTTTTCCCAACGATGATGATCGAGCGTTTAAAGACCACGTTTGTTAGCTGCACTAATGGTCATCGTTTGGACATTATTTCCTGAAATCTTGCCTCGTTTAGCTCCCATTGACTACTTAAGACGTAGCTACTCACATTGTTGTATATTTGGTGTAATTTGGTATGATTTAGGAATAGGTTTGTAAATTATTAATGTTGATTTGCAAGGAGAAAATTATATGGAATTAAGCGGTAGTTATAATTCCGTTGTAGAATTATTGAGGTTGTTTCACATCTTGAGGGGGTTTGTTACCTTTCACGTTAAAAAAGTAGATTCATATAGTGGTGCTGTACCGTATGAGGGCTTTTTTCATACCGTCCCGTGATTTCACATTTTGTGGTCGTTTTTTGTTATAAATTCCTTTGAAATATTGAAGCAAAGGTTTCATACATCGTAATGTTGTTTCATATATCGTACTTTTATTTGGTTTTGTAATGTGGTTTCACATTGCAATTGAAGTAACTGTGAAGTGCTGTTCATAGCAAGAATCAGATGACGCAATTTCTATTTCTGCTGTGCAGTGACAGCTCCAGCCTAGGATAAGTGGGGGGGGGGGACAAAAGGTGTGTCAGGGACCATACCCTTTTGGACCACGCCCTTTTCCCCTGTTTGAAACTTTTTCTTCCGGAGGAAACACCTGTTGTCTCCCAGGAATTGTCCTTTACATGTGACGATCTAGATAACGTACAACCCCCCCCCCCTGAAGTTTTCTCATCGGGTTTGCAAGAATCTCAAGGACCAACTCTCTGAAAAAGTGGGGGGGACTAGTCCCCCCATTCTCCCCGTGGCTCCGCCACTGCTGCTGTGGACGGCACAGCAGATTTTATTGTGTTTTGTGTTTTTTTAACAGTGATATATAAGAAAGAAAAATATATGTAGAGCCCGATTGTTGTCCAATCTAGCAGTTTTGGAATCTATCTTCATACACAAGAAAAAACAGCTTTTATGTAGACAGAAGGAGTTCGTTGTCACATTAGGACTCCATTGGTAATAAATTGCAGAGGCAAGCGGCACTGATTTGGCAACATTTGCAGTATCATGTGCTCGCGTTTGTGTTTGGCCTTTTTCGATCCGCAATTGGGTAGCTATATCTATTTCCTAGCGTAGAGTTCTCGATCTATGTTCTGACGTTTTATACACTAAAGAGTTTCAGGCGAAAAGCTTTAAAGAATGCTTTAAAATATTTGCTTTTTTCAAAGCCATTTTTAATCTTGGTACCGCGAAATGAGAGGTGTATTTTATAGCTATTCACTAATAGTAAATTACACTCTTTTTTTATAAGAACCAGTAAATTTAAGTTCAGGCTGACTGTTCTTAATTTTTTCGAAAATCTGAGGCTGGATAGTTCTTAATTTGTTCTTAATCTAATCGGTTGTAAGCAGTGCGAGTGCTAGCTTTTTCGCTCTAGGGAGGTGTTCAGGCCTCATTTGCCAACAAAGTGAGTGAGACAACCTTTATTTGCCGAAAAGTTTGAATATTCGACGAAAAAGCACCCACACATCGCTAAAAAACCTCGATTTTGAGAAAAAACGTCGTTCAAAATTGCATTTTGCAGAAGCTCAGCCACAGTTTGTTCTTAATTTGTTCTTAACTTTTGACCAATTTTGAGGCTCGTGTTCTTATAAAATTGTTCTTATAAGGGTGAACTTTACAATCCAGAAACGACGAATGACTACATTCGAAATGAAGCAAAAGTAAGAATAATGATAAAGTAGTGAAATTGAAACAGCAGGAACACGGAAGCAAATATTGGAGCTAAAAGAGGGGGCTCTAGACAAGAAGGCAAACTTTGTTCGTAGTTTGGCACTATTATCTTTGATCCCTCCTTTCTCGGATGCAGTGAATCAGAATTTGATATAACAAGAGAGAATATATTTCTGGTTGTTTTGATTTCATCTGGAAGTGTTTCCAGATTTTCGGTCCCCGGAAACATATGGAGTTAGGCATAGCTTACAAAGATATAGCAAGGGAAAAACAAACAGCAAAATCGCTTTGTTGTTAACCGTTTTTCTAATCAGAGTTCACTATTTGTGAATAGGGGTTTGCAACTATCCCAATGTGTGCGCCTATTCTATATTTGACTGACATCTGTGTCCGCTTCTTCGAAGAGATGCGCATATTTCAACATGTATGCTTATTTCCATATTCGTCTGTTAAAGTGTCCGCTTCTTTGTACGAGCGCGCCAATTGGAACCTGTATGCTTATTTCTATGTTCGTCTGTAAGGGATCCGCTTCTTCAAAGATGTACGCATTTTTCAATGTGTATGCTTATTTCTGTATTCGTGTTCAAGGGGTCCGCTTCTTTTAAGATGTGCGCCTATTCCAATGTGTATGCCCCCTGTCACGGCCCCCTGAAAAACAGTTCTCATGGACTGACGGGGCTACCGTGCCTAAATAACTAAAAATGAAATGAATGAAATATGCTTATCTCTATATTCGTGTTTAAGGGGTCCGCTTCTTTTAAGATGTGCGCCTATTCCAATGTGTATGCTAATTTTTCTTTTAAGTTGGAATGTGATCCATCGCTGGTGGTCAATCGATCCAACATTTCACCCAACATTTCACCCAATATTTTACCGCGCAAATCGAACAAGGATTGGGTAGAATGTCGCACTGAAAGCTTCACAGTTTTGCGACATTTCAATCTGAAAAAATGAAAGGCAATCACCGCCTTCTCTTTTTATTTTCTCTTCAGATTTTTTCACTGTCATTGCGGTCTTCAGGACGAACGTCGCATCCCCAATCAAGACCTTGGCCTACATTCGTCCCCCTGCGCTTTCTTAGTAATTCCATAAATTTGCATTTTATCTAAGAGTATTCGATGATCAATCGTGTCGAATGCTTTCAAGAAAGGGCTTTAAACTCCTTAGTCAAACACGGGGAGTACTTATCAGAAACTTTAAGTTCTGTTAGTGGGGCGGGTTTTTCAATACCTATGATATGGACACTTGTTGAATGCCTCATTAATATCTTTACTTGAACTGACGATAGTGTCCCAGTCGATCTGGCCTAGATCCGACAGGAAATAGTCACTGTTGAAATTTTAAATTTTTCTAGTGAATATAGTTTTACGCTGACGTTTTGTGGAGCTCATAAATTTTCTAGTTACCTAAACAAGATAGTGGTCGCTTAAAGTAATACTAAAGACGCCAGATGCAACCGCGTTTTCAGGCTTGTTCGTGGCTATGTGGTCGATAATCGTTGATGAAGTTAGCATCACTCTTGTAGTCTCGCGTATCATTTGCGTCAGACCGAACAAATCATAGATCTCAGCTAAATATGCAGTATTATTGATCGAGCTACAATATTCATCAGCTACCTTCGAAGAGAAGTCCCAGTTGGTATCACCCATGATGATAATTTCTTTCTTTTTCCCTATCGAAATATTCTAAATTTTCTTCCAGTTTTTGAAAGACTCAATAAGGGCAGATGGAGGTCGGTAACAGGCAAATATAAGAAAGGGCCTGGCTCTAATAGGTTCGATTTCTATGCAAACCAGTTCGAGAGACTTATCGGGTATGTCCGTTCGTTTATTGTGTTTCAACAAATTGCGCACACAGCAACTCCACCCCCACTCCTGTTTCTGTCCTCCCTGTGTAGAGTGTAGCCCTCGATCGCGAGAAAGTTATCGGCGATTTAATGTCAAGCTTAGTTTCACTGCTAGGATGTTGATTCCTTTTTCATTAACTAAGCATTTATTTCATCTAGATGTAATTGTAAACTATTAATATTTAAAGAAGCAATCACCATTCCCTTGCGGCGACCAAGATGGTACAGCCCAACAGGAATTATCCCAGCATAAGTAGGACTATTATGAGCAATATCTTTAGGCGAGGAGCCCCTTAGGTCATCTTCTTGTTCTTGCAATGTTTAAAAGATCTACGTTTTTCTATAATGTGTTGCGCAGAGCCAACAATTATGGCTAAGGTGGTCAAACGATCCAACATTTCACATAACACTTCAAAACAATAAAATTGTTGGATGTAGGCTTCCCAACATTTTTGACCTCAAGTTTCAAGTTTCATTCATAATCAAAATGATGATATTGGATGACCCAACATGGTAGTCAAACGATCCAACATTTCACCAACCATGATGTTGGGCGAAATGTTGGGTGAAATTTTAGATCGTTTGACCAGGGCTTTATGCATACATGTCAAGTAATGGGGAATCACTACATGAGTGTCTCACAGGAGTCTCACCTAAGGTCACATATGTTGTATAATAACGAAAACACTAGAGACAAGTGTCCTGTTTTGGAGTAAATTGTTACCAGAGGAATGGATATATTTCTAGCAAGCCATAACACATGTCCTAACTTGGGATTTAGCATCTAAAAATTAGAATTAAATTGGGTATTAGGAACGAGAAAAAGTACAAAGAGCAAAAATGTGCTCTATTTCGATTAAGATCATAAACATCTATACACTGTACTGGTGCCAATTTTGAAACATAAATCCTGCATACGCATTAGTCACAATTAACCATACAAAAATAATGAACATGTCTATTAAGCACCTATTAGATAAGTAAGATCTGTCATACAGGGGGCATGTGGTTCCCCTCCCATCTTTACCCTTTGACTACAAGAAAATCTGATGGATCTCAAATGGTTGCTTTTCTTGGTTGTCTCTAGCCTAGCAAGGTGAAGTTTGAAGTGTACAGTTCTTGAGATATTCATTGAATGCTTTTGAGGATGGTAGGGGGGAGGATAAATCAAATTACTATCATGCTTAAAATGGCCTTACTGTTATTATTGTACCAGCTAGTAGGAAAATTAGGTCTAAATCTTTTTAAAAACTTGAAAGAACAATGCCTAACCCTGTTCTGCAAGGAAGTACATGTTATTAAAAAAAATGTATCTTCTGTTAGTAAAAAATTTGGCTACGTCATTACAACAAAAAGATTAAGTCAATGCACTTAGCTTTATGCAAGGTTAGTAAATTACCACATTGTCGTTTCTAGAATCCCATGATCAACCTGAAAAATCTAAAACACCAACAGGGATAAAACTGTTTCTTTTTAGCTGCCTTTCCTTCTTCCAATGAAATTTGACATGGCAGTTGTAGAACCAACAAATTTCTGTAGGCGGTCAGCAGCTTTCATGGGTAATATGCTGAAAAAATGTTTTATCATTATTTGATAGCATCAAAATGAGACATTATTGATAACTAGAATAATAAAAAAAAACTTGAATTTTTGGGGAATAATTGAATGTACATAATGACCTTTGGTGAACAATTGAATAGCTTAAATTGAGTAAATTGATGACAATTTTTACTTCATTACAGATTCAATCAAGTTCAAATCTTATAGAAAATTAATTAAACAACCCCTAATAAACTGAGAAAGGGGGAGGTGGGCAGGGGCAAACAAACTGAGAAAGGGAAAGGTGGGCAAATTAGGTATGAGGTAATTGTCCTAGGACCTGGCACCACCAAGGGGCCACTATAAATGTTAAAATGATTGCAATTTTCTGTTTTAGCGGAGATCTACAATTTTTTTAGGACATTAAAACATTGTTGCAATCCCATAGGCTTCATCTGCTTTCACTTTACAAATTAGAATATTTTTCCTTGTTTGCAAACCCAAACAGAGCCGTTATAAATAAAATAAAACCTGCTCTTAGTAAAAACATCATCAAATCAAATAAAACAGATTTTGCCTGAGCTGCTTGGGGAGAAATTGTGGCACACTGCAGGCCTGAGCAGAAGACCCCACTTATAGTCACTTTACATAGCATTTCATCCCAAATATCCAAAACAGTCTAATTTAGCTCTGTTAACTGTCACACTCTGCTTACAGTCACAACTTACCAAGCAGCATTTGGTGTACACATTGTGTGTATATGACTAGAAGTGGAGTCCACTATATAATTTTAATATCAATGGAAGTAGTGGAAAAAACTGTTACCTTGCTAGCAAAGGTGTAAAGTAACAGAATCTTGGTATATTAAGTAAAATCTGGTTTGTCTCAATTGCTTCCATGATCTTGTCAGCAACAAAGTCAGGCTTCAAGACATATAGGAATGGCATTTTTGGAAACCTGAAAAAGAAAATTTAAAAGGACCAACTTTGAATGTCTCAAATTTCTAGCACTAGGAATGAAATTTTCGATGAAATCAACATATTTTCTTTTTACCATACTAAAGAGTGGCAGCTGATGGGGAATTGTTTGGTGGGGCTGATGACGTAATATTCAATGAGTCAGTAATATAAAATTTGCTAGTGAGCTGGTAATGGCAGGCCTTTAAAAGTTGTTCCACTGCAAGATACATAGCCTATCCCAACAACATACAATGTTTATCATTCAGCTTTGATTGAACTGAATTGCTTGAATTGCTAGAAATTCTTAGAACTATTTAGCAAGGCTTAGTCCCATTAGCCCCAATACATGAGATGCCACAGATACTAAATGTAGATTAGATATAGCATAATTTTATGTTCAATTTATTGCAAAACTTTATCTTGTTCAGATGCTATAAAAATTTCATGTGTATATAAGTGTGTAAAGGGAAACAAGTTTTGTTTCTTTAAATAAATATTTTCAAACAAAAATGTATGTATATTGATAAGTAAGCCAATGGGGACATATCTTTTAAATTTACAAAAAAATTGTAAGAAACAAACCTGATTGTAACACCTTGAAATAACTCAGTGTCAATGACAAATGGATTCACTGTTGTACAATGTATACCATCATACCCCTGGAAATCAAATTCCCTTCTCAGTGACTGCATAAACCCATTTACAGCATACTTAGTGGCACAATACTCAGTAAGTTGAGCTAAGCCATCAGTTCCAAGAATAGATGCTACAGCAACAATGTGGCCATGGTTACTTTTTATCATAGCTGGTGCAAATGCTCTGGTGGTCTATAAACAGAACCAATTGTAAACATTTAGAAACTACTAGTATTATTACTAAAAGCATCTAACTGAATGAAAGTGTGCGATTATTGACTGCAGTGCATGTTAGCAGGTTTTTGTCTTAAAACCCAGTTCCTTCTATTGTATTATTCTTTTTGTTTTGAGGTATCTAAGCTGAGGGCATTTCGTTTAATCCTGTGAGGCTCAAACTATGGATATTAAAGCAGATTTCAGTGCTGAAAGAGGTCACCCACTATAAACTTGAATGGGGTTTGAGGGGGGAATTTAAAATTTAGACCAACTTTTAAGATGCTATTCCCCATCCTGGTAGGCACTTTCATAGGCCCTGGTAGGCACTTTCATAGGTTTGGGATGAAAATGACATGACAGTAAATTATTTTTTGTTTTTGCCTTTAACAAGTGAGACTTTTTTGAGGTGTCAGAAAGAGAATTAATGCTGCAGGCTCAAATATTTAAACCTGTGTGCAACTACATGTTAGCACATGTTTTCTTGCATTGTGTTTCAAAAGTAACCCCACATGATCCTCCTGCAAACTGCTTTGTATTATCAATCCTTAATTAATAAAACATTTATCAAGAATTGCTGCTCTATAAACTCATTCTGTAAACAAAGTTGTGTTCAGATGGAAAACAGATGAGGTGTAGCACCTCATACTTCCAAATTTCTCTATCGTGTGACCCTACCTACTATAGATGTTGCTAAGAACATAAGGTCTTTGGTCACATAGTGAACTTCAAAACAGGTAGCATAAAGTTACGTAATGGTTGATCAATTTGTAACAACTCTGCTCTGCTGTGAATCCTTGGCCACCTAGAACTGACAGACAATCAAAGGACAAGGCTAAACTAGAATTAGTCCAACTTCTGCTTACAAGCTAGGAACAGAACAACAGATTCATACCAAATTCTCATTTTCAAATATTTAAGAATTTCCAATAAACACAGATGTAAATCATAACATACCCAGAAATGAGCAAGGGTGTTGACTTCAAATGCAGCTTCAATCTCATTCTCACTTAAGTCAAGAAGAAATTTCCCAGCAACAATGCCAGCATTGTTAACAAGAATAGTTGGATTCCCAACTTCTTTTGAGACTTTAGCTGCCGTTCTTTGGATGTCATGTTTGTCTCTCAAGTTGCAAAAATAAGCAAAGGCATGCCCACCCTTGTCAATAATCTCCTGCTCAACCTTTTCCAAACCAGCTTTATTGACATCCCAAAGGACAACTGCAGCACCTGTTAAAAAATTACATAAAATCGATTAAAAATTTTGCATTGCAAGTACCTTTTCTACTACACTGATTTTTTCAAAGTAGACATTGAGTATTCCAGTTTCTTAAACCTTTGGGCAAAGATGTTGAGTATTCCAGTTTCTTATGCCTTTGAGCAATTCAAATAGTCATTGTTTTTTAGAGTTTCTTACATATGATGTACCTTTTTTAAGCAATTGTGGCCCAATATTCAGTTATTTAATGCTACAAAACTTTCCAACACAGATTTTATGGGGAGGGTGATCTTAGCTGCAAAAAAAACAGCTGTTGATTAATGTTTCTATTGTTTTCAAATACTCATGACATTTTTGTCGAGAGATTCTCTTGGTGGGGGAAGCATATTTTCATTCTCTGTCTAAATTTCTATTGTCAACCTGAAAATCATTTTGCATAAAAACTTTCAAGTTTAGCCCTTTCAGAACTTTTAAAAGTTTTTTAACTTTTTATCTTCTAGTACCAAAGTTTCTAAATTTTTTCTGATTTTCCAGTACACATTTCTTAAATTGTTTTTCTTTTAAAAAATGAGTGTAATTGAATTATGAACTAGTTAGGGATTCTTAGATGTGACAGCACCCCTAGACAATCTTTCTACAAACTCACATGTCCAGACCTGGTTTCAAGGCAAGTTTGTTGAATGACTTGCTTAGTTAATAGTTGCACATAATCACTTATTCAGGATTTGTGCTGTTGGAAAAATCAGTTCAGTTTCATTTTAAATTCCACTACTACACTACTACTAGCGTTGCTAGGGCTGGGGGGAGGCTTAGCCGCTTTAGGGGGGCTTAGCAAGTTTATGTTTGTTTGGGCAAATTTCTACCTTGGCCTTCAAAAACCCTTCATTATGTAAATGATTTTCCATGAATGAGAAGTATCAATAACATTTTGAATGATTGATATAAACAAAAGAGAATTTATAACACAAATACAAGTATATACGGTGTGACAATTGGTTTGGTCTAGGTTGTTGCTACTTTAAGGAGGGCACTCCTGACAACTATACCAATACACAGATATTGTAAATACTAAAAAGAAAATATCAGACAAGAAATTTAAGAGTTTTTCTGACATTATGCCAAGTTTGCAGATGCAGTCCTGGTAGTGGTAGGGCACACCTAGAAACAAGATCGGCCCATTGAATTTAAAGTATATGTAAAAGTAGGGAGTGCTGGCGCACCTGGAATTATCAGATGTTTTTTCGACACTCACAAATTCTATTGCAATTCATATACAAATTGAATATAATGCAAACGTTTGTTAAGATTACCTTTTGCTGCAAAACGTAATGCGAGAAGTCTCCCAATATATCCTGCAGCGCCTGTAATTACTGCGATTTCGCCACTCAAGTCTTTCTTTTTTGCAGGAACAAAAAATCTGATAATTGATAACAATATTATTATATTAACATCAATTATCGTTTTGATGAATTCGATTATTAATGCAAAGCATCCAGTCTGCTCAGGAGATGGCCTAATGTATTTGATCTTTGCATCTCCACTTCCTTCCAAGGTCGCCATCTCAACAACTTTGACTTTGATTCTTGTGCCCTTGTGATTTTGTGAACTTTGACCCAAATTCAATTTTTTTATTGTGTCAGTGTCAGTATTATTCTGTCCAGGCACCGCGGAGCGTTGAGAAAATGGGGGGTCTAAAAAAGTGGGGGGGGGGGGCTAAAACCGTATAAAAAGAGGCTTTTCTGGTAGTTTGATACTTAATATTTTGCACTTTTTGGCTAAAGCCCCTACCCCCAGCCTCCCTGCTCCGCGGTGCCTGATATGTCATGTATTTAGCATAAAGTGAGGGTGAAATTATATATCATTATATAGAAGCATATAAATTAACTGTTGCTTGATGAAAAAATAAAAAACTTTCATGTTTTACAATACAGTATGCAAAGCCAGATAAAATTATACATCTCTTTAAAAAAAGGTACATATCATTGTTCGCAAAAATGAAAAAATGTCCTTGGATTCTAACAATTTCTAACTTTCGCGTTAAATTTTAACCATACCATAGTTCTCAAGTATCTAATTAATGGATGGTTTCCGTATATCAAAGTTCTGTATCTTGGTATGTTGAATTCAGCATTCTTCAGTTCATATCGTTTGATCGTTTGGCAATTCTTTCAAACAAGCTTGGAGAGGCTTCGGGCCAAATTGTTTTTGACCTTATAAATAAGATTGGTTATGTTTGCGTTTTTTGTTATACAGCCTTGACCTTGAGAGACCAAATTCTTCCAGCAATGTTGCACAGTCACTTTCTTTCTCAAGAAAGATTTTTATTTCTTAACCTGGACTGTTTCAAGTTTTCTACAATCCAGGGTCAATGCCACCGGGGGGCAAAGAGGTCATTGTCCCCCTTGCTATTTTGGTAAGCAAAAATATCTACATAAGGCCATGTTTTGAAGCACTGACTTCAAGCTCGATTAATAGCACTTGGCCCTTCCACCCACTTAAAAATCCACAGCGTGTTGGTATTAGATTTCGTAGTCTAAACACAACTCCTACTCTTTCACTTGCCTTCTAATCTTATATGTGTTGCTTATGTGCCTATGCATAGCTTGATACTTTGCTTTATTATAATTTACCACGTTCATACCTTTTCCTTATTTCCATTTATGATTATAACTTTATCAATCGCTTTTGGCGAATTTTTGGCTACATATAGCTGATGATAACCTGCATACATAGATGAATTCCAGTTTGAGACGGTGTGTCTGAGACAGTTTTGGTAGGTATTCGACATCATTGGCCTAAGAGAATATCCCTGTACACACCCTTTGTCAGATATCTTCTATATACTTTTGTGCCCCCAAGGATAACTCTATTTCTTCGATTTTGAAAGTACGATTTCATCATGACTATTGATGTCGTATCTATTGCGTCCTTAAAAAGACTCTTTTCTCAAGATTCCTCAGTAAGAGTGGTGGATACAAACGATGCTTTACTCATGACTGTCGAAAACACAACAACCATCTTATTGTTGACAAATCTTTTATCTCCGTATTTGCCAAAAAAAATCATAGAATTGGGATCTTCATGTTGAAAATCTAAATTGGATAGGAGTTTACGCAATCACAATTTCTAATGTACCTTCAAAGCTTCAAATAATTTAATGATGGTAAGTCGAATTTCTCATCAAATGTTACTGGACAGTGCAGAGACCATGCCCCATGACCTTTCTTTTGTACAGTCACTGTTATTATTGTTATTTTTTTGTTTCAGTATAGTTTTCCAAAATTCTCAACGTCCCACGTTAGGCGCCACTAATTCATGTTGCAAGGAGGCTTGTTCAATGTTAACCTATCCTGGGTTCCGGAGCCACGAAATTTCGCGCGCGTAAACCGAAAAACAGGCGGTCGAGCGCCTAGTATAGCTGAGATCTCTTTCTTCTCAGAAAGCCGCTCAGCCACTTCTCCACTTCTTACTTTATTTCTGCTCTAGAGTTTTGTGGCTTTGCTTCTCAGGGTAATGTTAACCATCAAAGCGACGGACTATGTATTGTCCCGTTTACACGGGGTATGTATTGCCCCAAGCGGGATCGCCATGCTGATCTTGAAAATATTATCGTGTAAACACCTGATCGCAAATTCACCAAAATTCGATCCTATTTCAGATTGCTTAAACACTCCGGGATCGCGATAACTTTAACATGTCCCGTAGATGAAGACGTGATTGTGAAAATACCGTATTTCGACACTGTTTAAAAATGCAGTTGAATCAGTAAAAAAAACTATGCTTTACTATTGTTATGAGATGGCTGCTAATTCTATTGCCAAACAATGAAAGCTATGCAGAAAACAGAATGCCGAAAGTTCAACTCTTTATTGAGCCCCTGTGGAGGTGCCTTTCTTCCTCGAACCCAACAAAATGGAAGCTGACTATGAGCGAGTGCTGTGCGTCAAATCTGAATGTTTCGTGTACCATATTCCACCAAGGGCAACAAGCAGAGGATACAGGTAACTATAGAGATATCTTAGTTTTATGACGCCTTTAACTTAACCAATCGCTACATTATTATATTGTTAATCAGTATATCTGGTAAGCTAGGCCTTCGTCAGATTTCCCAAGCTTTGGGACCAGATATATTTCAGACCTTAAAATCAAACTGAACCGTACTTAGTTCAAATCTAAGTTTTAAATTTAAGAACTTCAATTAAAACAGGAGCTTATGCCTTGCAGCTAAATTCTAGCAATTTAAGGTGCCTGTGAGATAGGCTGTTTAAATGCTGTTGCCCTAATAAAGGCTTCAGTTAATTAGGCCTGTTGAAGGTGATCTTCAGCATTGCAACCCTCTCAAAATTTCATTAACAATATGTTTTCAACTAATCAAGGTAACGTTCAATTATGGTGATAATCCAATATTTTGGCGTGAGACATCATATATTCCCAATTAAAACTTTTTGGACCAGAATTTTCAAAAAAAGCTGTTTTAAATGAATGATTTCTCAGGGTGGATCTTGAGAAGAAAAAAGGTATCAGTAGAGGCCAAACTGCAGACTAGGGCAAGTGCACATCCGAAATATTTTTTTTAAAATGTCCCTGAACACCTGGTTAAGGGTGTGGCATATCGAGATCTTGGTGTGATGTGTGTGTTCTTATGCTTATATCAAATGAAGATTCATGTTTCTTCAAGGTCGAAATAATCTTGCATGGGTTTGATCTGTCAATCATGTCCATTTTCACAATCTTTGTTGATATCCTTGGTGTCTAGACTCTAGAAGACAGTTGTGCAAATTATACCCATAATTGATCTGTACACTTATACCAATTGCACACTTGCACGCTTGAAATTTTTCTCCTGCACACCCAAGATCTTGTTGGAAACTTCCATACTCTGCAGTCCGGAATGGAGGTGTGTAGTGTTGAAGATGTGGCTTGGTTTCAAATCCTTTACAATTCACTCTTCTAATAAAGAGGCAACGAGAGAAGAGGATCAATAGGAGTCAGGATTTCATATGGCCATTAGCAGGGGTGGACTGGCCGGTCGAGCCACTGGGCGATTGCCCGGTGGGCCTTCCCAAAATTATTGCAGTTTTCTCTTAATTTTGCTATTAAATGAAAACTGGTATTGTTTGGTATAGGCCCTCTTCTGTTGCCATAACACCAAGACTCTCTCAAGATTAGTGGATACAGAATTAATAAAAGATCACTTTGCAATATTCAAATACTGAAAAAGCATTTTCTTAAATTTTGGGCCTCATGGAAACAAGGATAATCCTGGGCCCAGGGCTCACTTTCCCTAATGCAATAATACGATACTTCACTGGAAGTTCCAAAATCTGATAAATGTTCTCTTCGGACCCTCAGTTAGAAAGGTTTTCATTAAATCATAGGTTAAGGTGTTAAGAACATGCCAATTTTTGTGACTCAATTTCTAGGAAGGCACATTATTTTAATGCTAACCGAATAGATTTGGGAGTATAGATCAAAACAGCAGAAGGACTCAACCCCCTCAGCTCTGACAAAATTTTTGCTCCAGCACTTCCATACTTTGCTCCAGTATAAAATATGAATAATTCACCAAAGATCTTAGGCACAAAACATTGGTATTTACGCCAAATTTTAGTGTAATTCTTGGGAAAAGTTTTGGCATAATTCCATTGGCGTGGTCTGACTGTGCTACTTTTTTATCCTAAAATTTGCTCACATGGCCAAAACCATCCAAGATTTGCCCTGATGAACTTTGCAAAAGAACAGGCCTGTAGGCACTGGGGGCAGGGGGGGGCCCAATTTCTTCAGCTAGCAAACAATAATTGTTTCCCTGGCAATATCAAGATTTTCTCTCATCTCTTATCCTACGTTAGAATTAAATTTCCAGTGAAAGTGATGCTGACCTGGACTAAGGATCCCCCTTGTAAATCTTTCACACTTAAGCATACATCCCTGGTGGTTACTAATTAGAATTAATAGCAATATTCCAATAACGTTTTAAGCTAGTATAAAAAAGTGATGCAACAAACAACTTTGGGGATACCCGTAAACCTATTATTGATTTTCGGGGCCCTTTCTCTACGATATGGCCCGGGCCCTAAATTCAGAGCCAGTCCGCCCCTGGCCATTAGTGGCAGTATATGTTTTAAAAGAAGCCATGGATACCTTTCAGAGTCAGGAACTATGAATAATGAGTTAAATAGGGAAAAAAGAAAAATGATGATAACACAAAGTGGTTTTAACATAGTCATGTGAAGATATGGTTGGAGAGATGTGGACATAAATTCAATTTTATGCATGAATTATAGCATGTAGTGTCACAATTGGTGTTCAGGACTGAAAAGTATAGACCAGAATCCAGAACTTTTGGTGCCAAGCTTACAGAATTTGACATTTCAGGAAATAATGAGGACTGAGGGCTTTGAGAAGAAGAATTGAGAAAGCTTATGAGCTGCCATCTTTGATATGCTCAATGGGGGAGCAGAGACAAAAAGTACTGGGAAAGGTAGAACACATATGCAGAAATTGATGGATAGAGAGTTTGTTAGTAAAAAAGTATTTTTCATGGATCAGCCACCATCTATATGAATCTTGATACTGAAACTCAGTTCAGGTGTATGAAGTTTGTATATGTATGTAAGGTAATAGCAGGGTAAGATAGGATATTTTAAGACAGTGGTATAGAAAATACTAAGGTATGAATGAAATTATTGATATGTTATAATGATGGATATAAGGAGCACTGCAGTTCCTTTGAAATAAGCAACCACAAATGAATTAAATATCACTGATATTTGGCCCAAGTTAGCAGTGCTTCCACAGGTTTACTGATGAAATTCCCAGTGAAGAAGAGACATAGAGATATGGTTCATGGTTGAAACAGAAAAAGAACCATACCAAGAAAGCTTTGCCTATATGATGTTAGAAAAGAGAGGGTAAGAGCTGAATGCTGAGGTTCCTAATGAATGTTCCTCAATTTGAACACATAACTACCGAGCAGTAAGAACAGAGAGGATGCCTTTTCAAAACAAATGGAAATGAAATTGGAGGAAGCAATGCTAATACACTACATGTTCATTTCTTTACACTGTAATGCAGAACCTAAATTGAAAACAGTTATCAAGTCAAAATACAAAGTAAAAATGTTGCTGAACCTGTCTTTTTCCATAAATATAACAAACCCTTTTGTAATGTTCATAAACATTTCTCAATGTGGTTTTAGAGCTGCAGATTGGAAACTTGATCAGCCTGACTGGACAGGTCGTCTAAGAATTGTTACATTGTCAGGGCAATGTTTTATCAAATTTGAAGACAAAATATCAGGTATGCATTCTTTTCTAAAGCACTATCAGTTATGCATTCTATTCTAGACTATTGAGCACTTAAGCAGTGTTTCTAGGCAGATTTAAAGCAAAAACTCACTCCAAATAATGATTCAGGGACAATATTAGATTTCATCCTATGCATACTTTAATAAATCTAAGGATAGCACTTACTCAAAAAAGCAATTTTTGTTGCAAAAATATAAACTCACTGATGTCAATCATTTCTATCTGTTTTAAAGTTGTTTGTTATGCATTATTTTGAAGTTATATTTTTTATTGATATAGCATCACAAAGCTTGTAATTTGACGTGCACAGCTGTACAGGACACTGTGTTGTGCACCAAATACATACCAGACTTGTGATTCTTTACTTGCCTTGTTTAAATCTATACCTAATGTTAAAAGTGCTAAGGTAGCTAGGATTCAGCCTTTTAGATGGCTCCTAGCTTGGCCTTTCAGCTTTCAAGTGATGGGATGTATAGGAATGTCCATCAGGGATGTAATGCATGCTTTTGAAGGCATGAAAATTTAGAGAGAGAAATGCATAAAGAATGTCAGACACCTATGATAGAAATGCAGAAGATTGTTTCAAATATCGACAGGAGGATTAAAAAGTAAAACAGTATCTACAGTAATAACAAAATGTAGATTATATCTGCTCTGTAAGCTCTTGATTTTGAGATCTTGAGAATGTTTAAAAGCCAGATGCTTCATAAATTTTCTTGTTTGTTGTGATGTCCAATACATATTTAATTTTGACTGAATAAAAATTAATCAAAAAAGCTTTTTAAGGCAGACAATACTTTTCAAAGACCATTTTAAAGATGATTGCCAGGGAAAGATGTTGTTGATAATGAAGCTGAACTCAGTTGAAATTTATATCAGACTTTTGTTTATTGTCATGTTATTAGCAAGTGGAAATGAAATAGTTTTCAGACAGCATGGCTCAAAAAAGTAATATTTTTGTAAAAAACTGGAAAGCAGCATCCTAATTGGAAGTACATAATGGTTTCATTTCCTCCTTACATCCCCTATGCTTATCCATGAAGGCATCTTATTTGAAGCAAAAGAAGCTCTACCAGAGGAGTTAAGTGCTATAATGTACTGTGCCAGCCATGGTTGTTATGTTTTGATGCCTGTTGTGAGACTTCTACAAATTGATGATTATTTCAAATATCCTTTAGTGGAGAACTGCTTTTAGTGACCTATCAATGTTATGTAATTGACCATCCAACTTGTAATGTTAGTTGTTTTTCTTATGACCAAAATGGTTGTTGATATTTTTTTCTTTATTTCATGATTCTAGCTGTACAACAGAGTTTAGTAATATCCACAAATTTTTGCCAATTTTCCTTTCAATCATGCTTACTTTTAAGGGGAGCTATTTGCTCAAGCTCCTGTGCATGAATACCCTGGTGTGGAAGTTGAAGCTGTTACGGACAGTAGCAGATACTTTGTAGTGAAGATTGTAGATCCCTCTGGTATGTAGAATATTCATATACTATCTGAATTGTTCAGTATATCATTAACATTGTAGATAGATTTATTCAGTGGCTGACACTTGGTCAAATGTTAGGAGGGCAAACCTATTGTTTTAATAAGATGAGATCACATTTTCATATTGTCTTAGAACAAAAAAACAATTGTCTTCCATAATACAATACCCAAACGACCATTGTCTTGCCAATTTTTATATGTAGACCTTTATCCTTAAGAATTTTCAAGCCGTTTCTTTTTTGATTTGCCATTTGAAGTGTATTAGTCTGAAGAACTTTTGCAATGTAAACATTATGTTTATCAGTATACTATCAACCAAATCGAAATGTAACCAAGATATATCAAATAACTGTAAATCTCCCTTTTGGGTAAAGATGTAGAGTTTCCTAAATGACAACTCAGAAGAAAAAAAGTGATTTTAACTAAGTATAGCTTTAGGTTTCAGCTGCCACATTTGCCTCTGAGGGTGGAGCCCCAGTGTGTCACCAAAGTCATAAGCATTATATTCTCGAAAATAAAATGGATAATAAGATAAAATTTTTATAAAAATTATTATGGTTTTCTTTGCCTTGATTGAAACCTGGAATATCGTTAATTTTCGATAAAGTGAGTGATCTAGTTTCCTTATTTTTCCAATAAAAAAACATAATCTCAGTGACCCTTTAATATCGTGTATTTTGTTGTGTTTCTTTTTGTTGTGCAACCTGCAAGCGAAAATTTATGATCAAATCAAACACTCCCACAAAGCTCAATCACATTCATTTTCGAACGGGTTTTTTTATCCATATTCATGTTCCACTGATGTCGAACTCTCACGCTTTCCTGTACCAAATTGATAAAGTTAATTCATTCTTTTTATGACATGGCGCTTCCTCATTGTGCTCCTTCTGTGCCTCATGAATCAACATAACTGCTCTTCTTCTATCTCATAAATTTATAACAAAGAGTCAATTTTATTTAGAAAGCATCCTGGAATTCTCCTGTTTTGCTTACTGACACGTCTGATTGACGTGACAAGGAGATGAAGCTATAGCTTTGTCATGTTCAAGTTACATGAAATTTAGGACGAGAGGATGGTTATCAGCAGCATTTTAGCATGTAATATAGATGTTTGGCGTCTTTGTGTCTTCAACAAAGTACCATGTAAAGTAAAATGTGTTTGCCAAAATTTATCAAGTACCTTTTCAATAAATTTTCGACAAGATTTATGCATGAAAAGTTTCAGGTTGTTTTAGTACGCAATATTTATAATCTGAAGACGATGTGAAATAGCGGAAATGTAGGTGCTTTTGGTCTATATATCCAGGTGTGGATCTTTGTATTCAGAAAAGACGCATTTGATTGGTTCTTCGGATTCCGACGCGTCTTTCTTCCTTTCGCGTGACTTTCGAACCGCACATGGATATAAATTTCCAGCTTAATTTCGGTCATTATCCTATGTTTAAACTCTGAAGAGCATCGGACAAAAATTACTCACGTAATAAGTATACTATGTTCCCGCTATTCGTGCCATCTTCAAATTTTGCGGTGGCGAAAACTTACTTGGATATTTATGGGCCTTCGAAGCAATGTTTGTATTTGGCGCTTAAAAACTTTTGTTTGATTCGATCGTAAGAATAAACATGAGAGCTCTTATAGTTTTGAGATTTCAAACACGAAGCGACGAAAAAACGTTCGTTCTTTGATCTCACCCGTCATTCGTTTTACATGTTAAGACACAGCTAGGCGGCCAGATCTTCTCATCAGATATAAGATATTAAGTCAAAAATGATGGAAGCCAGTTCCCCGTTTTCACTGCGCCTCAGCCAAGCACGAAAATGAAGAATATTCTATTTTCAGCAATCGAATGATCAGCCCTATTGATATTTGATGAATAATTGAATTGCTTTAGGTTTTTGCTTCTCTCAAAAGTTTTTCTATTGTCTCTAGAAGAAATAACTCTTTTGTCTTACTAATTCACGAAAGCCTTCTCATACACAGGGACAGACCTCCACATAATTCCCAACAGTCATCTATTCCCATGATTTTATTCTGGCTTCCTTTTCCCACCTCCATTTCTTTGTTTCTTGTTCACCTCTTTAGGTTGTTTATCATTTCTTGTGTCTTCCCTCGCGTCCCGATTGCTCCTGCAGCTTACTGTTAGATCACGTGATTTACGATTCTCTTTGTTTAGCTCTTCCTTACTTCAAGTTTATTCGTCTCTATTTACTATACTGAAGATGACTCTAGCTAGAGTCGAACCGTTTATCTATTTTTTTAACTGGATTTTTCACTTTTAAACCGGAATGCCCTAATTAACATCTTTAAATCTGATTCGCGGATTCTCTTTACTGGATTGTCAATGTTCTGATCTTACTGGGTTTGTCAAATATTGGACTGCTAATGAATTCAAATCAATAGTAGAATATTGCAAGCGCTTTTTTTGTCGCCGTTAATTTGCTTTTGCTAATGGCAAAAACTGATCATAAAAAATAAAGAATAAATTTCTAATTAATAAAAGAATAAATAAAATAATTTTTCTTTCCGGTTTTCTGCCTGTTTTCTCTTTTTATGGACATACAATACAAGTAGTGAATATTATAATCTAGCGGTAGAACATCCCTGGAGGGTTATGTACTACGGTTGTATGTTTCAGCTGAAATGTTTACAATATTGAGAATATTTTAAATGAGATACACACAAACAAACAATCCCTTTGCTTTTCTAGGTAAACATGCATTTATAGGGATGGGATTCAACGACAGAGGAGATTCTTTTGATTTTAACGTGACATTGCAAGACCACTTCAAGTATTTTTTTAAAATATTTAGTTTTCCTAAAATATTCCGACATGCTTCGTCAATGGTGTGTTATCTCCAGAACACTTCCTTCCTTAGATAAACCTTCAAGAAATTATTTGCAGAGTTCAGAAAACACCACAACCTTCCCCGGATGAACCTTTTCCCTATTTTCCCTCCACCACTTTTTCATAGCATATTTCGAACACACGTTTCTTGGAAATGTAATTTAAGTACAATCCTCTTTGTTTTGGTCTTTACGCTGTGTCAAGAAAAGCGAAAGCTCGAGCACAACAGTAAATCCCGCTCTTTTTAAAGACTCTTTTCAAGCTATGCATTGGCCTTCCTCAAAACTTCTGCATTGTTGGATAACCCTCCTCCTGCTCACAGCCATGAAACCGTTATGTTTCCTGGACTCTGTTCTTTTTTGTTTTTAATTACAGTAAAACTCATCAGCCTGGGCAAAGTCATATTGTCAAGAGATGCAAAAATTGTCCAGCTGAATATTGTTTCTTGTTTGTAATTGTATGTTTTGGAATTTCTTCTGTGACTAACACACAACATCACAGCTTAAATGTTTATTTGCCATTTTATTTTGATTATTTAAGCCATTAGCCACTATATCCACTCTAAGACTATAACTGTAAAATTAACTGAGCTTCTGGTTCGGCTCATGATTTCATTGCTTTAAGCTTAAATAGGGCCTAGAATGTAAATAATTTTTTGCATCTGTCATACCTGTTCTATAAGGCGACCTAAGAATTACGCATACAAATACGTTTTATATATTGATTACACATACTATATTTCAGACGCGAGAAGACAAGCAAAGCTCTTGAAGATACCGTTACTGATGCACCCAAACTGGATTTAGGATTTAAGGATGGTCAAACTATCAAAATTAATATCGGAGTATGTAATGCAGCGTTTACTCATTTTCATAATCGCATTGTTTGTTTACTTCGAGATCTTCAAGTTTATTTCTGTTAAATCCACCTCCATTTTCATATAATCTTTAAATTTGCTTGGTTCATTGTTATTCCTTTTTTCGCCCTAAGGGTTTATTCAGAATGGTATTAAATCGTTTCGTGTTAATTAAACTTTTCAACTATGACGACATACTGCAACGTGACTTGTCGTATTTACAAACTGTTCATCTTCCTAGCAAAAAACAGGATCTCCTAAGCCAAGACCAAAAGCCGGTAAGTTTTAGCTACTATTAATATAATTAGTAGTATTAGCCACTGTTAACATTATTTTTTGATAAACGCTACTATTAATATTAGCTAATACTATTATTATTAGTAATATTAGCTACTTTTGATATTATTATTGATATTCGCTACTATTAATATTATTAGTAAAATCAGCTAATATTAATAGTATTAGTGATATAAGCTACTATTGATAGTATTAGTGATATTAGCTACTATTAATATTCTTAGTAATATTAACTACTATTGATATTATCAGTAAATATTTACTACTGTTAATTTGCTTGGGTTTATTGTTGTTTCGAAGGTTTTTTAACATTGTTGAAAACTTCTAACATTACTTTGACTTCTAACTCATCTTAGAAATGCACTTATGCTAGATATCCTTTGTCTTCAGAGCCGTATAAAGGATTAATTGCTATTATCGTTCAAGATATGATAAGTCTTTTAAGACTATTGTTTGCCTATCCTGGTGAAACATTCATGTATTAAGCGTTTTCCTGGAGTTTTTAGTGAATATTAAACCTTTTATGTCGTACCTAATTTCAAGCATACGTGAATGGGGTTAAAAGTGCAGGTACTTCGGATTTCAGATATTGCATGCTCTAATGGCAGAATGACTAAAAATGTTATAGATTTGGAGATATTTTCTTTTTCTTTCGACTCCACCCATTTATCGATCTTGCTCAGTGTTTACTGTCTTTTTAAAATAAATCTCTCTAACTCCTCTGAGAATTTGTCAGACAAACAAGAAAAAAGATTATTTATTAATTTTATGTGTTAAGAAATTTTCTATGAAATGTTTTCTTTCTGATTGTTTGTGCTAAAGACTTGAGTAAGTGCCGTAATGCCTAGGAATCTAAATCTTTTTAATTCTTTGAAGTGTTTTGAATGTATTTTTGAGCTAATTCTGTGCAAGTAATCATTTTGGCGACTATAAACGGCTAGCACAATTTGTTTGAAAGATAAATATCGTAAAAAAGATAAGTTTTCGTCAGATATACTGAAGGTGTCAGTGCCGTTTCTATTGAGAATATATTGCGAAAAAGCCGCAAGCAAATATTTACCGACTGAAAGCAAGGCCAAGAGACTGTCTTTCATATTTTGATTATGATGAATAGATAGTGCTGGAAAGCAGTACGAGTTTGGAATCTTCCGAAAGCTTTTTGAACACTCTTCAGTGTCCAGTGGCGATAAAAGATTGAGTTGCACTTCATCATAGGCTCTTTCTGCATGTTTTTAAAGTTTTTGCCGTTTTCTAAATTTGCTGAATATTGGGATTGTTCGAATATCAGATGCCTTATGCACAAATACTTTCAAAGATCGACGCTGGCATTTTGTCTTAATAATTGCTTTCGCCATTTACTGCAGCCAATAGTGGTATTGGAATTCTCCCACCGCCACCTGGGCAAAAGGTACCAAGTCTAACACCACCCCCTGGAAGTAGCTTTCCTGTTAGACAACAACAGCAACCGCAGTCGCAGCAAACGCAGTCGCAGCAACCTCAACCACAATTACAAAAGCAGTCAGAAGAATGGGGTGATTTCTCTTCGTCCAGGTTCGTTAGCTCTCCATAGATTCAAGCATAACCATTGTTAATGTTTGGTTTTGTCTAATTCTATTGTCTTTACAGTTGTTTGAAATTTGTATCTGTATGGTGACTAGAATTCAATTACATAGTACTTATTTTCTTTGTAGTCACTGTAACAATTAGTTTGACTGTGATTTATGCGAGTGTAGTATTCTGTTTATATGTTTTATCTATAGCATGTTAAGCTAGGGATTTATTAATTGGAGCAAAGGCCCTTGTCTAGTTTTTCACTATCAACAACAATACGTTGTTTAAGAAGGTGACCTAGTTTTTCTTCATTTGCGAAATATGTCCATTTGCGCGGTTTCACTGTTACGAGGCCAAGATTAGGGCTAAACGGGACAAGCTGAGAAAGGACAGAACGGAGATCAGCATGACCATGGGAATCAATATCTAGGAACACTGGCCCAAATCAAAATAGATTCTAAGGTGCTTGTTCTCCAAGTTGGACTTGAGACGGCCAAAGATAAATTGTTGCATCTAAGTCATATATGGCCAAAATTTGCATCAGTACTGTCCTTTTTTAATTGTTTGAATGTGTTATCATTTGATATTCATGTTTGAATGTGTTACCATTTGATCAACATTCAATCAACACAAACCATTTGTTTTATAGCTCATCCTCTGGAGGAAATTGGGAAACTTTCTGAGTGTCCGAGATAATTATTTGAGGCCCAGCCTGCAATCGGCGGAAGTGGAGCCCAGGCCACATGAAAAACAATCTGAACGGAATCAATTTTTATGTCGCATGAAAAAGTGACGTAATCACTACTTCTCTTTGTAACTCTTCAGATTTAATGATCAATTTTGTATATAGGCAATTATATGGTTTCTTGGTCTTGCAATCTATTGTCATTTTATAACGCTGATAGCGTATAATGTATGATTGATCTTCAGTTAAGTCTAGTGTTGTTGATTCCATTGCTAATCATGCAGTTTTATTCATCAATTAGATAGTTTTTGAAAGTTTACCATACTGAAAAACATCTTCTGAAAAATTGTAAACAAAAAAGACAAGTTACATTACCGAAACCTTCTCTCGTACATTGAAATCAGTTGTTTACATTCTGGAAACATTTTCTAAGAAACAGGCTAGGGCAGTTGATTTGCAGTTGAACAAAGATAGATCGAGACGAATTTTCCAAGTTATATTCTTTATTAAAAAACAGTATAGAAGACGAAAAATTTTATTTTAAGATCCCCGATTAACAAAAAACCAAACCAGAGTCCAAAATCCTTGGTATATGCTTTATTTAAAGCTAAGTTTAATCGGCACCAATCGAAACCAATGAAAGATGGTCCTAAATTTCCCTTAAAACCGCTAGATATCTGGCGCTGAAAACAAGCCAACTGCAGGGACCAAATGCTAATCGTTGCTGATAGGGCACATTCGACATAAAATTCTTTCATGTGTAGAACATCTGTTCCGTCCCAAGCTGTGTCTAAAATCTATGGTTTGTTATCACAATTACTCTGTTTTTGATAACCTATGATGCTAGGTGTAATTTCTTTTTGTAATGACAGACAAAAACCAGTTATGTGCTATGACAATGGTCGTGGATTTTATGTCCACGTTATCCAATCATAGAGCTATGTTTTGATCTATGTGCTTACAAAGGAGACTTTGGATGCAGCAATTCTCTCAGTGTCGTTGGATTGAAATTCATATTGGGAGGTTGATTGTATTGCTTTCCATTCAGAGGAGATATACTACAGTTTGACAATTATTGGGGGGTTCTAGACCCCTTAGCCCCCCTGCTTCCGACAGCCCTGGTGTCTAACATTAGCTAATCGGTATGGCAACCGGACTTAATCAAATGCGAACGTCTCGTTTTATTTCATTTAAACATCAATTTTAACAAAATATCTGAAGACACTGTAGCTTAAAGGAAAAACATTTGCTGAGTAATATTTAATATTTTTTGTTCCAGGTACCATTCTCGTGATTCTTAGGCGCTGTTCACACGATACCGGATTCATTTCAGATCGGATTCACTGACCCAATCCGATACGAATATCAAGCTCTGTTCTCAAGATACCGGATTCATTTCGTATCGGATTCACTCCTGTACACACGGTGACGCTACGCTTCAACACTGCTCCAAAAAATATATTGTCTTGAAGCAGTTGCATAGCAACATGGAATGTTGCTCGTTGTTTTGCTCTCTTTCTGATTAATGCATTCTTTGACGTGACATAACTGATACGCTGTTTTGTTTTTAAGAAGAAGTTTTTCGAAATAAACTTTTAAACAATCTAATTTTCCTTTGCATTAATCTTGTGAAGCTCATCATCATCGCAAGGAGCATATTTATTATTTAACTGTGATCCACTGCCATTTTGTGCCGTACCAGATGACCGTACCAGATTCATGCGTTCACACGAGCTCAAAAGTAATCCTATATAATTCCATTCCACATTCTCAGCGGAATGGTTTGACTCTGTAAAAACGATACGGGGCGTATCGGATTCAAGCGTCGTCGTGTGAACAGAAGGCCTACCCGATATGAAAAGTAATCATATACGAAATGAATCCGATATCGTGTGAGCATGGCCTTAGAATAATACGATTTCATGTACGGTAAAGCTCAAACAGTAAACAAAGGTTGCGCCAAACAGAATTTGTCAATGGGTCTCGGCTTGTATTCGGGCCAGAAATTTGTTACCCATTTATGTTGTTTATCGCATTTATAAGTTTAATTCTAGTACTTTTTCATTTGCGTTCATCATCCACTTTTGATTATGATTACTTTATGCTACTTTTTCACTTTCGCTGCAATGCGGTCCTGCCGCTTATCAGTCTGTGTATGCATCCCCTGTCGATTTTTGAGTAGGTATCATGGCTCACCTCTCACTCAGAATATCAATCTCGGTATTTATTGTTCATATTTCAAAGGCATATTATATTTACAACCTTTGACAATACTGTCGAGACACACGCCCCTAAAAAGCGTGCATTTCTTGTTAAACATTCACTCCCACCTTGAAATTTAGTGTACATGCATTTTTACAGCTCTGATATCAACATTAAGGGAATACGGCTATGTAATTACAGCCGATTCTTTCAAGTATTGTAAGTTTTTTATTGCGTGTTGTTATGTGCCGAGACACAGCACAATGTTCATATATTTACAATAAAGATCCAACTTTTCCATTTTGTTCGTTGAAAACGGAACTCTGCAAAATTGAGACGCATGGCATCCGAAGGAGACGGAATTCTGCAGAAAATTTCCTGTCAATTCAAGAAATTGACTCCATCTTCATTACGACATCTAAACCAAAGTCCATTACTCGAAGCCCTTAGTTATAGATCCAGCGCAGTTGATATTTAATACCGAAATTTTCATATTCATAATCCCAATCTTTGGTCGACTTATCCTTTCGCAGATGTATTGTTTTTATTCTTCTCGCCGTTGAAAACCTCTAACTTAGATAACTTTTAATGATAACTTTTAATGCCAGTTATGACGTGCCATTCTCTGGCTGTTTGACCCAATGTATGATGTTATATGATGTTATGTTGATGAATTTACCCGAAATAATATCCCGACTGTTTTATGAGCGTCAGCAGTAAATGGTAGATGGTTCGTTAATGTGTACCTTCTTTATCAAAAACGTACGTCTTGCCAAGATGGTAGTTATTCATTATGTGTTTGACCCAATACTGTACATGTTAAATGACACAGCAGCGGTACCACTTGACAACTAGCTGTCACGACAACCACATTTCAGATTTGCCGCCTTTGATAACACTTTCTTCACTTCTTTCCGCAACGCGATATTCAGTACTATGTACAAAATCGGGTTGATAGCACTATTCGCATAGTGAAGACACTTTACCGCCATAATTGTTGCCGTGGATACCCTGATGCTCAGAATGCTTAGTACCACAATCATTATAAAAGGCGTCCATAGTAACAGAAATGTACCAATAATGGCTCCAATGACTTTGGCTCCTTTTGTTTCTTTCTTGAATCTCCACGAGGAAATTTTTCGGCCTTTACTATTTTTGCTGTGTTTTTTGATGGTTTGAATCTTGAGAGCTGGTCTTGACACCGAAATGTCTGCAATCGAGATCTCTGCTCCATTTCTTTCTTGTCCCTGACGATCATTGAATAACTGAACCCGTCGGCCCTCAGCCTCTGTTGATACTTGAGAAGTGAGACAATGGTCACTAGAAATGGCTCCTGCGTCAACAATTTCATCCAAATCAAATTTCCCCTGAAAGAAAACGCGAAGTTCATTACATCACAAAACTGCTTAAAATTATTGTACCTTAAAACCAGAATAGCATTAAAGAAACCTGGCCTTGTCATGCTAATGCTCAACATTTTCTCAATCATATAAGCACTGCAGAGCCAGTTGTTAACTCTAATTGGGTGAATCACGGGAACCTTAACAAAAGATTCCTCGAGTCGCGTTAATAAGTGTGCCGTTTAAGTTTGTCTCGCAATGAATTTGACACCTGTCGCTCAGGTACTTCACGTTTGATTTAGTCTGTCATTGCAAAGATAATTTTGACTTTTTAAGTTTGTTTGGAACACGAGAAAGCTGAGAATGTCTCCTATTCTCGACAGTTTATGTAGAATTTTCAGGGAGTAGCTGATGGGTTACACTGAGTAACTTCTTGTCGACGATACATGTGATTTTTTATCGTTGAACTGAAAGATCGTGTGATGTGCGGCAACGAATTGCCAACAATTTTTATCGTGAACGACAGATTCTGAGAACAAACATGCTCGAAATTTTTTTGGGTCGCCGAAATCAAAGACAAAGATTGCACTGTGCGCGTTGCTCAGAGATGAAATCGTCGAGGATTAATGTGAGAACGTTTAGCGCGGCTTAATAGAGGCACGTTTCCAGAGGATAGAAAATTAAAATGGCGAAGGGAAACATCTGCCCGACGCTCTTTTCTTTTTTGGCTAAATATTTCGTTAAAATGTATTACTTGACTCTGAATTGACGTCGATACATTTCCTTGTCTCGCAGCTCTTGGACTAAATTATTATAGACACATTGTCGCATTCTTTTATCAATCCACGGACCTACCCATATTTGTCGTTCCCTTCGACGGCTTCTCTTTCGTCGCTGCATCCTTGTTCCTGCCGCAATTTTTCATTTTACTCATATACTACGAATCTGGGGCGAAAACAGCTCCACCGCGTAAATCGAGGTTGCGCTGCGCGGGAAAAAGCGACAAAAAACGAGCAATGTGCGTAAACGAAAGATCATATAGAACGACAAAAGTCGCATGCATCGCCGATAATGATCTGTTGTGTTCGCTGGGCTTTTAAAAACCCGGCCCTGAGGTAACTTGTTAACGACAATTGTTTCAGTAATAACAAACAACCTTCAATTATCCATTTCACTCACCTTTGCACTTGCAACGTTCAATGACACATAGGGTTTGCTTGTTCTTCTTTCAAGATCATCCAGATACGCCTCCCAATCTTCAATACCATCCCTTTGTAATTGGCTGCATACATCGATGCCACGTCCACCTCCTCCTGTAAAATATTCCCCTTTCTTCACCACGTCTTTTTGTTTATTTCCGCCAAGAATCCGTTGTAAAAATCTGAGCTTCTGGAAAAACGTCGTTTTCTTCGAACCATCTTCAACCTTTGTCAATATTCCTGCATAAGAGATTATTGTAGATAATTTAAAAATTGTCAACAAATAGTCCACCAATTTACAAAGGATAGAAATTGTCACGCTTTTTGCAAATAAGATCATGAAATTAACATGATCTTCTCTGGTTGTATATAAACAACAATGATAAATAAATAAATAAACAACTATGCAGGGGTGGCAGCAAGAAATTCAAAGCGGGGGGGGGCTCGAGTTGATAGTTTTATTAGACTAAAGCGAGCGAAGCGAGCAGAAAATTTTTAAGATCACGCTCTTTAGATAAGCTTAAAATACATTTCAGAATATTTCTTGCAGTTATTTTTTTTGCAATCGTTTAAAACATTTTGCTATTTTTAAGGAATGCTTTTAGTACGTATCATCAATTCCAGTCTTAAAATGGGATTCATTACTTTATAAGAACCCACAGACCTCTTATTCCTTTTAAATTAAGCAATAAGAGGATTTATCGCACTAGCTTTTTTCTTTTATTCCTATTCTTTCATTCTTTTGTTTTCTTAAAAACACTTTGCAAAAAAATTGAAGGGGGCTGAAGCCCCCTAGCCCCCCTCTGGTGCCGCCCATGCTATGTTAAATAGACAATTCTCCTTCATTAACCGGCAGGACTGTAGTGGGATCATTTTTAATGCTATACGGAATCTCTTTAGTTTCCGAAAAGAGCATAATTGATTATAGAAATGACAAATTTTGAAGTTTTTAAAGAAAGTTTTGCCGCTGTTTGGTCTCTGCGCCAATGTTGATAGACAGCCTTTATGCGTAGACATGTTTCTACACCACAATAAGTTCACGCTAACGTAGCGTTTGTTTTTGGTCTTTAAGTTTTTCAATGGAAAATTTTAGTTTATACTCATAGTTTATAAAGCAAAAACCACGAGAACTGGTTGAAAAGTCTTTTTCAAAGGCATACACACCAGATCGTGAAGGTTTTTTTGGAGTACTTCCTTCAGAGTCATACTCGTCCTCTTGCCCAGACACAATCTCCTGAGATGCAAGGAACCTCTGTCTGTCCTTCTCCACTTGAACCATGAACTTGATTTGTCTTTTTACTTCACCGTAGATCCTCCCATACGTGAACCCTTTAATGATGATTGGGATGACGTAAGACAATATGACAATGCACACCGAAACAATAGCCTGACCTGTGGTTGCTTGTATGTATCCAAGAATTGATGCCATTGTGCTGTAAGCCAGTACAAATACAACAACTGTCATGCCACGCTGCTTTGTGACGATATTTTCATACCGCATTGGGTATACGATACAGAAATAGCGCTCAATGCTTATCATCGCGAGACTCATTATGGACCAACAGCCGCAGAAAATATCGAGGCTTATCCATAAAGTATAGATGGTCCCACTTCGATTGTTGGGCCAGCCAGTGAGAACGTAGGACATCCAGAACGGAATGGAAAACACTGTAACCGTCAAGTCTGAGATTGATAGGTTGATGATAAAATAGTCAGAGACTCGATTGAGTTCATCAGATATACGAAAAGTCACCAACACGAGTGTGTTACCAACCAAGGAGACAATCATGACGATGCAGAGAAATAGAGTTACTGCCAAACTTGTTGCCGTCAGTGAACCACCTGTGCTGACGTCCTTTGCTGCAGTATTGACTGTCTGTAATACATCACCATTTATGGCACTCGAGTTTAAGATTAAACTTGCCAAACTGCCTGGGTTTTTCGCCATTGCTATTACTGGCATGTCTCGAGGCTCATGCTTTACCGAAAGGATCTTTGAAGGAGCAGTTCTTCAGTGCCAAAACAGCATACTTTCTCCTGTTTCCACACACTATTACGCCTTTGTCTACAAATAAAAGTTGAAATTTGCAATTAGGACAGATGTCCACATGATTATGTTAAATCATAACCAAGAAGAACCAACTTTTTCAATAACAAGACTGTTTTTTGTTTTTGTTTGAATCTACATATGGTCCTTTCCGGGTCAAAGGTACTGTTTTCGAGCTGCCTTAAAGACCTGATCCAGTTTCGATTGTGGGAGTATTTTCTTTAGTTTCAACAGGGACGAGAGAGCATTATTTATTTTACCTTTAAGGTTTTTATATTGCTTATTCCATGTCAGGTATTCTTCGACCGATATTCCAAGGTATTTCACCTTTTGAGCTCGTTTGATTGGCTCTCCATTTACATTTACTTCTAGCGGACCAAGGATACGGTTGGTTTGTCGTTTATGACCAAAAATCATATGTTCTGTTTTATCAGTATTCAAACTATGCTTTCTGATTCCTGATTGTGATTTTTTGCTGATTTTCACGCAGTTTGCGGCTATTGGCTCCCTGGTAAGTATTCTTGGAAAAGAAATCACCTGTTCATTTCAATGGCACGTGCTTTGATACGGAAATTATAAAAAACAGCATTTTCGATCGACGTTCTTTGAATATCAGAATACTTTACTGTGTCATATCTGTTCAGAACAGCGGCAGAAGATAACGACTAAGTGCAAGCAAGCCTGAGGAAATTAAATTGACATTACATTATCACATTTAAGTTTACACTATTATATTATTCTTACATTTCTATTTCAGTTTAAGTAAAGGCAGAGACAGAGATAACCTGCCACTTGGCGAAAAATGCCGTTTTGCTGAAAAGAAGACATCGACATTGTCTAGAAATATTTGCGCGGATATTAGAAGCTACAAGATTTTTGTGTGGAGCCCAGCTTAAAGCCTAGTTCATAAAGCTCTTTGTTTCAAACTATTTTGATAAACTATGTAGCAAATGGTTTCTAAGTTCATTGATTTTACTGCACAATGCACATTCGGTGCCCTAGAAGGAGTACAAATGCAAAAACATTGAAATTCGAAACTTTGCTATAAGTTGTGGCTAGAAAAGAAGGGTAAAAACACAAAGTAAGTAAGAAAGAAGTTTTTAATATGTTAAAGTACAATGTCGTTAACTGCAAATAACTAGAACCGGCTTCCTTATTCTTTCCTTATTGTTTGGAAAGATAAAGTATTCAAATTTGACAAGTTCATTGGTTATTAACTCTTTGTTGTAAAGTACTGCGTAGCGGCGTGCGCAGCGGATTGCAGCTCAGCACGTCGGCGGTGATTAGATTAGATTGGAGTAGGGAGTAGGAACACGCGGTGTTGTAAAGTGATTGCAGATATATATATAAAAAGGTTTTGTTGATAATATGCAAAGGGTGTTTTCTCTCTTTATTCTCTGCGTAGCCCGGTCCACGGTTTAAAGTTTATAACACTCTTTACTGGTATACATTTCTTAGATATTTGGGCCTTGTAAATATAGGTTGCTTTTAAATAAAGTGTACAAAGTTTCTATTGAATTTGTTGCAAAAGCTGGTAAATTCTGAAAATTCTGAACTGCAACATCATTTTAGAGCGCTAAAAGCTACAAAAACTATGAATTCCTTAGATTAGCATCTAGATAATTTTCTACTGATGCCATTGACGGTTTAAGGGTAAAAAGTTTTGAATCTATGATAACGCGGGAAAAAAGCGGTAAAAATATAAGATTGTCTCAAGGTATGCTTGGAGATTTTTTAAGATTTTACATTTACATATTTAATCATTTAGGCACGGTAGCCCTGAACTCATTATATAGGCCAGTGGCTAGTTACAAAATCTGGAAAAATATTTTTTATTTTACTGGCTTATGAACAAAAACTTTCGAAATTTCCCAAAATCAAGCCACTTTTGTTTTTTCGAGAAGGTTATTAGCTGTAGATTCCTTATTTGGTTTGTCAATTCCTTATTTGGTTGGGGAATTCCTTATTTGGCTTGTCAATTCCTTATTTGCTTGGTGAATTTTTTATTTGAATTTTGAAATTCCTTATTTGGTTGATTGATTCCTTTTTTGCTTTGTGGATTCTTTATTTGGTCTTCGGTTTATATATTTTGGAGACTTTTTGTTTGTCTTAGAAATCCCATATTTGGTTTTTGGATTCCTTATTTGGTTTGCCGATCTCTTGTTTGATCAGCAGCTGAATCCTTGTTGAGAGTTCTGCGGCACAAACCAAACTCATTATGATTTGAAAGCTAGTATATTATCAAATTTCAAGTGATGTGTGTGTCAGAATGGCAAGTTCTTTAATAGAGACCTCTGTTTTTTAGAAGGCAAAATATAAATAAGATCATATCATAATATTTGAAAAAACGTTGGTTTTGTCTTAAAAGTTTGATGTCCTTGTGCTCAAGCCATGTTGTAAAGCACTTGCCCGGGTCAATGTTCTGTGCACCTGTCGTCATCACAGTAGAAGAGCTTTTTTATTTCTCAAGATTTGTAATTAGCAACCACAAAATGTCTAATGATGTTTGCTTACAAAAGGTTCAATTTGAGCCTGTTTAACGCCTTTCTAGCTTAATAATTTTTTGCATTTTCTTCTATTCAATTATTGAAAACTTATTAGCCATAACATTTTCTCTATAGTTTAACATGTGTTATCGCATGTGAAACGATTAGATTACTGTTATAATAAATCTAAAACCTATGAGACTTTTCACTGTTTATAGATATTTTCTAGCCAATTTAATTAGGAAAGAACAGCTCAATTGTCAAGACAGATGTCTAGTTAAACAATAAGATGCCGAAAAGGATTTCCCGAAGCATTGTTCAGCTGCTGACCAGGCAAATTGCAAGCTAGTTTGTTGATAGTGAAGACAAAAACTAAAAAATTCTGCCATCCAGCAAAATCCTTATCATTTTTGACTGACTGCATGAAGATTTCTGGTAGCTTCGATGAGCCATCGAAAAATTGAAGAATGAAATAAATCTAAGATTATAGTGAAATCTTGTAGATCCGATTTCTTGATATTGTTGACAGTCTCCGTCTCGTGATGGTTAAAGGTTTCTTAACGGGGATATGGATGAGAGTTCCAACATATGCTTCTACATATTTGACTTGATTAATCAAGATCATTAATAATGGTGGCTATAAAAGCCTGTATGGCTGCAATTCAAACCTTACACTTGGACTAAGCAACTATGATTTAAGTATAAGATTGAGGTGCCTCTCATTTAATTCTTTTGATGGTCGTTTGTGCGTAGGTCAGGAGCACGGTACCTGTAATTTTTCAAAAAGAATTTTGAACCTGTAGGTATCTTTAAGTGATGGTAACATATCTCTTTTGGACATTCCTGACGGTTTTTAGAAAGATCAATCATACACAGGTTTGGCATGCATAGATAAAAAAAATCAAATTAGGAAATGATTTGAATGACAAAGCTCAGTAAAACAGATTGCTAATTGAAAATTTTTCGAAGCTCAAAAGTCTGACACTTTTTACCAGCGCAAGGACTGAGGTTAGGCTCCGAAGAAGGGAGAAGAGAGTAAACTTTTCTTCGCGTATTCATAATTTCCTCTTTGGAAAATATGCTGGATGAGAACGTTAGAAGGACAATGAATGACAGAGTCGCTTGTCACGGGCTCTAGCCCTGCCCTAGTTGCACCACTTGCTCGTAATTTCTCTCTGTATATTCAACAAAATCTACTTGTCACCTCATCAAGAGAGTTATTTGATTGAATTGATTGTTTGCTCGTAATTTTTCAAGCTTGGGTTGCAAAAGTCGTCATAGGTATCACTGAGTTTTGAATTGAGAAAATTCATCTTTGATTTTAATTCATACTGAATTTATATCTTTTGTTCTGTGTAAATAGCTTGGGTAGTGACGCGATTGGTAATATCTATTTCCAGCTCGAGTGCATCATAAATCTCTGGATGATCGTTAAGAATGCCTTGCTCGCGAAACTGATTGCCGACATGACAGTGTAACATTCCGCAAGAGAGTTGAATACCGGCTGTAATTCAAATCCCAGTCTGTATACAGTTGCTCCGACAATTAGAAATGCACAAATCCATTCTTATAGAGGTGAAAGATATTGAAAAAGGCCACTGCAGTCATGATATTCAAACTGCGGTCGATGCTGTAATAATTAAACATGCGAAATACGAGTCAAATTAAAAGGATTAATGGTATATATGCTCAACGAATTTGTAAACTTCTATAGCAGTTCAACGGATGGAGTTTCTAATGAATGACCCATTTTCCAGTTCAAGGAAAAGCTTTTTGCAACCCATTTGACGAACTTAACTTGGCATGGAATGTGACTGGTAAGCCAGAATCAACAATAAACATGATGATGATGTTTGCTTCTTGAAAAATATTTCTTGAAGTTCTCTAAAGCTTTAGTTTTAGAATTTCACACGAAATAGCTGAAGAATTTTACTTGTTTTAGACAATTTGATAGCACCACCTGCAAGTGTAAAAATTGTTATCTTGTTTTTGCCTTTGCATATTACATTGACAAAGGTCGAATAAGACTTTATGATAATCAAAGTTTTGCTTTAAAACAGTGCAATTACATAGCTGATTTGAATTTTTGAGATTTTAGTTTGGACTTCATTCTGTACATCTTCAGAAGAAGGAAGTTTGATCTGACATTTGTAAGATTGCTTTTGTGAATAGCGGGTTTATCAGTAAACAAGGCAATCTCTATCAAACCTCTATATATTATTTTCGACGAAAGAAGTGTTTACGGGATTGTGTCAAAACTTTGTGCAGCTTTGTATCAGAGTTTTTAACAATGTTTTGAGGTTTTTGCTAAGAAGCGTGTAAATGTTTATCAAAGAGTGCTAGCAGCCGACTGTCAGCCTGTTCAACAAATTCTTAATTTTGTTAATGCTTAAAGTTTGCTAACGTCGATGAAGAGAGAATGAAATCGTTCGCAGATAGTTGGCAAAAGCTAGCTCACATTCTCTTTTGTTAACTGTAAAATGACATACAAGTAACATAAAAAATAGGATGTCGCATTTAATTTTAAACAGACGGCAGGTAAATTTCAAATCTAGCACAAACTTCAAAAATTGACACCAAACATTCTCTTAGAATATCCTGGCACGTATAAAAGATATTTCAGCAGTTTTACCAGTTTTAACTCACCAGCAATTTCGTGATGTGGCTGAAAACCAGCAAATATCCTTCTCTTTTAATGCTTTCCTCTATTTATCTTTTGGTTGTTAAGTGGCTGCTCGCATACCGAACAGATCTAAAGCTGACAAATTGCTTATGCTCTGGAGGCTTCTGGAAAGTAAATGTTTGAGATGCAACTGAGATTGAAAGCTTAATCTATGTAGCAGGCCGATTCCAAACTCCATCCGGTCCGGAATCACGAATAATCTCAATCCAGCTCCTTCCCAAATAAATGGTGTTGAACATCTGCTGTTCGTTCATGAAAGTAAAATCTTATATTTTGCACATCTGCGCAACCACGCTGCTTTTGAGTTTCGTAATCCAGCAGGTTTGAAATACCGATGGGACATACAATTCAAGCACTGCCATTTCAAGTGGAGAAGTGGCCCATTGACTGTTAGGATTGGCTTATGTATTACAACAAATTCCAGGACATATTAACAAAAATAACATTCTGATTGATTCTTGAATATAATAGGAATCAATTTATAGATTAAGAATTTGAAAGGAGGGCAAAGTTGGCTATGATCAGCTTTTTTCATATTTAAGACGATACCAAAATATCCATGACATCTCTGAAGCTACTAAGCCATTTCAAATTAGCATTAAAGTCTTACTTCAATGCCTATCAAAATGATGACGTCACATTGTACCGTTCTTTACGCATAGCGTTCTTGCAATTTTCCCTGAATCATAATAAAGTGGATTGCTTTTCCATAGATGCACGTTCTTTAGCACAAGAGCAATGTTCGATTGGTGGGAGAATATGATGCAAATGGTTTCAGGAGGCCCCATTTTATAAATCTTCGGAACATTCTTTGATCGCATTAACTGATGGTCACATCTTCTAGGCATTTTATTTTGCTTATGAATAACAGTCAGTTATATGATGCCTTCTTTGGCAGCTTACTAGTTTGTGCAAGTTTCAGCATAAAAGAATTGGTCGTGGGTAACTGTTCTTGGCACGCCAAAGTCTGAAAAGGTTTAGATTTGCTTTCAAAAGTCGGTCCATTTCATATGCGAGTCGGTCCAACTTGCCCTGACACTGTTCTAGACATATGAAACAGGCCTACGCATTGTTTTACATGTTCAGCAGGTATTTTTGTGACCGACATTAACACTATCTTTGTTTTGAATCCATGTCACAAACTCATTTTTCAAATATATATTCAGACTGTGCCAAGCGTATTAACTCAAAACTTGATATTTCTCACACATAAAATTTCACCATAAGCGTCAATACATTAAGTCTGTTGCATATTGTTAAAGCTAAGCTAATGTTTGCCGCCAAGGAATCGAGTTAACAATTCACATAGACCTGTCACTGGGAAACCAAGAATCGATAAACTCTGGACTGCATGTTGTTAGCATTGGGATTAAGTCCGTTTGAAATGAAAAGTTGCAATGTCTGAGCAAATCTCAATGCGATTGTGATTGAATCGCTTTGCATTTCGCCTAGGCAAATGATGCATGGAAAAAATTAGCAAATTTTAAGTTGGATGCTATTGAAAGACTTCTCTATCAAAAGTAATTCTAGTCCATTTAAATATGACATTTCTGTGAATTTTTAGACCGTTGAGATAAACAAAACCAATATTCTTAATATTATCCGTTTTCATGAGAATCTTTTCTTTTGAAGGAAGGCGAAATCTGAAAAGATCCCTCTGCAAATTGAAGCGTAAAACTAACTTATATATCTTATTGTAAAAATTTACATATAAGGATAGAAGACCAAGAATAAATATGATAAGTAATTAAGAAGTTTAATGCAATGCTTACTCGAGGGTGTTATATGTAGGAGGGAATGCTGACATACGAGTCCAATTTCAAGGAAATTACAGTAGAAAAATTAATTTAGTGTCTTTTCACAAATCGTCATCACATTTTTAAGTAAGATTAGAAAAGGTTGCAAAAGAGCAATAGAGTAGAACGTGTTTGCAACAGAAAGCAGGTATGTTGATGAGTCATTAAGTTTTTTTCCAATTAGCAGCATCGCCTGGGGATAATAATAGACATCCTACTGTGATCTTGCTTAAATCCGTGGTATTTCGACTCAACGTGCGAAGGTTGAAGCAGCGTGAGCCTACACATCAACTTTTGACCATACCATAACACCTTGTACACATCGACGTTCGAGTCGGCTTTTTGTATAGCGTCTGGCCACCTTGTCGAGCGTTGTATTACACAAAGGCTCAAACTCTCCCGATTTGGGCGGGAGTCTCCCGATTTGAGAGTTATTTTCCCGTTCTCCCGATTTCAAACCAAAACTCCCGCTTTCAGAAAATTTTCAATAGATCTGTTATAAAACGTTAGGCAAAGACAAAATATCTGACTATACAATGTTTAGTCATGTATAGACTTGTATAGACTAATAACACATTGAGTAAATTTGATCACTTTAAAAATCTCGAGCGCATGCAGATCTTGTCGAATTTGTGCATGAGCAGTTGCTTCGCTAAAATGCATGAAAAGGTCAAGAAAAAGTAACCCAGAACGCTGCATCTGGCTTTGCAAGACATGGATTCGTTCGAACAACGTGGAGAATGGAGGATTGCGGAGAAAACAAGAACCTCATTACGCAACTAGTTGTAAAAACGATGCCATAAAAGGAAAATTTCAAAGCCGATGTTTTCTGAAATGCCGCCGGATATCAGTTCGACCAGCTTGCAAAAACGGCTGAACAAAAAGTAGAAATGAATAGAAAAGTTGTTAAAAATTAGATTAAACACTAGGAAGACTCGTGCTGTCAAATTTGAAATCAGGTGAAATGTCGAGAGCGTTTGCCACCATAACACACGTTACGCCTCAATTTGTCACCATAACACGCCTTACGCCTCAATAAAATTGTACTTGTTGAAAAAATTCAATCTATTGAGGCCGACCCTTGTTTGCAGAAGATGAGATAAATACAATGGGTCATAAATGCCGAAGATAGTTGTTTTAGCAAGGGGGCGTAATTTTGATAAAATGTTTTCTCTTAAAGAACCTTTACTTGGCATGTCCATTTTTGGTAAAACCGGAAACCGGACATAAGGTGAATCTGGACGTGTTATTCAAACCGTCGATTGTATGATCGCCTGCATTTGTGATTTTTCCTTTGGAAATGCCAGACTACTTATCCCGGATAAGTCATACCACAAAATCTGGTATTACTAATCCTACCTCATCTGTTATGCCCAATGAGGTGGTTATGCCAAACTGCGTATATCCAAATTTAGCTAAACATTTACTGTGTAGCGACCTATGACATTCTTCTGGCGATTAACTATATTGGACATTACAATACAAAGCAGTCTTGTTTTGATTGGTCAAAAGTTGTGCACACGACGCAGTTTCTAATAACTACTCAAGCAAAATTTTCATCATTGATGTTACACTGAGGTTGTGGAGCTAAGGCCTTGTCAAACGATCCAACATTTTGCCCAACATTTCGCCCAATATTTTTTTCGATGTTGGAAGGTGATCCAACGTTAGTGGTCAAACGATCCAACATTTCACCCAACATTTCGACCATCATTCTCTCGCGCAGATCGAAAAGAGAATGGGTAGTAGGTAATATTGATGTTGCTTAACAACAGTAGGCACACCAGACGCCCACGATGATGGCCGCACATAACGATGCGCCACCACATTTCGATCCGAGAAAACGAAAGGCAATCGCCGCCATAGCTATAAATTGTTGCAATTGTAAGCAAAATCTAGAGTCGAAGCAAGAATCGAAGCGAGGGTCAAAGCGAGAGTCAAAGCGAGAGTCAAAGCGAGAGTCGAAGCGAGAGTCGAAGCGAGAGTCGAAGCGAGAGTCGAAGCGAGAGTCGAAGCGAACGAAATCAACCCGAGAAGTCAACAACAATGCTAAGATTGAATTTTAGCGGTCTTTTACCGACTACGCTTGCGCAGAGCCAACAATGTTGGCTTAGGTGGTCAAAACGATCCAACATTTCACTTAACACTTCAAAACAAAAAATTGTTGGACGTCGGCAGCCAACATTTTTGACCTCAGTCAAATTTTGTCCAACATCGAAATTTACGATGTTGGTTGACCAAACAAGGTTGTCAAACGATCCATGATGTTGGGCGAAATGTTGGGTGAAATTTTGGATCGCTTGACCAGGGCTTAATGGAGAGAGTAGCACTTAAAAAGTGTTGTAGTGAATCTACTTAGGCCTGTTTACGTTAATTTTTCCTTCTCATCCACTCAATCACATTCCCACATTCTCACATCGCAGCACAGGCATCACACTCACAGTGTTGCCACGCTCGACTTAGCGCTCGACTTAGCGACTACTGCGCAGGCGATTTCTACCTATTTCCACCTACGCAATCAGCGTGGATTCTCCCCACAAATCTCTATATTTTTCAAAATATCCCACGTTTTGACCCACGTCTACCCATACTTCTAAGGACAACTTTCAGCAAAAGTCTATTTTTAAAAGCCATAAAGATCGAGGACCATAACAAGTATTCAACTATATAAAGTAATGCTTTTGTAAGATGTTACTCTGACGTAAAATATGGTTTTACGTTTTTTGCGGAATATATTCTCATAACTACTTCTTGCATTTGAATGAAAAGTCAGTGGAAATTGATGTTCAAAGCTATGAAAAACAAGCAATCTAATTGTTTGGCCGCAAACAAATATAAATCCCTACAATTTCCAGAAAACTACCTAGTTTTCTTGATTTATCCCGTAGGTTTTCCTTACAACCTATAAACTTCTGATAATCCCCAAAGTAGGTAGAAATCCCAACGTGTGGCAACACTGCTCTCATATCACACATTCACTAATCTGTATTGTTTACTTAATCTTTGCCACGCCATTCAATGTATTCATCATCTTCATTCGCCCTTCCGATTATTTCTTTTTTCTCACACCATTCGTGTTAATTTAGATATTCATTTCTGTATATAAGTATGTTAATTTGTAAGTAATTCTAGTTCAGAGTTCAGTTCAGATCAGATCTATACAGGCAACATACCGTCTCTCTTACTGGCTCTGTGTTCTCTGCACGTAAAATAAAACTTCACCGGGTTGGAAATGACACGTAACCGATGGATGGATTTATTAGTGAACGAACGGCAACAAATAATAACACAACAATGCGCAATTCTCGTTTTACTAAAGTGTGCCACAAACTACACGCAGAGTGCCAGCAATTCCATACATGGATTTATCAGGCTCCGCTTCTTTGTATACTCGTACTTCTGCGGTATATCCGTGGCATATTTTTTTAAGCTCCAGAGAAATACATCGGCGATGTTAATTCCATACTTTATCATCACAGATTTTTTCTTTTTTGCTGAATTCTGTAGTTATGGCAGTGAACTGTGAAAAAATTCTGTATCAAATTTTAGCCTTTGGTTTCTCAATGCCATGTTCAGGTTCGTGAAATTTCAGTCACAAAGTTGTGGATTAAGATTCGCACATAGACCCAAAATCATTAATACATCTATAATTCGGTACCAACAATTTCTCTCCGGAAATTTGCAAAAGCAATACACCAATTAAATTTCCCCCATGACCGTGTGACCATAAAAATTCGCTGTAAAAAATTTTCTCACAGGAAATTGTTTAACAATAGATAAATAATTAATATGTTTTAAACACTTTGCAATAAGTTGGGCAGTTTTGCTCGCATGCTCGCAGTGCTTGCTAAAACGCTCGCAGTAAATTACCTCATTACATTGAAAAATATCAAAACTTATTTAGCACAGTGATATTGTGGTAGAAGAGTTCAAGGGGATCAGCTTCCCTTGCAAAAGTAACATACTTGCTGTTTTGAGTGTTTGGGATATTTTTTGAATGCGGGCTATGCAGAATGTGCTATGCAGAAAGAACCAACCTCCTATATTCATAACATAATGAAATCCATATTAAGAATAGATTTAAACAAACGTTGCAAAAGTATACCCAAGAAAGTATTATGTTTAAAACGATTGCAAGAAATGACTGCAAGAAATATTCTAAAATCATTTCAAGCTAATCATTTTAAAGCATGGTCGCAAATATTTTCTACCCGATCTGCTTGCAGGGTCTGCACTTTCGAAATTGCTGAAGGACTTCAAAGACCTCTCTGCGGCCCTGGTTATAATGTGATTCCTGCTTGTCTTCAAAGAAAAATTAAGGTTTTGAGCCACAAATTTCCAAAAGTATTATCACAGAAAATTTTCTTCCAAAAGTTTACATTCACAAGAGGTCAAACCTCTATTCACCATTTCTTTAACTTCAGATTCAGATAAAGCATCAGAATTTTATGGTTTTACAATTTTAGTACTTGAGTTAGGTGTTGGTTATAACAAAACCAAGTTGAAAATCTGTCAGAGACTTGATCGTAATCAGCGTCCCTGAGTAGAAAATTTCACCCGGAACGATCCTGGTCTTCAAATCCCTATTAAGCTTTCAAACTTTAAATTGTTATGAAATCTACAATACGAACGAAAAAAGTCACGGAAAATTGTATCCGGTCTTAAAGTTAGCGGTAATTCCTAATCCGAGCTCAAAAAAGTTAAACAATGGAATTTTTTCCGAATTCCCAGATTGATACTGTATGTTAAAATCGTATATTGCAGAGATTATGATGTGAATATTTTCAGATATTGGTTAACAGATATTTTGCTTGGTATGCACAAGTTGGTATTATGATTTACTCTTGCCATCTCATTTGCTGATTGTCCCTGCTCAGCATTTTGAAATGTGGCATTTTTTGCATTTGTAGCTGTATTTTATTGTTGATGTTATTGTTTAAGCTGATAGCTAAACAGAACAGCTTGATAGTAATTCTCATTAGCACTTATATTAACAACAAGTAATAAAAACTTAAGCAAATGGATTGAAATATCATCGAATTCTGATAAACCTAGAGGCATTTTTATAATACATACCATTTCATAGGTAATAAGAAATTATCAAGATGTCTAAAATAGCCCCAAACCTGGTATTTACCTGTACAGAATCTGCAGTTGCAAATATTTCCGCTCTACATTTTTATTTTTTACTTCAATCAGATAGAGTCTTGAAATTCTTCGTTCTTCTAATAGAGGTTGTAATTAAATGTTGCGTCTGTACATGATATTTTCTGCATCATGTGCTGTAGTCACTGTTTTTAGGCCATTGACAATGAGCTGTACAATTAGAGTTACAATGAGTACTTATTTTGATGAAACCATTTTAGGCAAGATTCCTAACGATACTTTTTGCCTTGACTGAAATTCCTGTTGAAAGACACGGGTATTTAAAGACCCAAATGCAAAGAAAGCTATTATGAGCTTCAAAATCTAAAATAATATATATGTCTTTATTAGGTATAATTTAAGATAATGTAGAATATTCAGTGATATGAATATTCCGTACCTTTACTTTGATAGTAATTAAATGTTATAATACTAATCCTTTTGTAGCTGTTGGTAATGTTGTGCTGATTTTATGCATTAAGAGGACTGGAAGCGAAAAGTTTTTGGAAAGAAAGATGGGGCATGGACCTGTAGTTCCTCAGGTGTTTGGTATACTAAGTTCACCAAGATTTCGATGCACTTTGAAGATTTTTCGATGCAAGATTTCTTTGAAGATTTTTCAATAAAAGTTTTCGATGATCTTTGAAGTATCATATCTCAATAGACGTTTTTATAACTGTAGACGCTTCGTTGCACATCTTTGTGTAACCAAACAAAGCCTTCCTATTTAGCTGCCTAAACATTTACTAACAGCACAGATTAGACAACTTACATGTTAGTTTATACAGCATACGTCTTTGAGAGTATGATCAACTATAAATTTCTTAATTGATGACGCCACAAATCTATTCCTTGAATTTTAGAATTTTGGTCCCATAACCTGAAAGAGTATTATAAAAGACTTGTTAATATGCATAGTCCGTTAAATATGTCACGAATGAGCTAAGATATGGCCGCATAAGCACTCCCTATCAAACAACTGTAATTTGGTCTCTGTTCATAAAATTATGGGTAGAGCAAAAATATCAATAATCCATTAGCAAACTTCAAATCTTTCATTGGTCATAACTCACCCGATTTTGGACATATTTTCTTGATTTTGTTTGTTTAGAATTTTTTTCATGTTATTTTGTGTTATATGGTCAAAATTAAAAAAATTTACATTGTTTTTGTGACGTCAACCTTAAGAACTATGTTGACATTATAGAAATAGCAGCCAATGAAGGTTGACTTGAAAATGACATTTTATAGTAAAGCTGGTTAATCACGTAGTTCTATGAGAAGCCGTCCGGAAGAGCGGAAAACTATTGCCATAAATAAGATCATATTTCATCATTAAACTTAATAAATCATAAGCTCACACCAAATAACCTCCAACATTAATTAAATCTGGTTATTAACTGTGCACACGGAAATTAAACGCAATGTTCAATCTGCATTTTCTTTAATATGTTTCTACCTGAGAGAAGGGTGATGGCGATTACACTGTATTTTGCGACATCCCGCGCAGTGTTTGAAACGATTTTTTTGGGGGAGGTAGGGGG